GATCATTCTATTCTTGAAGAATGCTCATCAATTCCATGCCTTCACATCATTTGACTAGTCAATCAAAACTTCTTTATTTCATTTTAATATTTTTTTCAACTAAATAAAAGAGGTTCAAGTCAAAGTAGAGATAGAGATGAATGTTTTAAACACTTTATATTGGGTTAGATGTGGCTAAGTGAAACACTAAGAGGGGGGGTGAGGGTGAATCGATTTCCTATGTTTTATGTCCTATTATTTTTGTTTTGTCTTCATATATGTATGTCTTAACACAAGTTCTCACATTGTCTCTTTATTTTATATACAAGTTATCATAAATTAGTTTCCTTTTACATGTTAGTTTGTTCTACTCTATTTCTCTCACTTGTCAGCACAAGAGACATGAGTTTTTATATTGATTCACCTTTCACCAAGCTATATCTAGTGTTAGAGGATCCTTTTTATTATGGTTTACTATTTTCTTTTGAAAATATAGTCAATTTTATAAGATCAATGGCCCAACTACTATATATTATATTTATAGAGATCAATCCCTTATAAATAAGTTTGATTATCAACACCACATGCCTATACATTGATCTCTTTAGAGACCACACTCTTCATGGGCACTTACAACTTTTGTTGTAGCCCAAACCTCTTTCTACTCACCACTTGAGTTACCTTAAGACCTTATGGAAAATTTCAACCTTCAATATAATAATTGACTTAAATCATTAATTGTGTAAGTATAATGATAGAGCTTTCAAGTCTTCCTTTGAAGTGCATAGTAGTTTTTTTTTACGAATGAAGTATAAACATTTCTCTAATATAAGATGAGAAGATAAAAAAAATTCATTATTTAGAATTAATTTATTCTTTGTAAGTTCATTATGTTCATCCTCTAACATCTCATTATCTTTTCAATACTTGAGAACAATCACATGAATTGAAATTTTTTTCTATTACTCTATTGACAACTAATAAGTTATCATTATCATGAGTTAATAATTAGATAACTTTAGCCTTAACTCATGATAAATAGAATTATATTTATGCTAAATTGTGAAAAGTGATTTTTACTTGATTAATGTGAAAATTTAGCTAATTATGTATTTTCTACAAATTTATATGATTTTTATAGTCTTATTTTTAAGATAAATAACAAAAGGAGGGGACCCGCCAACTAGTCAAGCCCGCAAGTAGGTTGGAAGCGCAATCAGAGGGAGTTGTGAGTAGAGGCTCAAACAACTAGGACCAATAAGGGCATGTGTGTGTTGCTCCTCTTTTACGTCACTAGTGACCAACCGACTATGGGGCAAAGAGTGTGATCATATGTATAAGAAAAAAGGACTAATTGCTTGTTAATGCGATATTACTATATATTTGTCCAAAACTTCAGCACACAAGTGATGTGGGAGTAAACCTATGTCACATTTTCCTTCGAAAGGCTTCAAAGATTTTCATACCTAAATTACCTCTTAGTTATAATAGAGATATATTATGATGATGTCACTTAATAAGGACATTATAGTACTTACTTTAATCTCCTTCATACATGTAAACAATCGATGTGGGATCGAATCCTTTTAGAGTCAAAACTCGTATTTTTAATTGATTATCGAGACTTTCTTGTAAATTATCGGTGAAGGATTAAGTCATCAGAATCGTTAGATCATCGACAAAAATCTTGCCAACGTAATTCACGGAGTATTGTTATTAAAATTGTTGAACGATTCGTAATAAAAAGATCAAAAATCCATTAAGTAAATCATCTCTAATTGATCGATAAATAAGCCATCGTCAAGAAGAGGATAATTTGTTGGGAGACGAGTTGTAACCTCCTGAGAGCGTACCAAATGTGATGAAGAGCCTCTTCTTACTACACAAACCTGAGAATGAAGCTCCTTAACACGTGCCCTACATCTATCCAACTCTTCTCTGTCAAGTGACAGCTACTAAAAAATCACAAGGTCGCTATTTTTCCGCTCCATCGAGTGACAACCACTGGAGATGATTTAACAACTTATTTCATTGATCTCTAAACTTCATAAAGAAATCTAGAGATTGTTCACGTCATCCTTATCTAATAAGAACTTTTGAGGCTGTGGACACTACGCGATGATCTTCTTGAATGTTCAGGATTCCGGTACATTATTGATGTATCGCCGCCGTGATATCAGAACTCTATTTTCTTACTTTCAACTTAATTTTTATTTCATTTAATGATAATTTAGGTGATTTAAATTTATCAAGCTATACTTTATGTAATTATAATTCTTTTGGTTTTTACAAATATTAATTTAATCAATTAAATTATTTGTAATTACTTACATAATAATTGTCAAATATAACTCTATTTTTGCTTGATTTACGTTTGTCGAGTGCTGATGTCATTGTGACATCTACACCCTTATTCCTCTTTTTTATGAATTTTAAATATTTTTTATTTTTTATTTCTTAGTATAAAATTTATAAAAATTCATATTATTTTAAAAAAATCTAAAAAATTACCCGATATTATATTACATCCCTATTGATCGATCTGGAAAATTATTATTATTTTTAAAAGTTTTATTAAATTATAATTAATATATTTATTTAAAAATACTTCTAAATATCTAAAAATCAGTATTTTTTAATTTTATAAATTATAAATTTACATGATTTATTATACAACAACTGAGTCATGTCAACAACATATGACTTTTAGTTTCTCTTCAATTCAAAACTTTTCATTCCCTTATAAGTTGTCATTAATATTCATATGGAGATACATAATAGATCAACAAATATTTTCACTTTTAGGATCTAACTTAGATATAATCATTGAGCTTGTCATTTTGTCCATGTATTATGTTGGTGTGTTACTATTTAGAATTCATGTTTGTGACGTTCCATGATTCTTCAATTTAAAACTTTATATTCTCATATAAGTTGTCTCTAATATTATGTCTAGATATGCATAGTAGAACAACAAATGTCTTTGCCTTTGAGTTCGAGCTCAGATTTGATTGTTGAGCTTCTCATTTTTTCCATATATTTTATTGACGTGTTATCATCTAGGTGTGGCTATTGACCTTTGGTTATTTCTTATTTCAAGACATAGTTTTCTCATAGATTATAGTCAAAGCTTCAGTATAGAGATATGTAATACTTTAATGGTTATTTCAACTTTAAAGGTTGAGTCAAAAGTAAGTCATTTTACTTTGTCATTTTCTTCACGTATGATGTTGATGTGTTATCATCCCAAGTATGTGGTGAAGACTTTTCTACTCCTATGAGGGCTTTATGCAAACACTCTAGCTTAGCTATTGTGTAAGATCTTAGGTTAGATTACTTTTTTAGACACTAACCATCTTATATTACTTTATTTTCTTGAGCAACTTTTTAGCATGAAGTTTGATTTCAAATCCTATCAACATCTTACTCTTCATAATATTTAAATATTTTGGTTGTCATTTTCTTCACCTTTGTAACTTACGCCTAAGTTCTAATCTCACACCTAACATTGTGTGCTTTAATTTTTTAGGCATTTTCTTTATTAAAACTTCTATTTTCACATTGTTCAAGTTCTGTATTAAAATCCCACATGTAACTTAGTGTTTCTAGATTGTATATGAGATTGTGTTGCACATGTTGGTACATGTTCTTTTATACTTATGTTCTATTGACATGATGTAGCATTATTTCAGTATAAAGAATATCTCAAAGATGTAACTTCTTGGATTTGTTGTTAGCCACATGATTATTTTGAACATTATCAATGTATATTGAGAATGATACTTGTAATATAAGTATTCATGTAATCAATTTATAATTAAATAAATATTAATGATTCTATAAATCATTCATAAATATAAATTTTTCATTACAAGTGTCAAAATCAAGGCCATAAACACTTTAGTCATATGAAATATGTGATATTTGAAAAAAAATAATAATGCAAAAGTTTTCCCAAATTTTCATAATCTTTTAACAACTATTTTCCCCTAAATGGATAGAAATTGAAGGATTTCGATATCCTTATTAGAGAAATCAATTCATGTTAGCATTAGGACATAATGTCAATTTCTAAATTATATGAGTTGACATCAATTAAATAAGTATTTGATATCATAAACCTAAACTGATAATACATTTCGTATTGAAGTAGTGTTTTAGTAATCAAAACTAATTGGAGCTGCTTCAAATAAAATATAATTTTTTAGTATACATCTTGAATCACAATCTCAATATGAAAAAGTACAACTTTGATGAACCATAAATTTAAAATCAACTTCTAAAAGACTACTATTAATATTTCAAAATTCTATGCAGTAAAATAAATGATCAAATTTCAGTCAATAAATTTGATATAAAAACCTTTGAAATCGAAAATGGACTTTCATGGCTTCATGATAAATTGAATAAGGTTGTATATCCATATTTTGCTTCATGTATTCTTATTTATTTAGATGTCTTAATCACTTTTTTTCTCATTATGATTTTTTTAAAATATTAATAATTTTCGCAATAATAAAATTATTTAAAAACTTTGGCATCATGGATCATCAATATACTTAGTTTATTCTCATAGAAATATTTAATATAATTATTAGAATTATATTTCATATACTTTGATGTTTAGCCTCATATCAAATATTTGCAAAATTAGGCATAATTTAATATTTTTAATTAGCTTTATAATTGTTTGTTGTCATGAAAACATCATCCATTTCATGTTATAAATAGCAAGACATAGAAGGTACTGAGTGGAGATAGTGTTTACTACTCATCACACCAATGAAATTGCAGGATAAAAATATAATCACTAAAAAACATTCAATATGATGTTGAAATTGTAGAAAGGCATGCAATGTACATATTTACATTATAGAAGAAAATGCCACACATTCTCTGTAGTCATTGAAAAAAAAGGACAGCTTGAAAACCTACAATGAGAGGTAATAAAAGAGGGTCCCCAATTAATTGACATGTTGATGGTAACATAGTTTGATACCATGATATTAAGTGGCTTGTTGATGATAATATATGTGGCGTGGGTAGCACATTATAAGCAGTCATACGGTTATCAAATGAGTTGTAGAATTGATCTATCATATGGCAGATTTTGTCCCTAACATGCTGGGAGCTGAGAACCACTAAGTATATAAATTCTTGACATTACTATCATAATGTCCACCATGATTGCCATGATGCTATGTAGTGTGCATTGCTCGTTATTACTATCATGACGTCAACCATCACCATGACTTTTTTCCCCATTAATACTTGTACTGGTGATGTTGATTGACAGGTAATCGAGACTCTCTAAGAAAGAGTATTGTTATTTCATGATCATGTGCAAACTATAGTTCCAAGGACATTTTATCAAGTGAATGACTCCATTAAAATAGTGACGTTGGATATAAAAGCCTCATAACTTTGTCATCATCTTGTCAAAACCATCATATCAAGATCTTGGTCCCAAGCTATGTTATTTGAAGCTACAAGTTAACTTTTAAAATAATTTAATTATTATTGACTTAACAATGAGTACTTATATTATTTAAAGCAACCTATAGTCATACTTCTAGTATTTATTAAGTTGATCTCCTAGAGTCATGAATTTGAATTCGCTTCTTAAAAAACCCATGGCTTCTTGACGTCACTAAAACATTTGATTTGTTCAACATAAGATTTTAGGAGAGTATGGGTAAGCCAAATGGGCATATCCACTAAAAATTTGAGTTTCATGACTGGATAGAAAATATGAAATCTAAGAGTGATTGAAAAAGGACTAACATTAAAACTTACTTTCTTTTGAAAACCACTTAAAACTCACATTAACAAGGTGTTTAAAAGAAATATTATGAACTGTAAAGGTTTGTTTTAATGGCTGCAAGTATTATGAGCTATGAAAATGTACAAGGTGCAAAAAAAATAGAAAATTCTTCTGGTGGAAACAAATTACCCTAGGAGCCCCTAGGCCCGCCCGCCTAGGGGCCCCTCAACTCTCTCGTTCTCATTTTCTCTGTCATAGGAAGCTCATCGCGCGTGGAAGGCATCCGTTTACACTTTGATAGGTTCATCGACAGCCTAAAGGTTTGGATTGAATATGTCGTTCCCTTAGCAAAACCTTTCAAGTTTCCTTTACACCAGCATACTCTTCCATCCTTTTCTCATCATCGTGGACGCTTATTTGCAGCCATATGACTTGGAGAGTGCCCAGCTTGGTTTGGGGCATAGTTACAGCTGCGCAAAAGTTAAGTTCAATGTCAATCGGGTTGATAATATGGTCATCCAGGCTATCTTCCTGCTTGATACTCTGGACAAACATATCAACTCCTTTTCAATGAGAGCCAGGTTGGTCGGACAATCGTGTTGACATATCATCTACTCTGTTCATGCACTTTCGAGTTTAACGATACATGCCCGGTAATCCTTTTGTTGCCTAAATGCTAATTGTTTGTAGATGCCTCTTGCATCTGAGCTAGCAGTAAGTTCTTCGAGAAAACAATTCATTTAACGTTTCAGGATATATATATATATATAGATATCTGTAGTTAATGTTCTCAATCAATTTGACTATGCTAAAATCCATTTACTAGTTAGCATTAATTTTATTTTTTCTGCTTAGGGTTCGAATCATTGCATATTCTTCCGGATAAAATCTTGGCTCCTAGATTTAATGTTTCGCACTTTTCTTCCACATTTCATAATTTAATTTGTCGTAATTTCCCGTTGCTTGCAGAGACTGGTACTCGTGGCATTTCCCCGAACTCGTCAAAATAGTAAACGACAACTACTTGTATGCGAAAATTGCCAAATTTGCGGAGAACAAATCAAACTTGGCGGATGAACACATGCCAGCACTAGCTGGCATACTTGGTGATGATGACAAGGCAAAGGAGTCGTTGAAGTGGCAAAGGCGTCCACGGGTAAATGCCTTAGGATGAGCCTGTGCTCTTTGGGTGTCTAGTCCATGCTTTCTGATCCTCATTGTTCCCTGTCTTTTCAGGGCAAGATCTGTCTCCCATTGACTTGATCAATGTCAAGCAGTTCGCCCAAAGGGTCATGGATCTGTCTGAGTACAGAAGAAAGCTTTACGATTATCTTGTCCAGAAGATGAACGACATGTATTTTTTCTGGACTATTCGAAATTAGTTCTAGTTCTAAAATTCATCTTTGAGGTTTTCATATGGTGGGTTATAGTGCCAAACCCTCCAACTACTACAAACCGTTGATTCATTCGATATTCTGAACTTATTGAAGGCTCTGTGAATGAGAAAAAAAGAGATTAATATGCGGTTACAATAGCCGTCATTTAACTGCATATTGAGATCCATAGTTTTAGATTGGACGGCCTGATTTCTTAGGATACATGTTTTGTATGCTCACAGACTAGAAATTCCTTCTTCTTCTTCTTTTTTGGTTGTTGCTGGATGTGCAATTGCGTCTACTGACTTTGGTGAGCTTCCAGGTCTTTGAAAACCCGTGGAAATACCCCTAAGTATGGACTGATCTTCCACTCATCGTTCATCGGCCGAGCATCAACCCGGAATAAGGGCCGTTTGGTCCGTTACCCTGCTAACAAGTGTTCTATCGCCTCCCGCATAGACTGCTTTTCCGGTGGGTCCATCCTTCTTCGGTGGCTGGGTTTAAACTTAGAATTATATATCGATTGGGCTGTCTTCTCAAGCAGATTTTTTATGCTGCAGAGAGTAGCACCACGGTGTTCGGTCAGAAGCTGCGGGAACAGGTCGAAGAGATGTTGGACTTCTATGACAAGGGAGTTGCTCCTCGGAAGAATGTTGATGTTATGAAAGCCATTGAGAGTGCATCAAACAAAGAAGATGGTGAGCAATTTTAAGAGGGTTCTTTTTAGTTTTATCCCTCTATGAATTATATTATAGAATGGCCGTAATCATTGGCATCTTACATCAATCTACTCATATAACATGTGAAAATCTGCGGGTTTCTAGCTAAAGTGAGAACTTCTGCTCTGTAATGATATCATTTCTGCTCTCATCCTACGTTTGCAGATACGAAAGAAGATCAGATGGATGTGGATGAGAAACTCCGCCAAGAAGAGCAAGAAGAAGAAGTCCAAGACAGAGAACAATGGAGCGGCAGAGCCCGCGGCAGAGGACGGGCCCGGAGTTGCGTCTCCGCAGCCCGAAACTGAGAAGAAGAAGAAGAAGCACAAGCTGTCCGAGGAGCCAGAATCGGAGCCTGCATCCGCGAAGACGAATGGATCGGGCTTGGAGTCGGAGAGGAAGAAGAAGAAGAAGCAGCACGAGCAGCAGCAGCACGAAGACGTTCAGCCCACCAGCGAGAAGAAGAAGAAGAAGAAGAAATCCAAGAGCAAGGATGATGAGTGAGCTGATCAGTCTCTTGGGCGAGCTCCCTGCCCTCAGAAGGAAATGAGGTGGGCCCAAGCTGGCCGAACATCATCTCACCGGTATCTAGAGTCTCCCAGAGCCTGTGTTCTTGGGATCAAAGCCTGTGATATTCTTGGTTGAATTGAGTTATTGCTGCTTACTTTATTTTGGTACTTGGTTTCTACGAGCTGTACTTTCAGGAATTAATGATGATGATGATGATGATGATGATGCGTTATCTAAATAGATAATTGATGGGCTTCCTGTAAATCGGGTTTCAAACGGGCTTATTAATGCCAGAGCCAAGCCCGCTTTGAAGGAGGATAATTATTTCTAGTCAATCCTATAGTGGGGTGTATTATATCTATTCAACCTTATAAGTTGTATGATTATTTTCCAAGGCCCATGGCCTGGCCCTGCAAGATTGATCAATTACAAGTCAAATAATTTCAAAATAGTAAAATATCTTTCAACGGCCATCAGAATAATTTCGATAAAAACGGTTAATCTATAATACTTCGGCATTGGTTATCCCATTGAGTTTTACCGAGGAATTTCACTAGTAAAATGCATAATATTTTTCTAGATCGAAGAAATGATACACCAAACGCTAAAATCAGTAATGGAGCCGCTGTCCCTTTAGTCCACATTAATTTCTTCTAGATGAAAATGATTTTCAGGGGTAAATAGCGCATTAAATACCAAGTTTCGTATTTAATTAGATGTACTGTGTTCGCGCATTCACACTGTTCCCATCAGGAGTGTCCCAGAGGCGACAAATGTACGGTCACGATTGGACAACTCCACCGGCACCCAGGGAGAATATCCTTCGAAGGGTCCATTTTCTCAGTTCTTATCTTACACCTGCAGAACTCCATAAGTGAACTACCAATAAAACGGCATTAGGAAATTCAAATGTTTTGGTTCTACAGTGGGATACTTGATAACCTGAAGAGTTCCAAGGGCTCACCAGAGAAAGGTTCCGTTAGAATCTTCCTTCTCCCGGACTCCCGCAACAGCAACATAACTCCCTCTCCCCTTCCTTCCTGAAGGGGCGTTTCCCCGTTGTTCTCTCTCCTCTCGACCCCTACCAACCTTCTTCCTCTTCTTCTTCGTCTCCGATCTTCTTCGGGGATCCGTAGGCCTCACCTGGAGCCCAATTTCCATCTCGATCGAGGCCTTTGGCGCGTTACCTCACAGCTGCAAACCCGGTTTTTCTCCGTTTTCCCTCCGTGTGACGATCACGGGCGCGGCACCTCTTCGAAACCTATCTTCTGTCTCGAAAACCGGCGTGCTTGGTGAAGTTCCATTCTTTTCGGCTGGTTGGTGCTGTTTTGTTCTGAGTCGTGGGCGGTTTTGGACCCCCAGGAAGGTCAGATCCTCTCTGGGTATCCTATTAGTTCAGAGTAGGAGTTTCTGGCGATTATCGATATCTACAGTGAGTTGGAGATTTTTCTTCTTCTTCCTCTTCGCCCGATCAACTCAGTTTATTGCCCTGTTTGGAGTAAGTAGATCAAGATAAAAATAGTTTTCGGATTTGGAATCTGGTGGAAGTTCGCGAATTCCTTGCGATCCCGGCGATGGAGGCCTTGTGGGGGACGGGGATCCTGAATCACCCGTTCTATTGGTCCTTCTTCGCTGCATATTGCCTCATATATACCTTTGGGTATCTTGTGGTCTTCCGGAATTGGAGCCCAAAACATCGTCCAGAGGCGTCAAGCTGCTTCATCTCGTTCGTTCACGGTACCCCTGCGGCTGTCATGGCCATGACGGCGATCATGGCCGCGCCTGGTGGCTGGGAATTCGAAGCTCCTAATACCTATTTCCAGTCTATTGTTCTCGACTACAGCATTGCCTATTTCACGGTCGACCTCCTCCACTACATCATCTTCTATCCAGGGGACTACCTCTTCATTGCACACCACCTGGCAACGCTGTTTGTTTTCATCACTTGCCGCTACCTCGTCTTCCACGGAGCTCTCGCCATTCTGGTCCTCCTTGTGCTTGCCGAGCTTACCAGTTTTTGCCAGAATGTATGGACGCTTGCCAAGATGCACAAGGCCGAGTCTGTTGTTGCTGCCAAAGTGTATGACTATCTGTCTCCACCATTCTTCTCGCTTTACACGGTGGCGAGGGGCTTTCTCGGGCCACTGTTCTTCTATAAGATGAGCATATTTTATCTAAGTGGCAAGGCCAGGAATGTGATGTCGTGGTGGATCTCGCTCTCCTGGATCCTTGTGGTTGGAACTGCTATTTCTGTGAGTATTTTGTGGGTCGTAGATCATTGGCTGGAGTTATTCCGAGAGAGGACAACGAAGGAAGAGAAGAAAGCGATCTAGTACGAGGTGAATGCAGGTAACTTGCCCGACGGAAACAATGTAGCTTTGCAGCAGATTGTTTGATGAAGCTGGGAGATATATCAATAGAGGATGATAAGCGAGAGGCAGTAAGTTTTCTGATGCGGCTGCAGTTTCAGAAACCCTCTCCAGCTCCTAAATAGAATATATATCAGTTCTTGGTTCTATCCTTGTAACTCTCCCGAATCATCATTTATTATATATGAGATTTATTTTTTTACGGTTCCAGCTATTTTTTTATGTGTTGGTTTCCTCCCATTCACTCCTCCCCGATTGCTTTATTACCTCAGGATCAAATAAATGGCCTATGTTCCCATGTTGGGAGCACAACCCACCAACTGATGGATCCAAGTGTAGCTGATTGCCTACCTCTAGTTTTTATTTTCTTTTTTATTATTTTTATGTACAGCACACATTATCTAGAGATGGATTTACCCGACTCTCTGGGCCCCGGCCTAATTTTTCCCTTGAAAATTCATTCAATTCAGCAAAGTGCCGAGGATATAGTGTATTCGACGATTGCAATAATTTCATCTGTTTTCCTCATGGGGGTGTGGGTGCAAGGAGTGTGTACTCGTATGCTATACAAAGCTTTTTTTCCATTTATAGAAATGGGCATTTGAATGTAGATTCGGGTTAACCTTTTTTGTCTACAAGGTCATCAGCGATTTAAGCATCTGCAGGCTATTGTGAGATGATATCCTGCTTCAGTTGTCTTCTTAAGGGTTAATCCAAGAAAATGGGGCTCTGAGTTTGTCGTTTGGAATTCAAGTAAGAGATGATCCTCATTTTTGTTGATTCCCATCATCCTGTTCATAATTTAATTATATTCCTTTTGCCACAAAAATAGCGAACTTGATCCTCCTGCTTGAAGAACAATTCAATGACTTTTGTTTCAGAGTTTCTTGGACTTTTGTTTAGTTGACTTTCAGTATCCCGGATATCCCCCAGAAATCCAGTTTAGTAATGAGTAACTCCTTGTTGGCTCTTCTTGACAGTTTGCTAGGTACAGTTTTTAGGATGAATATGGATATACATGTTTCTGCCATTGATGGAAACTGATATCTTGACTTTTAGTATACCGGAGTTTCCCAAGAAATCCAGTTTAGTGATGAGTACTGCTTGTTGGCTCTTCTTGACAGATTTCTTGGTGCAGCTTTTATGCTGAACATTGATATGCATATTTCTGCCGTTAATGGAAACTGATAGATTGAAAGGGGCATAGTGACTCCAGTTCAAATTTATTCATATCGTGCTGGAATTTACAGATGGATTAAGTGTTAAAAGAAATTTGATACATCTAAAGATAAAATCACACATTAATCCATGCATATAATTCTGAGTTAAAACTCTTATGACTTTGGAAAATTATGCTGGAAAAAATCTTATTGACACAGGATCAAAAGGGTTTATTCTGAAATAGTATATATTTCTCTTGAGGACTGACGATTTAATAATTCGTCCGCTGGATTAAATGGAAATCGAATTAACTTCCCGTAGAAGCTTGTAATTTTTCATGATCAATACACTTACTCTGGTCAAGCGGTGCTGTTTGCCTGTTCTGAGTTCTGTACAGATAGATGCTCATCCCCATTCAGAACTACTAAAAGCAGCAAAAAAAAGAAAAAACCTTACAGCTTGGATTGGAACCTTGGAAAAGAAATTCTAGTAGCCTTCATGTTCTTCGCCAGGGAGGTGGCTCTCTCTCTCTCTCTCTCTCTCTCTCTCTCTCTCTCTCTCTCTCTAATTCCCTCATGCTTCTTTTTTATGCACATTGTTCATGCGGATTATTAGCCTTGACATGCTTATTATGACATATTCACAAATGCCATCTTATCTTGTTCGTGAAAATATGTGTGCAAAGATATCTGAACTTTGTTGCTAAAATATTTCCTAATTGGGATGGCGATTGTTCTTAGCTTAATCAGTCCTTACCCGATGAACCCCAGGGGTTTTCGCCATGTCGTGCAAGAATGATAGAGAGAGAGACAGAGAGATAGAGAGAGAGGATTGGGTCCGCCGCCAACACCGGCAACCATACATAAGCACACGCACACGCACACGCACACGCACACGCAGGAGGGGCGGAGTAAGGTAAAGGCCGTAAACAGTTCCTCCCTCCTCGTCGCCGCATCCGCCGCCGCCTCCGGCGGAGCAGGAGGAGCGGCGGCGGCATCTCTCCGTCAAGGCGAGCTCACGAGTAGAATTTGTAGGTCTTCGCCTGAAGGATGATGAGCCTGAGCCCCCCTATGGGCGCCAAGATCATCAGCAGAACCCCCAGTATGATGCATATCTGATCACCACCCAAAGCAAACCAGATCAGAGGGAGAAAGAGAAAGAGAGAGAGAGATAGAGAGAGATAGGGAGGGCAGGGAGGCCTACCCAGTTGGTGATCCATGAGATGCTCCACCGCCTCGGCTTGTAGATCGCCAGCCACATGATGCAGGGGAGCTGCGGATGCAAGCAAGGAAGGGGCTCATTAATGGAGAGGGGAGAGAGAGAGAGAGAGATGGTGTGGAGACGCTTACGAAGTAGGTGGTGGGGGCAAAGGCGAACCCGCCGAAGAAGGAGAGGAGACCGCCGAAGAAGGGAAAGGTTACGGCAATCAACGTGGTGAACGCTGCGACAAGACAGTTGAGAGAGACAGACAGCCTCAGCGACCATCTAGATAACTACCCAGAGATAGAGAGAGACGCAGGGACGGTGGGGAAGCTTACAAACGTAGGCGGTGCGGGAGATGAGCCGGAGCTTGAGGCTGGGCCGGAAGTGGAGCTGCTTCACCAGCACCGTCTCTATCATGTCGAACACAGGCATGGCGTATATCTGCAGTTCACTCGCACGGAATCGAAAAGAAGAGAAGGTAACAGAGAGAAAGAGAAAGATGGAAAGATACAGAGAGATAGAAAACTAGCGAGAGAGAGTGAGAGAGAGAGACCTGGTAGCTGCCGATAACGTGGACGACGACCATCATGTTGGCGGCGGCGATGAGCCAACGGGGCTTGGCGAGGGAGATGAGGATGTTATCTTCAACGGCGTTCCCGAAGGCCCAGTACCCGACCAGCGCCACGGGGAAGTAGCAAAGCGCCACCACAATGTACGCGACGATCACCCCCCTCCACATTGGCTTCTTCGACGGCCTCTCCGGCGTCGATGGAATCGTCGCCTGAATCTCCAGCACCACGTTGTGCCCCGCATAAGCGAAGGCCACCTCCCCCAGCGCGCCGAAGAAGTTGAACACAGTCCCCGCCGTGCTGCTCGCTTTATAGCCATAGTCGACATCCTCCTGCTTGCCCTTGTCCACGGAGGCCCCCCAGGCGATCGTGGAGTAGCTCAGGGACATGACCGCGGCGGCGAGGGAGACGCCGGAGATGGAGTTGAAGTTGGGGAGCTGAGAGAGAATGTAATGGATGGAGGCGAAGATCATGATGAAGTAGGTGGTCTTGATGCTCTTGCAGTCGGGGCAGACGGTGTCGTGGAATTTCTTGAGGGATTTGCCGCCGGTGACCATGTAGACGATGCAGACGCCGACTTCGACAACGAGCTGCTGCGGGACGACGATCCAGAGGCCGAGCTTCTCGCCGAAGGCGTGCTGGCCGAGCTCGTGGTAGCGGTCGAAGCGCTTGCCGGGGACCATCTCGTGCATCTCCACCATCTGCCAGAGGGTGTACAGGGTGACGACCCAGGAGATGATCAGGACCGCCACTCCAGGCCCCCTGCGAAGCCAGAAGATTAAGGTTCCGCAACGAAGAGAGAAAGAAGAGAAAGAGAGAGAGACAGTCACGTATGGGGAGTGGTGTAGAGAGAGAATTATTGGCACATATCTATACATGTACATATATATATGTATATATATATCTATATAGAGAGAGAGAGAGAGAGAGGAGAGAGAGGAGTTACCAGCCGAGCTCAGACATGGCGAAGGGGAGGCCGAGGACGCCGGCGCCGACCATGGCGGTGACATTGTGGAAGGCGGAGTACCACCACTTGGCGTTCCTCGAGGAGGTGATGGGGAGCCAGTCGTCAATCGCCTTCTCCTTCACCTGAACACCCCCGTCGGTTGTAAGCAAGAGAAGGGCTGGGTTCCTTCATAAAAAGGCGACCGGGCCCGATATATCCTCTTCAAATAACAACAGTAACAATCGCAACAACTCTCTCTCTCTCTCTCTCTCTCTCTCTCTCTCTCTATATATATATCTATATATATATATATATATAATGCCATCAATTCTCTCTCTACACCACTGCCATCGAACTCACCTCTACCTCTTCCTCCTCCTACATGACTCCTCTCTCTCTCTTTCTCTCTCTCGCTCTCTCTCTCTCTAGCTCTCTCTCTCTCTATCTCTCTCCCAATATATATCTATTTATTTTGAGGCCAACAATTCTCTCTCTACACCACTATTATCAAATCCACCTCTACCTCTTCCTCCTCCTACATGACTCCTCTCTCTCTCTTTCTCTCTCTCTCTCTCTCTCTCTCTCTCTCTCTCTCTCTCTCTCTAGCTCTCTCTCTCTATCTCTCTCTCTATATATATCTATTTATCTATCTATTTATTTTGAGGCCAACAATTCTCTCTCTACACCACTATTATCAAATCCACCTCTACCTCTTCCTCTTCCATATACGTGAGTAAATCTCTCAACATCTCTCTCTCTCTCTCTCTCTTTTATATATATATATACCTCTATACATTATATATATATTATATAAATAACCCACGCCAAGAAGAAGCATGGTTTGAATCATGTGACGACGTCTGACAAGCATACTGTAATTATTGAATCTATAATTTGGCCCCAAAAGGCAAAAAGAATCAACCAGAAAGCACGAATTTCATCACTACTTTTCGGGAAATTGATTCTTTAGAATCATAAAGAACTATTGAGAGGGAGAAAAAAACCTACCAATATCCATGAGAAATGGATGAACTTGGGATAAATGCAACTTTTAGAGATATTTTGGTGGGGCTGCAGCCGAATGCCAGAAGAAAGAGGCAGTGAATTTCTGGGATTCCAAAGTCAACCCCCAATTAAAGAAAATTAAGTGACAGGTGTGGCTTTTTCCCCGCCCAACGTAGTCAACGACGACCTTACACGCCCCCGGCCAATCAGCATGCGACACGGCCCTCCAATCTTCACTCCCACAGCGAGAGAGGGAGAGATGGGTAGAGAGAGAGAGGTGGGGGTTCCTTTTCGCATGTAAGGTAAGTAGACAAATGAGCTGTAGATATTGAATACGTCCACCGACCGTAAATGTAATCATATTTACGAACCGTATCTTGTGGACGAGGAGTAATGACGGCCACGAGATCATTCTCTCTCTCTCTCTCTCTCTCTTCCCGTCCCTCCAGCGCACCAGATGTGTGTGTGTGTGTGTGTGAGAGAGAGAGAGAGAGAGAGAGAGCTCCCGATCTGGGCGGTAGAGGAAGACGACGAGGAAGGGGAAAACTTCGAAGAGATGAGATAGATTTAGAGAGGTAGAGAGAGAGGGGTGGGGAAGCAGCGATATTTGTGGAAGCCACGAATCTGAAGCCTATGGAAGAGTCCCTCGAGGGCAAGAGGTTGGAATCGATGATGCGAATATCTGAACTCTCGAGACCCCGGAGTTTCTTCGATTTCAGGACCCAGAGGGAGAGAGGGAGGGAGAGAGAGCGGCAGGAGAAGGGAGGACAAGTGTTCAGTAGATACCTTCGGGTCGTCGTCGACATGGTTTCCTGGGGGGGACATAGCTTGTGTTCCCATGGCCGTCCAAGATGAGCGCCGAGAGAGAGAGAGAGAGAAAGAGGAGAGAACAGTTCGGAGTCGGGTGAACGCTTGACCGAAGGCCTCGGGTTTTAAAGAGGAAGATTTCTGACAAGTCCAACCGCGGGCTGACAGGGAAGATAACGAGAGAGAGAGAGAGAGAGTAGGCAAGAGGTAGTGTAGAGAGGATAGTCGTACGTTGCGGCGGACCTTCCCTCCACCTTCATCCTATTTTCAGGGAAGCCGAGAGGGAAATCCGGACGTGCCCTAACCATTATTTTAAGGCTAAACTGATTGTTTTCTAATCCCATTAGATTCGGGAATCTCTTCGAATCAGATATTTTTAATCGAAACTTTGCTCGATGAATTTTTTACGCAAATTAGATAATATCTGAATATACCGTTGACCTTGGACTAGCACGTCGGGGTCGAATTAGATCTGGCTCGCCCTCTTCTCGCAGTTCTATGGCGGCCTTCCACAAAAATCCGACGGAATCTCCCCTCTCTGAAGTAGAACAAAAAGAAAAGAACAGGAAGCGGAATTTGAGCCTTGAAAGTGGAGCTGAAAGCAGTTTGGATCGGTGTAAACGCGTTGAATTTCAGATGAGGGGAGGATTGTCTGGTGTGACTTTCTGCAAAAAGGAAATCACAAGGAGGAAGATGGACCAGGTAGTTTTGAACCTCTACTTCACAATGATCCTCGAGTATGATGGGATAAGTAAAAGGAGAAAGAGAGAGAGAGAAGTTTGGCTGTGGAGGATGTAGACCTCTCCTCCCTTTCCACAAACGAGGAACTGAATTGTAGGGGGATTTCTCTCTCTCTCTTCCTTCTCTCTAAATCAAGCAAGGGAAGTTGCCGTAACGAGGCCTCCATCCGGCATCTGCGGGCGGAATCCGCCATGTGCCTACTCAAGGACAGGCTGTTCTTAGCCGCACCAGTATCCTGCATTCAAAACTCCCCTTCCCGACTCCCGAATCCCTCAACCTCGTTTCAGGCCCATCTCTCTCTCTCTCTCTCTCTCTCTCTCTCTCTCTCTCTTTCTCTCTCTCTCTCCTCTCTCTAAACAGACAACAAGGAATAATAGGTATTCTATAGCCGGGACCCAGGCTTGGCTGAAAATATTGAAGTCTAATCTCTCTTCGATTGAGGACAAATCCAAGCGTATCACCTCTGATATCTTCCGTGCCTCGCTCTCTCTCTCTCCTTCTCATTGAACACAGAATCATAGATTATATTCATTGACAAGGCGGTGCCTACTTGCCATTTATAATCAATGATTCTTAAGCCAAGTTCTCATCTGGTCGTCATCACGATTAATAAATTCGCGCCGATCCAGGGCAGGGTTGAAAATTTTCTCAGAACCAATTCTCGTACCCTCTCTCTCTCTCTCTCTCTCTCTCTCTCTCTCTCTCGCTGTGTTACAAGAACACCGCGGCAATGAGCAATTGAAGCCGTAGAGTATTCGAAGGCCTGAAAGTCTTCCGTTCTCAGCGGGAAAGAACGGCCAAATTGAGTCGTGCCTAAACCCGATTCACATCCTCTCTCTCGCTCTCTCCCTCCTCTCCCCAGCTTCTCCCTAGTGGGCTCTGCGGAGCATTATCCGAGACACTGAAATTCTGCAATCCGAGTAAAATATACCGGGTAAGTAGTTTTCAACGCGTACTTACCCCGAATCGAAGAGTGCACGTTGATCATACTACTGATCTCATCTGCCCCCAGGGGTTAGAGAGAGAGAGAGAGAGAGATACAGACGGACACAGACACGATTGGGTTTGTCAATCCTTTTCTTCCTTTTTGTTGAAGTCCTCTTCTGTTGAGCCCCAGTTTCTCCGAAACTGCCGAGGGCGAGTTAGGGACAGAGAGAGAGAAAGAGAGAGAGGGAGAGAGGGGGGGAGGCGAATTGGGGAGGAGAAAAAAAAGAAATAGAGAGAGGGAACTGGGGGAGGGAGAAAGAAGAGAGCGAGAGGAACTGGGGAAGAGAGGGGAAACTGCGGACAAAGAGAGAAATAAGGAAGAGACAGAGAGGGTCAACTTGTTTTATCCGCACGCGATAGGAGTGTTTGACCATGAAATCGCCGGTAGCTGTCACTCTCCTTCGGTGGGATCGACTGAGCTCCCCTCACTTGTAAACCTGTCCTACACATGGGTTCACTCCGACCCGTCAGATGAAGAAGGTGGGCCAGCTGAATTCCACAAATGCAATCTCATCCTGCCCCTCCATCTGATTTCCTTTGCAATGGGCGCCTTTCTGACTTCAGAGAGAGCCGAGATAACTGTCAACGCATCTACACTGGACAGTCTCATCCTCTCTCTCTCTCTCTCTCTCTCTCTCTCTCTCTCTCTCTCTCTCTCTCCCCTTTTGACTCGTCCTCATAAAGGATGAATTTTCACCAATGGTGGGCCATGGCTCGTCAATAGGTGTCAGTTGGTGCCAGAGAAAAGGACAGACAGACAGGAAGAGAGAGGCAGCGAGAGAGAGAGAGAAGCCACTGCCTGGGTCCCGCTTGCGGGCTAAATGGATCGGACCCACTCCCCTGATGGTACGGAACTATGGAAGATCCGACGATGGTTTCTCCGATGTAACATCAACTGTTCAACGATCTCAGATCTCGACACGTCAGCCGATGGAGAAAATTGCCACGTGTCTTCCCATTTTTGCCACACAACGAACTTTGACCAGTCTACGTGGCGTTGGCTGGGTCTTCATTAATCCCCACATCTCTCACTCAATCGGCGGAATCGTAACTAATTAATTAATTCACCGTTGAGTTTTTATCTAGAATCTCCAAAAAGCCAATGACGTGGCTTACTTAGGTGCTCCCCTTTAAGTCGGATAAGCTCATCTAAGCCTACGACCTTGCGAAGAAAATATGGAATAAATTTTGGAAATAAAAATATGTTTTCTCTAATTTCATTAAGTGGCTTAAATCAATCTAATCTATGATTTTTCAGGGTTTAAATAAAAGTCAAACTCTCCATGGTCAACTTCAGTATAAAAAACCACAGAAAAAAAAGGAAGTTTGTGTTTTGCCACCATATACTTCTATATTTCAAATTTTCATGAAAGAAAAATAAATTGACACATTCAAATTAGGGATCTTCCTTCATATAGTTCCCCCTCACCGAAGCAGCCCAATAATAATAACAGTTTTTTTTTGTCTTGATATTTGACCCAATAATTCAGCCAAGAACACAGAACTAGGCCCATTTTTCAATGAGGGATTCAATCAACACGGCTTACTCTGAACGGGGCCCGGGTTTTTAGCTGACAGGTTATTTCCCAGATTTGACCCTTGAAATAAGCCTCGAAAGTGATCTGTCGGGTTTTTTTTTGGCCCATTTCGTAAATGATTGTCCAGATTGGGCCCTTAAAATAAGGGTATTACTTTTAAGACAACCCGACCCATTGTTGAGCCAGTTTTCCAGACCTGACCCTTCAATGGGCCTTGGAACGAGAAACGTCCAGGCCGGCTCGGGTTCAATTTTCAGGCTTTCTTCTCAGCCCGTTAAGCCCAGTCCGCTGACTCATCTTCGGCGGCGCCGGTGAGCAGCTCTGATCGACTCCTGTGTAAAATGGGTGGGAAGATCAATACTTTCATCCCTTCCCTGACTGTGGGGAGGAGAGGGCAGGACAGTGCAGGAGGACGGGGAGGCAATCGAACCCTCCTGTACTCTTGTCTCCCTTTGCGGCTGCGGCCTTCTCCCCCTCTTTGTTGACTTCGGAAAGCGTGAAACCGCTTCAAGAAGTTCCGCAAATGGGAGAATGAAGAACACCGAAGAGAATGAGAAAGAATGCACAAAATATGTATTTCAAGAAAAATAGTAAGCGTCAATCCGTCGAACACCTTGTGCCCCTTTATATAGGGGAACCAATAAGAGAAGGAGAGAGAGGGTGAGTAACAAACTGAAAACAAAAATATAGCTCTGTTCTAGTGAATGAGTTTGCCGGCGACAGAAGAGCGACAACTAAGCTGAAGCAGCTCCTTCAATCTCCTCCTTGCTCTTGCTCCTCCACACAAAGAATTTGTACACCTAGACGTCGTCGCATGTCCAGAACTTCAATTTTCTCAGTGCCTTAGTCAGTATGTGCTTTGTTGAACTGATCCTCCATCTTTACATAGGAAACGTCCAGCTTCTGTTCTTTAACACATAGACGTAAAAAATGATACCTTATATCGATGTGGCTTTGTACGATTGTGTTGAACTGAATTTTTGCTTAAGATAATTGTGGACTGATTGTCCACAAGTAATTTCATTGTCCTTGATATGCAGTTGATGTGGCAGAGATATTCTCAACTTCGCACGAGGACAAAGCCATCATCTTCTGCTTTTGTGAGGTGCAACTGATCGCTGGTGTTCCTAAGAAAAATATTTTCCTTGAAGTACTTCTCTGATCATCAATATCACCGGCATAATCACTATTGCTAAAGTCGATTAGATTTGCCTCATTGACCCTTCTCACAGACAAGACTATAATCAATTATATCATTTATGTATTTGAATTTTTTTTACAACCGAGAGATGCTCTGAGATGGGATTCTCCATAAATCTACTCAGTAAACTTACTGAGAAAATTAAATGTGGTTGAGTATGAGTCAAATACCTCAGGCTCCTTGATGCTTTGAAATTGAGTTGGGTCTATCTTAGTCAAATACCTCAGGCTTCTAGAGGAGTCTGTGAGGAATTGTAGTTTCTGAGTCCTTTGAGCTCAAGAATCTTTCGTACATATCCTCTTTGACTCAAGTAGATGTAGTCTTTCTTTTGACTAATTTCAATTCCCAAGTAGGAACTTAGCGATCCAAGATCAATTATCAGTTTCTTCATCTGCCTTTTAAAATCATCAATATCTCTCTATCTAGTGCATGTCATAATTAAATCATCTACATACACTCTAATGATCATACTACATTCACTTGATCTCTTCAAATAAACTACATGTTCATGATTACTTTTAGTGAATTTAAGTGACAATAGGCACTTGTGAAGCTTGAAATACCAAGCACGAGGAACTTGTTTAAGCTCATAGAATACTTATTTCAACTTTAACATAAAATAGTCTTTGCCTTTCACACCAAATCCCTCCAATTGCTTCACATATAGATCTTCCTCCGCACCCTCATTTAGGAAGACTAACTTAACATCAAGATGATGTAAAGTTCATCTCCTTTGAGCTGCAATAGCAATGAGCACTCAAATAGACTCAAAACGTACCATATGGGCAAATACCTCATCATAATATATACCTTGTCTCTGCAAATAGTCCTTCATAATCACTTTGGCTTTGTGCCTCACAACTTCACCTTGTGCGTTCTTTTTGAGCTTGAATATCTATTTAAACCTAATTGACTTGCAATTAGCTAGGGGTGTTACTAGCTCCCATGTTTGACTTTGATCGATAGCCTCAGTTTCTTCATAACTCTCCTCCATACTTCCTCTCAAGAAGCATTTGTATAAGAGCTTGGGTCTTCACAAGTGAGAAAACAATCTTTATCCACATATGTAATTGGGTTTGTCTATGAGTAGATCTGAGTGAGGGACTTATATTTTGGAGCTTGATTGTCTTTAGACTCAATTTGAGAAGTGAAAATCTCTTCTTGAGGTTCGAATGTCTCCACTTCATCATTCTCAAAATCAAAGACTTCCTCCACAACTTAATCAGATAGAAAATCAGGTAAGAAATTAAATTTTGTGGTTTTTTCACCTTTCTTCTACTAGTCTCACTTGCTTTCTTCTTCAAAGAGAACATTTCTACTGATGTTGACTTCGCCGTTGACTGGATTATAACATCTATAGGTTTTAGTACCTACTTCATATCCAATAAGCATCATGGGGCTACTTCTATCGCCAAGTTTCTTCTGTGAGCCTTTAGTGTTCTTTACATCCACAATTGACTAAAAAATTCGTAAATAGTTAATATGTGACTTTCTCCCTGTCCACTTTTCATAGGGAGTCATACCTTGTAGACTTTTTTGTGAAGGAATGATTTAAAATCTAAACATAGGTGTTTACTATCTCTCCCACAATTCTCAGGGTGACTCTATTTCTTTCAACATGCTTCAGACCATGGACATCACAGTCCAATTCTTTCTCTCCACTATGCCATTTTGCTGAGATGAGTAGGGGGTATCAAGTGTCTCTTAATGCCCTGTGAAGCACAAAACATAGTAAATTCATTAGATGCAAACTCACCTCCCCTGTTTGAGCGAAAACACTTGATCTTTGTGTCTTTCTCAACCTCTAATAGTGCAGTGAAAGCATTTGATTTTTCTTTCAGCAGAGTCACCCACATTAATCTTGAACAATCATCAATGATTATTAAAAAATACTTACTCCCTCCTAATGTAGGTGGAGTAATGGGTCTGCAGATATCAACATATACAAGTTCAAGTGGTTGTGAGGCTTAGAATGTGGAGACTTTAGAAAATGGAGCTTAGTGCTCTTTGCCTACTACATAGTTCGTGCAGACCTAAGTAGGCACCCTGATATGAGGAAGTCTCTACACCAAATGTTTACTTGATATTTCCTTCAGATAATGAAAATTCAAGTGGCCAAAATGAGCATGTCACAACCAATTCTCATTCTTTGTATTTGTAATAATCAAATAGTGATCTATTACACTTAGCTTCAGTAAACAGAGTTTGCCTTCAGTAAACAACGTTTTTCATCTAGATGACCTAAACGGAGAATATTGGCCTTTAATTGAGGGACAAATAGGACATTAGTGAGCCGAAGCACACTGCCATCCTTCTTGTTAACTAGGAGACTACCTCTGCCTTCAATTTGAACCTTCGAATTATCTCTAAATTTGACCACTCTGTATGTTATCTTACCTAACTTAGTGAAGAAAGTCCAACAACCAAACATATGATTAGTAGCTCCAATATCAAAATATCAAAAATCAAGATCAGAGAGCTCACTCTTATAGCCCTAGAGTAGGAAACCACCATGTTCCTTTGTACATGCCATCAGAAGTGAGGATTCCTCCTTATCGGAAGACTCAGCCACATATACTCAATCGTTTCTTCCCTTCTTCATTTGGCTGATTCTATCCTCGTCCATGGCTTTTGCCTTTGTCTCAGTGCAGTGTCATCCTCTTCCACGAGATGAGGACTCCTCCTTAGTCGAGATATTTGATTTGCTCAGCACTCTAGCTAGTAATACTTGTTTCTCTTCTCTTGATTCACGCTCCTTGAGTCGCAGCTTGTGGACGCTCAATGAACCAATGGCCTCGTCAAGACTGATTTTATCCAAATTATCATATTGTTCCAAAGACAAGGTGAGAGCATCGAATTGAATGAGAGTGAGTGTCAAGAGAAGGCAACCATTTGGACATGTGAATGAGTGAGAGAGAGAGAAAGAGAGAGAGGTGTAAGCCATGTTGTTCACACCATTTCCAATGAAATACCCAAAAATGTTTTTCTTATTATTCAAATAAAATGTTTCAATTCTATAGATAAATTGTGAAAATTCTTTACTATGCTCAAAGGATTTGATCTATGAGCTGATGATTTGTATTTTATTTATGCCCATTTTTGGGCCCATTGTAATGATTATTAGTTGAAAATATTATCTCTTCAACTACCCAATGAATATGTAGAATCAAATGATCTTAACTTATTTTGCTGCAAATTTTTGATCAACATCTTCCCTGTTAAATGATTTTAATCATAGAAAATATTCTTGAATTTGATTTCATTGATTGTTAAGGGACCTATAGATACATTAATTTGTTGAAGTAGAGGTATAGGAAGTCTCATCTTGAATCTAGAAGAACTTTTGTCAGTTGGTAACATTAACGCGGCTCATTTGGCCCGGCCCGAAGCCCGCACATTCCGCCTTTGAATGACCGGTGCCAACGGTCATCTCCTACCAGTCCCTTCCCGCCACCTCACTCCTCTTCCTCTCTCTCCCTCTCTCCCTCTCTCCCTCTCTCCTTCTCTGTCTCTCTGTCTGTGTCTCTCTCTAATCTCCGCTCTCCTTGTGCTGGCGAACCTGTTTCTCTCCTTGGGAAGTCGATGAGCTTTCAAGATCTAGAGGGAACCTCGACGCAGCCCCCAGGGCTGCGGAAGACAGGGACCCTGATAGAGATGGCCAGTTCCATATTCCGTCTCAACACTTCCGTCGCCAGATTCCGGCGACTCGTGGACGCCGTCGGGACGGCCAAGGACTCTCTCGAACACCGCCGGACCCTGTACCTCCCTCCCCCCCTTCTTCTCCACTCTCCTACGCTGCCCGCCTTCTGCGGAATCTTATGCCATCATCCTTTCTGACTTCAGATTCTCTTTCTGTGCGCAGGTTTGATGCGAGGCAGTCGATCGGCAGGATGGTGAAGGAGATCTCGGGGAAGCTGAAGGCTCTCACCGTTGCCGACTCCACTGTCCCCGTAAGTCCCTGCGGGCACGATTTTCAGGCACTTTCTCTGTTCGATGTTTTGTCCATGAGAGTAGAGACGATCTGAGAGGCGATCCTCGGTCCGAAATACCAGCTCAGCAAGAGAGTGGAGGGATCGAAGCTCGCGGGGGACTTCCAGGCGGTGCTGGTCGACTTCCAGAGGGCCCAGAAGCTTTTGGCCGAGCGCGAGTTCGCCTACGTGCCTCCTCCTCCATCTCCTCGGCAGATTAGGTCTTACTCCGTCTGCTTATGAATACAGCCATCGCATCGGTTTAATTTTTTCAGGCTAATCAGCAAAAACTAGAGAACCCTAGATGGTGTGGGTAGCTGTAACTTTACCTTGACAGCCCTGTTCTAGGTGAGGACACGACCCCTCCTCTGGTGAAGAATCAAGAGCATGAAAGACCTTTAGGAGGACAACAGATGTAAGGGATCTGTACCCAGCGAAAAATATCTTTCATTTTGTTGAATTTTCTCTTTGACCACCGTTCCATAGACGCATGGAGAGATTCTTATTCTTCTTATGAACAGCCAAGTTCGTGAGCTCATCTTCCAGTTCAAAATCTCACAGAAAATAACAGTTCTGGACTGTTATCTTCTCTCATTGCCCTCGCATAATTCTGTAGGGGAGTGAGTCTCTCTCCCAGCATCTGCCTCCCTTTGGTGGAGTAAATCTCATCTTATTATCGATCAGTACGCAGAAGACAAGGAGCTCTGCCATCAGTCCGTACAGAGCCGATGGCGCATTCATTCCATGAGTTTATTAGAGCCATGACGCTGGATGACATGCATGATCTTTCTCTAGTCTGTATCTCCCCTACACATGGTTGGCTTCATTCTTCGGATCAGATACTCATTTCCTCCTCCATTCTAGTAAGTCATTCATATACAGAGAATCAACAGATTCGGTAAAGAGGATGGAAGGAGCTCACTCTATCGTAGCTGCTCATGGTCATTTTGACCGATTGATCTTCCAAATATGCTATTTTTTTCAGCAACTCCGGTTCTTTACACTGCTTCCCAGCTGCTTTTTGGCCTGTCATTTTGGTTTACTGCTTGAGAGCTTCCACTGTGTCCTGAATAGAAGCTGAAAGTGCCATCCTTGTGGTCCAACCCGGGAACCCCATTTTTCTGGGATTCGTTTCCTAAACTGGGTCCAGATCCACCCACATCGCACTGCAGGCCTCACAAAAGGCCCCCCTGAAGTTCTCTGGTTTCTGACCAAGCATGCTCACAAAATGTAGACAAGAGATGTTTCTCCTGGAGAACGAATTTGCGTTCAATGAAGCGATGGTAGAGGAAAGGGAAGAGGGGATCAGAGAAATCCAGCATCAGGTCGCCCAAGTCAACGAAATCTTTCATGACCTCGCTGTCTTAATTGGCCAGCAGGGTATTGTGATCGGTGAGAGTCCACGAACCCTTTCCATCTGAAAATCTTACACTTGTTTCTTTTGGTACTTGTTCATGATTTGAAGACATCACTCCTCCGATAAGCTGCAATGTTCTGCTTTCTTTTGACAGATGATATCGTAAAAAATATTGAGGCCGCCTCTGCAGAAACGGCCGATGCAGAAGCTCAATTCGCCAAGGGTTCCAACAGCATGAAATCAAGATCTTCATGGGTAAAACAGGCGACTTTCTTAAAACATTAGAGGATCCTCAGATGATGTTTCTCTTAAAGCATTGGTTTGATGGGCCGTCGATGACCAGGGTAAGCCCACATCCAAGCACGGTGCAGAAAAAAAAAGAAAAAAAAAAAGAGCATAGTATGATCCTTGTTCGGGTTGAGGGTGGACTTCAAAAGGGTCTGACCCCAAAATCTGTTAGAGGAGAATTAAACATGAGGATCTATTAAAATCATATAACTATTTATGTCAATTATTGAAGATCGGTAGAGTCTGATTCAACAGGGTCATTGAAAATGGGGCAAGATTAACGAATAATACCTCTAAATATACAACCCATTTCTGGAATGTGAGTAGGCATTTTCTTGACTTTTAAACTAAAATGGGTGTCTTGCTATTTCCTCTTTTTTTTTTTTGTTCGTTCCTTTCTCATTTAGCTAATCGTTTGCATCATCTTGTTGCAGTGGTGTTGGGTGCTTGTCATCGTTGCTGTGGTCTTGGTGGTTGTAGTGCTCATCTCAGTGTTATAGCTATACATGGGGTCTCTTTCACTAGGATAGACCGTGATGGTGGCCTAGGGGCCTTTAGTAGGGTTTCATTGTCTCAAGATAATCAATGATGGCTATGGATTGGGCCCAACCCATGTAACTTATAGCGTCTATTTAAAAAATTGTCGAGTTTTTTTATATATATATCCAAGATAATTTTTTCTAGTCAGGAAATTATCTTCTAAACCTTAACAAAAATATAGTTTTCTCGGTCTCCTTGAATTACAGATAAATTCCTCCATATCTTTAGTTTAGTCATAATTATCTCTTGATATTAGTATTCTTCTATTTTTGGTTTTTAATATTGCCTATAGTTAAATGAAAAAAATGGTCACAGTGTCTAATCAGCATCTCTCTCTCTCTCTCTCTCTCTCTCTTTCACAACTATGATGTTGCCTTTCCTCACATGTGGCACCCCTTACTTCCTTACCATTCCTAATTTACAAGGGCTTCATACAAACAATATTTTCATTCAGTCCATAGATTTTATGACAGCCATGAATTGATAAAACTAGTTGCCCTTTTCGTCAGTGTAGACATATCAAGGCAAAACATGGATTCAAGAATTTCTTACTGAACTTTTAAGGTGTTTTATTCTCTCATTGGTATTTAAGTCATGGTAAAAATATATGGTTGAGATGTTAACTATGTTTAATTCATAGCTGCACCTAGATTTAAGTTATGATGAACTAGTAATTCCATGTTTTATTGCATTCTTTAGTGCCTATTATGAACATCATGTATTGATACAATTCCATCAAACTTATAAAAATAGTAACATTATAGTATTACCCTATTTGTTGGGAAATAATTTCATGGATACATATGCAAGGATGATTGATAAATGCTTCCATTATCTAGCTAAATTTGATATTAATGGTGAGAAGACGATTATGTTGCAAAAAAAAATCTTAATTTCTTTTCCTATAATACAAGAAGAAGAAAAATATACATAAAAGACTACAACACTAAAATTGCACAAAGGATTAAAAGAAAATACTCCTTCATGTTTTGAACTAGACCATCCATTTCTGATTTTCTTTGTAGGAACTCAAAAGTTTTAGTTGAATATTGTGTATGATAGAATCAAAAGGGCTCGTTTATATAAAATGATTTATCAAGTTTCAGGGCTAGATTTCATATCTAAGATTTTTAAAAATATGATTTGATAGAGACAAAACTAACAATCATAATCCACGTATATAGCTCAATTTTTTTTTTACCAAGTTGTAGACAAGAAAGATTAAACTTATGAAATTGTGGGGGCCTCTCATGATTGTGGAATTAATGGGCCAAATGATTATCTAAAAAGACCAGATGGCATAAAACTATTATTTCTTCAAGTTTATTTTATTGCCACAAAAGTTGTAGATGGCAACATTATGTGGCATTCAGTGCCATTTTCTTATTAGGCCTTGACACTAGTTGATTTATAGAAATACTTTAAGCTCAAGAAGCATACACTTCTATTTTTGGATTACATTATATCCATATTGTATAATTTAAAATAACGTGTAGAATTCAGTGTGAGCTATTATGAAATTAGATTTTTTTAAAAAAATAGACATTTCTTAATTTATTGCGTAAAATTTCATAAATGAAAATAAACTCATAATTAGAATGAATAAGATTTCGTCATTATCAAAGCTAGTCAACAATATAAAATGGCCTTTTTAATCTTCCTATTAATGAAATAAAATATGCACTTCATTTTTATTGGATTTTTATAAAATAATTTTAATAATTCATGGGGAGGACTGGAGTGAGCTGTCTGCGACGAGGGTGATCGAATACACGTGGATTTGGGGATATGGGGCCTACTTTCATATTGTCTATTTTATCAGCGTTTAAATATCTAGCAAAAATAAATTCCTTTTGTTTTTCCACGTCACCTTCCCTCTCCCCTTCTGCTCGTCGTCCCTCTGCCCCTCCCTCCCGAGCCTCCTCCGAAGAGAGAAGACATGGGAAAGCAAGTAGAAAAACCAACGAGAACCCTAAAACCCTGCCCACCAAGTGCGCTCAAAACCTCGTGCTCGTTTCTTTCCTCTTCAGGCTCCAGCTCCAACCCAAGTATGTGACGTTCCCTTCCACCGCCACCGTCACCTGTTCGTCCTCTTCCTCCCTCCCAGCTCCCCCCCACCTTTCATAAAAGAAGAGGTGTGGCCGGCTGCATGATGTCACTGCTCCTCCGAAGCTGTTATCTGAGGCGGGCCCTCATCGCTGCGCAGGTCCTTTTCCTCGCCCGGATACCCTGCTACTTCTTGTCTCCTGAACATCTATTCCTCTCTATTATTATTATTATTTTATCGTGGTTAGTTCGTGTTGTGGGCATGGTATAGCGGGTGTGCTAGAGGTGTGCAGTTTCTGTTTCTCTGCCCAGTAGAGGGCTTCTCATGTGGCAGCGATCTTATGTTCATTTATACTGGTTGCACTGATGAAAATGATTAAAATTTTGTACCTTCTTGTTGGTGGGGTCTAATCGGTGTGAGGAACCATTAAGCCTGCTCTTTGGATCTCATGTGTCCTGCAGCGATTGGGATTTTTTCGAGGTCCAAATTTTCGGCGTTTATAATTTTGATTTTTTTTTTGAATTTCTCTTATCCACATAAGTTTGTACTTCGCGCAGGTCGTCAATCATGGAATTGCAGAGTCTAGACTCTTGTTGCGCAGCTTCTCTAAAGGTACCGAGAGAGAGGGAGGCGGAGGGAAAATATCTGGCCACTTCTCTTTTTGTACACCTTTTCATTGTGTGACACGATTATTCTTTCAATGGTCGCCACTAAGCTTCATTATAATCAGTGAGTGTCTAGTTTCATCATGGGGACCTGAGTACCAGTGATGGATTCTGGAATACAGGAACAGAATTTTGAAGGATCAATGTGTCATAGACAGTGGAACCTAATGTTTGACTTTGGTTCAATATTCTTTCATTAAAATATGTTACTCTACACCAAATTTTGACGTCATATATGCTGTATTTTGATAAGCATGCAAAATGATTCCAGTCTGTTTTCTTTGGGCTCAGTACTCAGCTTCTATGATTAAATTTATTCTAGTTCTCGACTTTCCATTTATTCTCGTCTCCTCCATTGAGCTCTCGGACATGGATCCTGAGAGTTAACGTTATCACCTTTTCATCGTATAAAGAGACAGATTCCTTGGTTCTTGTGTTCATCTCTTTTTCTGAATCAAGTGCTGAAGGCTTTTTCTGAATTAAAGCATTCTCTTTTTTCCAGATTTCTTCTCTCTCTAAGCATTTAATGTATGTCGACGTGTGTGGATGTTCCTTGAGAATATATCTTGGATATTCCTTGATATTTCCTCATATGGAAAGCATTTAATAGTCTTTTGAACTTGCCCACAAAATATGCCATTCCAAATGCACAAGTCTCGAGTGTCTGTCGGTGGTTGTATGGATTAGCAGGGAAAATATGACCGACGGTGTTAAAACACTTTATCCTACAGAAATCTTCATTACTGTTCTCGTTCTCAAAGACTAGTAAAGTTGGGATCTCTTGTGAATATGTTCATTAAATGAGTAGGGTTAATGCCTCACCTATTTCATTCCATTTTCTCTATCATTCTTTCCTGGTTTCGATCAAAGTCGAGTATATGCCCTTGTAAGGTGTGCGACATTGAGCCTGAATGGGCCTGAAGTGATTGCAATGAGTAAATTCTTCCGAGAAGACAATGGTCTAATCCATAACATACATTCATTAAACTTGGACTAACTAAGAACAATATGAGACTGTTTGCTGCTCCACAATCAACTCCTGACGATTTTCGACTAATATCTTGCTCAAGATAGTTGCTCCCAATGGATCAAATATCATTCTAGCTTTCTTTGACTATTAATAAAGCTATGTGCCTGTGTGTTATGCAGTCAGGCATCATTTTCATCTTTTCTCTTAATTGGTTCCACATTCATCTCAAGTGTAAAATGTTATTGTCTCGTGCTTTGATCTGCCTTTTTTTAAAGACTTGGGCATTTGATTTGCTCTTAAACTGAAGTTTCTCATCCTATAATTGTTTTTTTTTTCTTGGAAGGGAGAAAAAAATGTAAGCCAGATGGGAGTGACTCTGGAGAAGAGAACTTGTCCAAGAAAGATCTGGCTCTTCAGCTAGCCTTGGATCAGATTACAACTTCGTTTGGAAAAGGGGCTATCATGTGGCTTGGTCGCTCTCATACCCAGAAGGACGTCCCTGTTATATCTACCGGATCGTTTGCTTTGGACATAGCTTTAGGGATTGGTGGTCTTCCCAAGGTGACTTGTCTTCTAGATATATCCTCTTTTGATCGGATTCTTGCGATTCTTCATTGATCTACCTCCGAGTTGAATTTATTGATGTGACTAAAAGCAAAGTCTTAACTACCTTATGTTTTTGGTACTGCCTTATGTTTGGTTTTTTGCATTTGACATGTAGTTTGCAAAATTGTCATGATCCAGATCAATAAAATCAAGTTGGAATCAGTCTTTGGGGGAGAGGTTGTGTGAACATGCTAATTTATTTATTTTGTTTTTTTTTGTAAGAAAAGGTAAATCATATTTAATTGGTTAAAACAGAACGCAACTGGTAAAACTGGAGAATTCTAGTTTGCATTGCTGTTTCAACCATAATTGTACAGCTTGTGGGTTGTGAAATCTGAAAGTGGGACATCTCCCATTGGGTGTGAGTGGGTTGAACGACTATTACTATTTCCAACACAGACTGAAGTTCCCCTGGCTTCTTTTTCGTGAAGCATACGTAACACAGCAATGAAGCTTAAATCAGTCACCTCTAGAAGTTTTGAACCGTGAACTTCAGGCATTCCTTTTGCCCTTTGATGCATTTTACTTTCCATATCGATTGAGGTTGAGTTATCCTGGTAGTTTGGTTCTTTCTGTCACTCTAAAACAGACCATTCGATGACACAGGGACGGGTGGTGGAAGTGTATGGTCCAGAGGCATCAGGGAAAACTACTCTCGCCCTTCATGTCATCGCAGAGGCACAGAAGAATGGAGGTGAATTCTTGGAATCCTTATTAAACCCTTGATCATCGTAAGGGCCAAATAATCTCTGGGCGTGGTGGTTTTTGAACTAGATGATAATATTCTCAAGCTTATGGCTCTGTAAGCATGCAAAAGTGGGATAAGAAGACAAATGAAAGATAATCATTGATGAGAAAACTTATAAAAAGCATCATCATGGATTTATCGCTACAACTGCAATCTGCATTACATATTTGGTCTGCAACAATCTATTTTCTATGCTGCTATTGGTTTTCTTCTAAATTATTGATCCGCATCAACAGTCATTCATCTGTATTCTTTCTCTATTACTGTACCAACACCGGAAGAATTTTGTGTTGGATGCATGTCCAATGAGGACATGCATCTGTATTCTTTCTCTTTGAATTAATGGTGCTGTTCTCCAATGGGTTTTACCAGTAGCTATTCCCACTCCATATTGCCCTTCATACAGGCATCCAATCATATCATACCAATTCATAAGCCAAAATGACCATAACAGCGTTGTGGAAGTCTCTCAGAAAGGGAATTCCCCATGTAACTGGCATTTTTCTTTCCTATATAACCCATCGTTAAGAATGTAAGCATGGCTAAGTTGACGAACCCATCAAGATATCGTGAGGCTGATCTTTCAGTATTTGTCACAAAGTGGTGCATGAGCGAAACTGTGCGTCTTATGATGGCGAGTCTTCAGTTCGGAACCCAGAAAGGCATGTTTCAAAAATAAATAAATCATAATAATAATCATCGTATTATATTTTTACCTGCACCATCATTCGATTTATTGGGAGTCCAGAAAGGCATGATTGGTTGTTGATGCCTTTTACCTGGCGCAGCAGAAAGGCATGAGATTTTCTGGGTTGGGTGGGGAAATGATTGCTTGCTTGCTTGCTTTGGGGGGAAAATTGAATCTTGGAGGTTTCACCGAAGTTAGGGTTCACAGCGCTCCTATCGTCGTGGAGCATTGTGATTACTTTTTCATTTATTACTTTGCATCGTATTAAATTAATGTTTTTATTTTTTATTTTTTTTATGCAGGCTATTGTGCGTTCATAGATGCCGAACACGCTCTTGATCCTGCGTTGGCTGAGGCTATCGGTGTGAAAACAGATAATTTGCTCCTTTCACAGCCCGACAGTGGAGAGCAGGCACTGAGCCTGGTGGACACCCTCATTCGAAGCGGCTCAGTTGATGTTGTTGTTGTGGACAGTGTAAGAGCCCGCGCCCCCACATATAGACCGATCAGGATTTTCTTACCTTTTGAGCTTTATTATCTACCGGAAATAAGTGATTCATGAGGATGATGTACCATTCACATTTACCTGTTTATGGCGAGCCGGTGACGTTATCTATGGTTCATCTCATTTATATATATATTTATTTTATTTTATTTTTCTTGGATTTACCTTGGATTATTAGAAGCCATAAGCAGCAATCTTTGGTGGGTCTCGTGCGACGCGCAGGTTGCCGCTCTGGTTCCAAAGACGGAGCTTGATGGTGAGATGGGGGACGCGCATGTGGCCCTCCAGGCAAGACTGATGAGCCAGGCTCTTCGCAAATTGTGCCACTCCCTCTCTCTGTCGCAAACCATCTTGATATTCATCAACCAGGTACGATTTTTCTCTCTTACTCCAGTGGAGGGTCCCTTCCTCCCCCCTCAACAGTCTCTTTCAAAAGAATTTCTTAATCTTACCATGGCATCATTCATATGAGAGAGAGAGAGAGAGAGAGAGAGAGAGGGCAGCTGTTCTGTGTTCAGAACAGCTATTTCTGGCAACAACTGGGAGATGTTGGTAGTTACTTCAAGTAGTGAAGTGTACAGTTGTCTTTCATCCATCCGGGTGCATTCATGGTTGTGTGCTGACTGCTCGTTCGGATTTCAGGTGAGATCGAAGGTGAGCACATTTGGGGGAGGGTTCGGGGGCCCCACCGAGGTCACCTCTGGCGGCAACGCCTTAAAGTTCTACGCTTCCATCCGCCTGAACATCAAGAGGATTGGGCTCGTCAAGAAGGGCGATGAGGTGAGCGCTGCTGCAAACTCCTTTTTTTTTTTTTTTTCTTTGCCAAAAATTATGAATTTTGTGGTCATATCTGAACCGGGGAGCGGGAGAGGGGGGAGAAAAAAAAAGGAAGAAAAGATTTCCTCGTCTTGTGGGTGTAGTTACAGTCGCGAATTTTTCTTTTTTTTTTAGTTGGGTTCTTTAGTCTGATTCAGATTATGAATGTTGTGATCTAATCCGCGAAGAGGGGAGCGGGAGAGGGAAATAATATATATATATATATATATCCTCGTCTTGCAGGTGTAATTTCAGTCGTGAATTTATTTATTTTGAGTTGTGTTGTTGTGTTTTTTTAATCTGATTCAGATTATGAATGTTGTGATCATCCTGGACTGCGAATGAATGAATTATACTAGCAGAAATCGCAGTTCTTGGGGGGAAATGGAAAATTTTCTCCAATAACTCATGGAATCGTGAATTGTATGAACGATTCATGAGTGGAGTCTTGGATCTTTGGGTGTGTTTGCAGACGGTGGGGAGCCAGGTGCTGGTGAAGATCGTGAAGAACAAGCACGCCCCTCCATTCAGGACAGCGCAGTTCGAGCTCGAGTTCGGTCGGGGGATCTGCCGGGACTCGGAGATCATCGAGCTCGGCTGCCGCCACAAACTCATCGCCAAGGCTGGCGGCGCCTTCTACACCTTCGCCGGCCGCAGCTTCCGCGGCAAGGACGCCATCAAGCGCTTCTTTGCCGAGGACGGCGCCGCCGCCAGGGAGCAGCTCGCGGCGGAGCTCCGCCAGAAGCTCGCAGCGCCGCCACCCGGCAGGCCGAGGAATGGCAGCGGCGGCGACTCGGAGGAGGGGCCCGCCGCCGTCGCCGACGGGACCGATGAAGAAGAGGAGGTCGTCGTTGCCGCCGTGGAAGCGTGAGGATGGAGGCCGCCGCTGCCGCCGCCGTCGCCGGGGGATCCTACGTGGAGGTGACGTGGAGCCCTACATGAAGCCTATATAGAGGTGATGTGGATATGACGTGGAGCCTATGAGTGAGTCAGTGGTGGGTCCCACTCTCGTCGCCTTGAGTTTTGATCGGTTGGTCGGTCGTGTTAGATGGTCCATCTGCGAGGGGATGGATCTGTCCATCTAATTCAAGTTAATTATAGTGTTTCCTAGGAAATGGCCAACGTCGGAATGAGGCCGTCTCTCTAAGCAGGGGTTGGGCTCACTTTGGGTATTGTTATTCCCCCGGGATATCCCCCAGAGAGCCGAAAAAGTAATTAATTATATGAGGAATAAGAAGGCCCTAAGTTTGGTGCCGTCACGTTCGGTGGGTCTCCCCCGTCAATGTAAGGCGTTTGACGTGGCATTTTGGGTACAGACAAGCGCCGACGATCGTCCCATATGATGCGCAGGTTAGGAGATGGCAGCTTCCCTTTCTTCGCGCCACGTCAGAAGTGTGGTCAGACACGTCGGTTAGGCCCCGACTGTGAGCTTGCCGATGAAACGGGAACGTCAAGATTACCCACCGACGGTCTGTGGCCCCCCCCCACCCCGGCATACAGGATCCAGACCGTCCGTTGGAGGATCTACGAGTTCAACATGCCGCTTGTTTGGATGGCGCTCTGTGGGGCCTGCTGCGGGCATCTACGACGAAGCCGATGAATAACCGTTTCCCTCCCCCCCTGTGGGGCCCGCCTCTCTCTCTTTTTTCCCGGGGCGCGCGCAGAGAGCACTGGGTAATGGTTCCCTCTCATTCTCTCTCTAGCTATTTCCCATTTTATCCCTGCGTTTCTTCATCATCTCGTTCCGAGATCTTCTCCTTCCTGCTTTCCGGTTCTCTCTCTTCTCCACGACGCACGCCTCGATTTGTAGCAGAGAGGATACCGTCACTGTCTCTCTCTTTCTCTATCTATCTATCTGTCTATGTTTTTCGGTTTGTTTTTTCTCCCGAGCTATGAAATGGTAAAGAGGCTGAAGATCTTCGTGGTAAGATCTATGTTGTCTTCTTGTTCTTTGTCCTCTCTTCTGCATTGCATTTCCCTCTGTTTCATTCTTCGTCTGGGCAGATGTTCGTCCCGCGTTTACAGACCGATCAACGAATGGGTGTCTTTCTTGTCTGGACCCTGCGCCGATCGGTTTCAGAGTCCCTTTGTCCGTTCTGTTTATTAGGTGACACGATGTCTAGTTTGCTTTTCATTTTTTGCTCAAGGATGGTCAGGAAAACGAGAATTGCGATTTAATTTCTTCTCTTTTGTTTTGAATTGTTCGTACTCATGTTTTTGGCGTACCATTCGGCTGGAAAGGGGTGGCCGTGACAGCAACCGGGTTTCTATTGCTCTTGCAGATGTATTGAAGTTTCTGGTCTCCTGTTAGGAGAGTTTCGCCGTCTGTAAAATTTGATTGCGCCTAGCTGTTCGCACTGGGATTCAGTGTCAATGGGCGTTAAGATCCCGAGTGTGGAGATCTTGGTGAATCGGATTTTCAATCATTGGTTATTATTGTTGAAACAAAATTTGTTGCCTGCTCAAATGATTTGTAAAGGATTCTGTCGCCCTACTAATTTTTGTCTTATCAATTAGCCATCGCGCATTCTTGCACTGCTGTGATGATTATTCAGTCTTCATGATCACTGAAATACTTCCTTGTGTGTATCGTCTCTCTGACAATTTCACTGCGAAATTCAGGTTTGACTGTAACCCAACAGCGGTTTTTGAGCTTCTTCCTCCTTCCACTATGGATGAGCTAACCTGAAGAAGCATCCCCGAACCACAGTGATGGGTGGAGGACATTGGACTTATAAGAGGAGACTATCAGTGGCGTTGTGTAGGGTGAGGAGTTGCCGCAGTGGTATATATCCATTGTTCATGTGCTCATAAGATCTCTTCGCTACTGGGTACCAATGGGGGAGTGGGTTGTTGGGGCGTTCATCAACCTATTTGGTAGCATTGCCATCAACTTTGGGACCAACCTTTTAAAACTCGGACATGATCAGGTAAATTGTGCTTTCCCCTTCTCTGCATACATGTGCTGACGAATTGATTCAAAGTCAGGATCTATGAAGGATATGGAAACATAAAATAACCGCTTGATCTAGTATTCTTTCCTTGCGTGCGGAAAACGCGGATCTCACCCATAGATAAGAGCATGAATGTCTACATGAAAGTATAGTCAATATCCCATCGACTACACAAATATGCTGTCTGTCCCTAATCCGTTTGGGGAGCGGGATGGAGTCTCTAAATTCCTGATTTATGTGAGATAAAAGTTCCTAGGCTACAATTCTTGATTAGAAGAAAACCCACCCAGACGATCAAAGGTGTCATAAACCGAGTCTCCTTGATAACTAAAAATCACAGACGATTGGGAGAGCAAGATGGAGAATCGTGCAAAAAAAAAAGACAGTTATTACTTTACTTGATAGATCAAAGATAGGCTGCGTGTTTTTATTTGGGTCTTTTATTCTCCACCTGATCCTATGCCAGTCATGATACTACAACAGGTCCTCGTGGATCAGTTTTATCTAAAAAAATTGGAATTTCCACGGTTGTTTCTTTCAACATTCTACTCCCGCCTCGACAGATGCTGGAAATCCAACATCCCAATATTAAATGGGAGAGTTTCATGTGTCATATAGAAAAGTATTCCTCTGATTTATCTGTTAGCGATGATAGCTCCCCTGGTAATGATCTGCCAAAAATCTAATCCAAACTTCTTTCTCTTCTGAATAACATTATCGACGTTAAAAAATTCGCTGATCTGAAAGTGAAACTTCAGCTCTTGAAATCTGCGCTCTAAAGCCACACTTTCTCACTGTTTTGCTTTTGCTTCTGGCTGAAACACATAATAATTTTGCAGGCCTAAAAAGGCATCCCTTGTCTGAATTTTATTCTCAGAAAGATATGGACAGCACTTTCCTCCCTCTCAAAAACCCTTCACCGTCACTAACCGTCAAAGCCAAAGTTCATACTTCATTGCTCATTTTTTCAGTATCACCTGTTTGCTGCCCTCCTCATAGTTTCCTAATTTTTTTCTTTAATTATTCTTGGTACTTGTTGGCTACTTCTCAAATATCAACCCTTCTACTGTTAGATCGTATTGGACAGCGTGTTGACTCAGTTATTTGAAGCGTCACCCGATATCATGTGCCTCAAATCCGTCACTCTGTAAAATGCATCCTGTTTCTTTTTCCCAGGTTTTCAGCAGATTAGTGTGATTTTTTCCTTTTTCAACTTCCTAACCGCTTTTTGGTAAATTCTGCAGTAATTGGAGACAGAAAATTGTGGACATTTCCCTGAATTTTCATCACGAATTCCATGAATTCTTAGCAAAGGTTTTCGTTTTTTCTTAGCCTCCAGTCCAAAGTTTTAGCAACTTGCTGACCAAGATCATATTACTTGTTACATTTTTTTTCACCTATGCTCTTATCGGCCAATTGTATGGCACTATGCCATCTTAGGCTGCAATGGAACGCATCTATGAATTGCGTCAAGGTTTCCCGAAGAGATCCCTTCCCTGTACTCAATTTTTCCTGGTTATAAGACCAGAAAATGGTCAAAACGAGCTATATACAGTTGGTTATTTTTATTCTACGTCTTACGAGTCTTCATTCAAAGGTGTATGTTCTGTACTTTTCACCTTCATATCTTGGAGATTGTCATGCGCTATTTTTGTTGTCTTTTGCATTGGAGTGAAACACTTAATGCTGTTGCAGCGAGAAAGGCTTTCTATGCTGGGCGGTGACGGAAGCAACAGGGTTGCATTAAAGCCAATTATACATTTTCACACGTGGAGAGTTGGTGATGTTCTAAATTACTCTCTTGCTGGTGAAGACACACTTGGCGTTATTTTGAAAGAATCTGATCCCAGAGGATTAACCTGCAGGAATTCTCTTCTTTGTTCTCGGGAATTGCCTCAACTTCATTTCTTTTGGATATGCTGCGCAGGCAAGTAGTAATACATCATTGCTATCACGCATTCCACTGGACTGAGTTAGTACTTCCTTATTAACGTAAATTCTTGTCATTATGCCTGATGGGACGCCGTAAAGCCGCTGTCAGTTACCTTAGTGGACCTTGCAAATATTTTTTTTCTTTGCTAAACTTTTAAATTTGAAGAGGCCTATAGTAAATATGGGCAAGATTCCGGCAGATATGATCCATGAGGAGCGTTTGCCAGTTTGATGGCTGGTTACTTGTCATGCAATTTCCCCAATGGATAACACAGACTCTAGGAATCAGAATCCTAGAGATAGATATTTTTTTGTTCGAGACTGGATTTTAGAGGAATAGATAACAGAAATCAAAGAACCGGCAGCTTTGAATATCAGATTTATCTATGAGGAACACATTTACCCATTAACTTCTATGCCGCAAGCGCTGGAACAGGCGAAAAAATTACAATTTATTCGGTTCATCTTTAGCATACTAATTACATATAACGTGGCAACACTGTGTTGTGCCCACATTGAATGAGAACGTGCTGCGTTATTGACTTGATTCATCTGATTTTCCTTCATCTACTGCTCATAACGAGTGTTGGGTCGAGCTAATTTATGCTATCAAGTTTTTTAACGTCTCATTAGATATTTGTGTGGATAGTGGGTGGCTAGGCCCCTTTTTTTTGTATTTTAGATGGTCTCTCTCCACCAGGGACCCTTTTATTCAATTTTAAGGCGAAGCTGAGCATTTTGAACATTTATTTGATCTGACAGTGTAAAGACAGGTTTTTTTTTTTTTCTCAATTAAATTCGTTTACACATTCGTTCACCTCTTTTTGCAGTCGCTCCTCGCGGCCCTGGGATCCGTTCAATTCGTGTCTAATATTGCATTCTCCTATTTTGTCTTGACCAAGATGGTAACAGTCAAGTGAGCCCATCTGTAAATCACAAATCGTTTTGCTTAGTGGACTTTGCATCTTAGACTGATCCTTCATCTGTTGAATGGATGAACTAATGGATGAAACAATCTTCTTTTCAGGGTTATGATTGCAACAGCCTTTATTGTTTTCGGCAACGTTTTCCTCGTTTCATTTGGCAATCACCAGTCTCCTGGTATCATCATCATCCTTGCTTGCGTATATTTGCATCAGCAGCCCTTGCAACGGGGCATTGCCATTATATGACACTATCTTTTGTGAGGACGACAACAGCGTTCTACATGTAAACGAGCCAATAGATGATTTTTGGTAGATTTTCTTTTCATGCTTGTCCATATTTTCCAGTTTTCACACCGGAGCAGCTAGCGGAGAAGTACAAGAATCTCGTCTTCCTTCTTTACTGCTTAACTTTGGTGCTGGTAGTAGCAGTGAATCACTACATTTACAGGTAAACGTGTTACTTACCGCTGGATGGATACTCATGACCTCTCAGTCCGCGTCCCACCCACGTCACAAGATTTCTCTGTTCTCGGGAAGATCTTCCATAATTTCATCGATTTCTTAAGATTCTAGCCGCTGCGGCAACTCCCTCCTCTGACGATCGATACTATGTGAATCATCATCAACAGGAAAGGTGAAATCTCTGTTTCAGCCTCCAGCCCCGAGTTCAGCCCGTATTGGCACACGCTGCTGCCCTTCTCCTATGCCATAGTCTCCGGTGCAGTGGGCTCATGCTCCGTCTTATTTGCCAAATCTCTGTAATCCCCTACTCTCCTCTCGGAATGATGCAGTTTCTGGTACCCTCTAAGATATATATGTTAAGATATTTATATATATATAAAGTTAAATCCCAATTCTTGCCACCTATTGGCTTTTATTTCAGGTCAAATATGCTGAGACTGACGATGTCAAGCAGTTACCACTTGCACAGCTGGTTCACCTACTCCATGTTTCTCCTGTTTCTCAGTACAGCAGGATTTTGGGTAATGCATTTTGATAATATACGCTGATTGCCTTGAATCAAGCAGTGACCGGCCCGGCCACCTGCTTAATGTTTTCGTGCTAGATCATTTATTTGTTTATTTATTTTAAAAAAATCCATCTTCCACAGATGGCGAGGCTGAACGAGGGCCTGTCGCTGTTCGATGCAATCCTCATCGTCCCCATGTTCCAGATTTCTTGGACCTTCTTCTCTATCTGCACGGGATTCGTCTACTTTCAGGAGTACCAGGTGGGGACCAGTCAAGTCCTTTTCCTCCCTCCCCGCACGAGTTCATCTCGCAGAGACCCTATCTTACTGCTTACTTGCTTCTGGAAATTATTATTATTATTATTGCTGTTTGATTACCAGGTGTTCGATGGATTGAGAACAACCATGTTCGTACTGGGCATGTCGTTCGTGTTCATCGGGATTTCACTATTGGCCCCCGACGACTACTCCAAAGGTGCTGCGCTCCTCTCAGCGGGATTTCGTGCTATTAATCCTCCTCCTGGGGGAGTAGGATCGGATTTTATCTCATCTGATCTGACAGAGTGGATGTGTATGTATGATCCTTGAGTAGGTGGAGATGCTAGAGATGCTAGAGATGCTTATCCTGCTTCCTCCTTTGCTCAGGGGATTCCGGCGGATGCAAACAGGTGCACAAAAACTTTTTATTTATTTATTATTATCTTCTCTCACTAGCTGTAGAGTTTGTCTTGAGTGATATATACGGTTGGTTGTTTTGATTATTTTCATGATCTTCCTGCAGGCTGGGGAAGCAGCGAAATGATGACGCCGAGCCCAAGGATTCAAGGCTCCTCTGGTGGCCTCTGCGGGCAAAGGCTGAATCTTTCCTCTCCAAGGCAAAGGTGATTTTAGTGGGCATCATCCCTCTCTCTCTCTCTCACACACACACTCTTTCTCTTCGATGTGTAGATTTTAGATTGACCCAGTAGATCAAAGCAGTTTCTTGATCTGACCCACCGGCGAACATGATCCCAGTAGTCATGATTCCACCTGATCTTCCTGAATTCCCGCATAATCTCTCTCTCTCTCTCTCTCTCTCTCTCTCTCTCTCTCTCTCTCTCTCTATTTATCTATGCATGTATGTATGTATCTATCTTTCTATCTATCCATCTCCTGTGGTTGAAGAAGGATCTGGGGTGTGCTCTGGATGCAGGCGGCCTGCTCTCTCTCTCTAGGATTGGGGGAGGAATCAATGCACGCCTCATCAGTGCTGGTGATGCCAATGGTGTCGTCGAGGACGACGGGCTTCAGAGGGACCACCATCTTCAGCCGGGCCAGGTTCGGCCCCCTGGACGAGGACCACTGGCCGGCGTTCTCCATGGACATCATCGACCATGAGCCCCCCAACGACGCGACCTTGCTCCTCCCCCGACCTTCTTCCTCCTGATTCTTCAATGTGATCCATCCAGTTCTCTCTATTCGTATTTCATTTTTATTGTCGTTCTTATTTTTTATTTGTACCCTCTCCATGTATAGAACCCCTAGATTTCAAGATGTAATCACCAAATATTTGAGCTCCTTGGTGCCCGTTGACTTTATTTCCTTCTCGTGTATGTGTGAAGAGAGAGAGAGAGAGAGAGAGAGAGAGAGAGAGAGAGAGAGAGAGAGAGAATCACAAATATAAAACTTTAGAGGGTTAAAAATTAGGTATTGAATATTAGTAATTATTAGAAAAGACTTATTAATATTGATTTCACACTCCATAAAATACAATGTGAAGAAGAAAAGAAGAAGAAATAGATCACCACTAACACAATGTGGTGGGGAAGGAGGGGGGGGACCGAGCGATTCACGAGGCCGGTGACTCATGCCTGCTGCATTTAATGCATTTTATTTAATGAACTGCCCAAAAAGTTGACCACATTCAATGACACTAGGCGCAAAAAAACTTGGGTGGGTCAATTTAGGAAACAAATTAAAAACATCGATCGTCCAGGGACCGATCCGAGAATCCTAACCTTCACCTTTCAGCGGGCCTTCTTCGAGCTGCCCGCCCCCGGCGAGCGGGCGACGGCGGCGGTGGCGGCGCTGATGGCCCTCCAGCTCCTGACGGCTATGAGTGTGGGGATCACCGTCCAGGGGCTGTTGGCGCCGACGAAGTAGGCCCAGAAGTAGACGGCGTTGACCGAGAAGCCGTGGCCCAGCAGGTGGGCGGTAATGAAGTAGACCAGGCACCCGTACAGCTGCCCGAGGCACACCGCTAGCTGGATCGTGTGCCGGTACGGCCTCTGCCACGCAATCGCCAGCCTGGTACGATTCAAAGCAAAGGACTTCCCAGCTCACCCATCCCCACCGAAGGAAGAATTAAGGTTCTCATGAACAGAGCAGAGAAAGAAGAAAAAGCAGATTTAGGGTCTCGGATCACTGATCTACCTCCTCATCTGGCAGCAGAATGGGTTAGGGTTAGGGTTAGGATTAGGGAGAGTTAAGGTTAGGGTTAGGGTGAGGGTTAGGGCTAGGGCTAGGCTAGGCTACTAGGGCTAGGGCTAGGTCTAGGGCGACCACCTGCAATACTTCTCAAGGAGCAGCAGAAAATGAGAGGAGAGGGAGGAGGGGAGAGAAGAGGTGGTTGTGCTTACACTGCGAGAAGGCAGGCGGGGCCCTCGAGGACCGCGGTGATGCCTTCGACGGTGACAATGGTGGGGTCTCTGGCGGCGTATCTCGAGTCCCCTTTGCTGTACTCCTTCCCTGCGGACGGCAGAATTTTCTTCAAGGCACCATTAATGAATCTAGGATCTCTTGCTGGACGACGGTACGGGGGGGGGAAGGGGATCAGAAGTAGATGTTCGCAGAGTTGAATGAAATGATCGTGAGATGAGGACGACGACGACGACGACGACGACAATGATGATGATTGAGGGAGGGGAGGAACTTACAGACTTCTGCCAAGTAAAAGGAGGTCTTATTCTGGTAGAAGCGAGGGGAGAAGGCGTAGTAACCCTCGATGATGATGTGGGTGAGCCCGGTGAACGCCCACCAGCACATGATGATCCTGTCCGTCTTTGACAGCTTCGGATAGCGCCCTACAGAAGATGAAGAAAAGAGATCATCGATCATCATCTAGAGAGAGAGAGAGAGAGAGAGAGACAGACAGACAGACAGACAGACAGACAGAAGAAGAACAAGATAACGACGACGACGACGATGATAACGAAGAAGATGGAGGAGGGGGACCTGAGAAAGCCCAGACGAGGAGGACGGCGAGGATGGAGCCGGTGGCATAGGTGATGAGGATGTCGACGGTGGTCAGGAAATTGGGGACGAAGGCCGGCAGCTCCAGGTCCCTCGGTGCGTACGGGTGCTCGTAACCCGCCGCCATCTTCTTCTCCTCTCTCTCTCTCTCTCTCTCTACCTCTGGGTTTCTCTCTCTCTTGATCTCTTGTTAACCTCATCATCTGTTTGTAAGACTAGTGTGGGCCCCGGTTCTTCTTTGGAGCTTAGCGGGGTCTACACGCCGATGCGTGAGTGAGCGACCTCAGATAGGGCTGATAATTTTATTGGAGAGAGAGAGAGGAGGGGGGTGTGGATCTCGAGGTCCATGGCTGCAGAAAATCCTATACGCTGCAAGCCGAAACCCAGAACCCTAATTTTGCCCTTTTTGGAAATCCCTCACAGGAAAACCCAGATACACTCACCATTAGTTCCATCATTATCATCCATCCATCTCTTCTTCTTCATCCCCAGTCGAACTGAGAACCCTAATTCCCAAATTTTAGTGGACCCTGTACGTCCCTCAATCTGATACACGGAGCCCTAATTTCGCCATCGTCTAGAGCACGAACCACCCTAAATGAGGCACCCCCCTTCATCACCACGAAAACCCCACCACCTTCATCCCCACATGGGCTATGGATATCGCCAAAGAGAAGACCTGCGTGTGATGGGCCGAGTGGAGGACTCAGAAGAGGTCACCTCGGAAGGGAAGGGAAGGGAAGGGAGGGGGAAAGCTCCGTAGCTTTACCAGGTATGGAGAAAAACCTATCGCTCGGCACAGAAGCCGTCCAAAACGTGGCGAGAGGGCCGCAAAACCTCCAAATGAGGGACGGAGATGACCCGGAAAAAAAAAATCGACATCCCCTGGAAGCCAGCGAGAGAGAGAGAGAGAGAGAGAGAGGTGATTATCTGATCCTCTGAAGATTTGACCAATTGACGTTGCAGGAAGATGCCCCCCCCCCCGATCTAATCATCAGGGTCCATCTCCGCGTCCTGCTCTGAGGGCCCCGCGGCGGCAGCGTCCGCCTTGCTGCCGCCGTCAGTCTCCGGTGGAAATTCTCCACCCACCTCATCTTCTCCGCCACCGCCTTCCTCACTGCCGTCATCCTTGCCACCAGTAGCTCTCAGGGAGACTGAGACAGGACTGGACCTCATCCACTCTGGGCATATTTCCACGCCGCCGAGGAGAACTTCCTGGTCGCCGGCGGCCGGGGAAGTTCTGCAGGAGCATCCCGGCAAGGGGTGAGAGAGGAACGACGGTGGCGGCTGCTGCTCCGTCATTCTATCTGCCGCCGCCGCCAGACCCTCCACGCCTAATCCCTTCTTGAGGCTCTCCCTCATTGCCAAGGTCCAGTTCCGACTGGGATGATAGCGATTGCTGCTGGTCGTCCCAAATAATTCTGCAAGCCTCCTCCTGAAAACAAATTGAGAAGAAGAGGATCGTCATCAACAGTTGAGCATCATCATCATCATCACCATCATCATCATCTTTAATTAACTGCCACATATCGGTAAAAGGAAAGCTCCAACAGAGAACAAGAAAGGTCTGCAGCTTGAACCAGAAGATTAAAAAACAAAACCTTCGAGAGCTCGATCATCATCATCATCATCATCTTAATTAATTGCCGCAGATGGGTATAACAAAAACTCCAAGAGAGAACAAGAAAGATCTGAACTTGAATCAGGGGAACTAACAAAAAAAAAAAAAAGCTTTCTAGAGCTCGATCAAAAAACCTTCCTCACCTGTCAGGGCGATAGGTGATCTTGGAGGCCGACTTGTGCAGGCGGTGCCCCATGACCAGGCTGGAGAAATCCGGCCACCGGCTGCCATCATCATTGAACCCGGGGAAGAATGCGTCGGCCTCGACAGAGACATGGTAGTCGAGGGCGTCCCATAGCAACCTGTGGGCGTTCATCCTGAGATCCATGGTAGTGGGATCGGGCTCAACCTCGGCCTCCGCCAGCCAGCCGTACCAGCCTTCCTTCTCATGCCGGTAGAACGGCCGCCCTGGCGGCGGTGGCAGGGGGCGGGGGCGGGGCCCCGCCTTCTTCCACTCCTCTTGGAGCTCCTCTTTGGTCTTCGGCGGCGGCGGCTGGACGGTGCTGGGGGGGAGAGGAGACTCAGGGCCTGCTAGGCTCGAGAGCTCCGTCTTGCCGCACAGGGAGGAGCGGTCAACTGTGTTGCCGTACATGGCCCGCAGAGGGAGGAGAACTCGTTGCCCGCCAAACGTCTCAGAACCGGCCAAGTAGATGATGGTGTCCGGAGGGTACTCCACGGCTCGGAGGAGAAGGCCGACCTGCAAGGAGCAGAAGAGAAGGGCTTCACCAAGGCAAATTTATGATCATGGTAGGTTTGTATCTCTATGTGAAGGGATCGAAGCTCAGAGAATGGAATATTAATGGAAGACTGCGGATAGCATGTAGATCAAGAGCCTGTTGGCCCGAGATAAAGCTCATCAAATCGAGGGCAGATCACTTGGGTCGGACTAAATTGCACCGAGATCTATAAAGGATCATCGGATTCTGATGCCAGAGACAAGGGTATTATCAGATACTCCCCATCTGGAGTGGGGATATTGGTGAAGGCCATGCGCTTAACAGATCGCAAGGGTGGGTCAGGCTAAATTGCACCAAAATCTCTGCAAGCAACATCGTTCAATAGGTTTTATATTGTTTTCAAAGTTAGGGTTATGGGAAAAATCAGATAAATCCCAATCTGGATTGGGGTCCTGTCAAAAGACACGCAGTAAAGAATCACAGATGGAGATAAGATCAGAATATTTTTTCACATGCAGGCTGTCTGAGGATAGATTTTTTCCTCAAATTTATGACAAGGACAGCGTAAGGAACCGCAGGATTATTCCAATTGTGGGTCAACTGAGGGCTGGATGACGGGAGAAACAAATATTTTATGTTGAAACTTACTGTGAATTACTTGAAGATATGCATGAAAAATACATAAAATAACTTAATTTTAAGAAAAAACCCCTTCAAGGCAGAAGAAGGCAACAGTGAATCCACCTCTTCTGGCATCAGAGGACATGACCCATTTCTTTTTCGAATGAATGAATCAACGCTCAGTTCTTCGTGTAGAATCCCCTTTTTGATCATTTGCTTCCTTCTGTGCTGTATAAGCTCTGTGTGAAGATCCTGATCAATCCACATTGCGAACCAGAGGTTAGATAGTTATAAAAAATGAAGACAGAAGGAAAGCACAACATAATTTTTAGTATTGGAAACTTTAAACTGCCTCAACACCTGCCCCTGTTCTCAGTATAACATATAGAAGGATTGAAAATAACAAGTAGACCAGATGAGATGGTACAAGAATAGCTGACCTGAAAAAGCTCGGCACATCCATGGAATGCCAGTGTTTCTTTTACAAGACCAGGGTGATACGCCAAATAAGGTTTTCCAGAAGCTCTCAACCTGCCAAACGAATTTGAATAATGCTGTTCAGCTAAAAAAAGCTGTTCAGTTGAACCTAGATCCAGACGTAAAGGCAAGTAATCCGACTACTGACTCAGATCTCCACGGGAACTTGAACTGTCAGAGCCTAACGAGATCAAGAACTCAAACATATAATTTCTATGGCTTTTTAAGACGACCAGGGTGAACCTGTCTTATGCCTACATGATGGGTTATTAAAATTTAAAAAATTAAGCATGAGTATTTGATAAACAGGAAAAGTGTCCATATACACAAAATATTGAGCCTGAAATAATATTCAAATATGTTTTATACACGTAATTGAATAATAAAATTAGAGACGCCCATTACATATGCAAAAATATTAGTATTCATACAAATAAGCATCAGCATAAAACGCATAAAACGTTGACAACAAAAATTTCATCATTCAGTAGTTAACATAAAAGTAGATACGAGTGAACAATTTCAACCAAGAGACCACCACAATGCTTTTGTGATGCAAACACATGGTACTGTGCGACAAGACCAAATTACGGGGCATTAAAGCCCTCATCTAGGTAGTTTGTACACTTTTGTTGTCAAGGCTCTACTTTGGAAGTTACGAGACAACCAGACAAAAGTCAACAATCTACATATGTTCAAAGAATATTGCAACACATTCATATGATGATGCATAATCTACTGCAACATCTTTGAAAGGGTTTAGGTTTTGGTGGTGATATTTTAGCAATCAGGGGTGAGACTGTCTGGCCCTCTTCACTTTGAAGAATTTGATGAGAGTTGAGAGAAATCTACAACTCACCAACTTCTATCCAACAAAAAGGTGTCATGTTTACCAATAAACCACAAAAGTAATATATGCCAAATTAACCGAAAAATTACTACAACTGAATCAATCATATCCTGAAAGTAACTGAATAATTTAATACGAAGAAGTGAAATTTTCCACACCAAATAAACACTTTGGAGTAATCTGATCAAGGAATCTGGTCATGAAAAGTGCTACCTTTCCACAATTTGAGTTCCAAGTGCCTTAATTTCAGGGCGGAAATCAAGAGCCATGAAAGCAACTTTGCATCTGAGCCTCTGATACTCGACCATAGTTGGAGGAAGGACAGACTGGAAAAAGAAATGGGAATGATCAGAGAACAATAAGAGCTCTTGCCTTAGAAAAGAGCAGGATGGGATCCTAGGGCAGCTCAAACAAAAGTATGTGCACATGTTTACTAAAACACATCAACAAATAGAGGTTAGGAACTATGATAGAATCACTCACCTCCGTGCTACATTGAGCTTCAAAGAAATTATTGTAGTACTACGCTCAGTATATGTGTAAGATTTTGCATGTAGTCCAACGCTTGATAAAAAAGTGTAAAGCAGAACACATTTTCATGACGACAATAGAATGTATAGCTTAAGAATCGATCCACCAAAATGTATACGCATACACATGAAGCATTTTAAGAAGTTAACAAGACTTCATCTGCTCCCAGTGTAGGGAGTTAAAGATTTTTTCTTTCATGGATTGGCTTACACAGCAGAATTTTCTTCGATTCACATTAACTGAACCAAAAATATGAAACCGGCAGCAAAAATAAAAAAACAAAAAAGATGCCCACATTCGAGAGATGAGCAATCTAACCGCACACATAATTCATTTAGTGGAATAAACAAACCCAAAGCGTGTCTAGAAATAAGAAAAACAACCCCAACTGAAATAAATCTGTACAAGAAAGAAGATTAATCAACATTACATGTATAATTATTTATGAAACTTCTGACGTCATAACAATATGCAGAATCTATAAAATGTGCGTGAAAATTATATTTGCAGAGAATTTCACTGATCATAAGCTCACAACGTTTCCAGTTATGATTGTCTTCTGATAATATACATATTGGAAAACACTAAAACACACGAAGGATCATCATAAAGTCAAATAATTTATTTTCAAATATACCCCTACAATACGGAAACATAAACATAAATATATAGATACATAAATATTATTCTTAAGACCCATATTCTAAATATCACCAGACTGTGGTAACACCCCACTGGAACAGCAGCGCGTAGAACTTTCGTTTTCGTATTTACACATGCCATGCAAGAACTAACATGCTGAATGCAATGAAAATGCATTTACTTATTTACGCTTCTCATAGGAAGAGGTTTTATAAGCATCCCATTCCCTAAACATATCCAATCATAGAGTATCCATAGAAATTACATATGGAAAAAAAAGGACAAAGCAGAAATGTTGTGGAGGGTGAATGGATATCTGGACGGTTGTCATGGAGGTTATAATCCATTAAACAGACAAAAATGACAAGACATAAAAAATCATGAAAATTATTCAAAGTATGCAAGTAATAAAACAAATAAATTACTTCTCCACATGATTACAACAGATCTTAAGGCGAGAGTATACAAACAAAGGCATTTCAAAGAAAAAGTGCGGTTTTTCGTATGGCGTGTATATGAAAAATAATAGACCACTAAAAAAATAATGATCCGTTTCATAGATCCTCTAGTCCCAATATAGTGAAAAGCTCTATATCAGTCATCAGTAAGACAACTAAAAAAATACAGAATATGCACCACAGGTGAAAAGGCTGCACCTGAAGGCATCCCCCATCAGCGATCACCAACCCAATAACCTTTGATCCTTTTAACTTCGGTAAGACTTCATCGAGATAGAAGCTCGGGGAGGCTGAATACTTGGGTGAAACTACAGGAAAAATGTTCTTTTTCCTTGCTTCCTTCAAGCTTCTAGGCAGGCTTCCAATGATGGTCACATCCTTTGTCAGCGCTTCAATGAATTGCGCCTCATTGTAAAGATATGAAAAACTTTTAAATTTTGAGCTATGCAGCAAACGAAAGAAAGAAAGAAAAAAAATTAGGTTAGAACACACAAGCAGAAACACATGCATTTTGAAAACGTATTCCAGAAACCAAACCTGATGCCCTTTGATTGAAGACTTGCTTGAATTTCTGGAATGACAAGAGTAGCATTTAGGAGTCTCGCAACAGTAACGAGATCACAGATCTAGCAAGTAACAGATATCGACATGAGATTCCGACAAGAAACAAAATCAACAGGCCACACTTTGGAGAATCAAGATTATACCGAAGATCTGATCCTCTCAAATCCACCATAAATCTTTGCATAGATATAACCATTGTTTGATTCACTTGGAGCTGTCATGAAAAAGTGCATTATTCAAGACATAAGCAAACCAACTTAAAGAGGAAAAGAAAATACAGAACATGTGACCCTATTCTCATGTGCCAGGTAGAGTGAAAAACACAATCCTCAACTTTCAAGACTAAAATATGCTGTTATGATTCTGTTGATGCAGTTAAGATAATCTGAGAAGTGAAACTTGTCTGAAGAGGATTCAGCATTACTGCCGGCCCAGTATTATCTTTTCACATGAAAATGACGAAAAAAACCCCGAGAAATCTCCCCCTTCCATTAAGACGAGATTACTTTTAGGAATAAGAAATCCTGTAGACTTATAGGAAGTCCTTCGTAGTTAAATGTTGATAAAAAACAGCGTCTTTTCAATCTGCAATGAAACTGTACTTGATGATAAAAACTGGACATATGGTTTCGTATTCTTGACCCGCTCATGCATGCCCAAGTAGAACAGGATAAGAAATCTAAAGAAGTAAGAGACAATATTGGGTTCTTGACATGCACTGAGAGATAGATCTATTTATCTGATTAAACATGATTAGTACTCTCAAGATTTAAACGAAGGGTGCTTTACAGACTCTTGCCACTGAAACGAACACCAACTGGGTATTTTCTAATATTATTCATGGGCCAACAATACAATTTCACACCTGCTTATCCTACAGATTGATGCATATGGGATTGACATTCAGAATGCTTGATTAAATGAACTTGTCCTCAATGTCATGCTTACATATCAGTAGACCTCGCAATGAGAAAACAATCTCAAAGTAGAAATTTAACACTAAAGGCGCCCTCTCCTGTCAAGTAGTCTATGAGTTGTACGCCCAGGCTTAGGCATAGTGCACGGGAGTGTATGATAAACTGACAACAAGTTGGAAAAGGGCCGTAAATAATTTTTTTTTCTAATATTATTGTCTAAGCCTTGATTGCATACAACAGTAATAACACAAACACATTAATTCAATCACGAAACTCCTAGGATTTGCAATCACTTCTGGGTTATCCTCATTTTGCAGCTTTTTTCTTCTTACCAAAAATTAGCATGGCACTCTTTCAACATCAGCAATGTCTAGCAAATATCACTCATAATTCTGCTCCTAAACAGATAATATTTCACCAAAATAACGACTTCATGTTTTACCCTTTTCTCATGACTGACAAGTTTCTTGCAGGACCGCATTCTATTGTTTTCTTCGCATTCCAAGTTAATCCAAGAGCTTAGACTTAATTGCAGATTTCTGTCACATCAAACAAGTATTGATCATGCGACCACATGATCTTTAACCTAACGTTCGTTCTTTCAAATATTTTATTAAACCATTCATTTCGATAATTGCAAAGGAATCCTTTTGCAGTGGTATGGCGAAACCAACTGTGCCCAATCTGAAGTCGAGATAGGAGAAGAATCATTCGCGATCAATCCAATTCAGAAACAGAGATGCCCACCCAATCCAACTGGCTACAGCTGGCCTAAATTGTTGCCCGGATATAGCTTAAGAATCCTAAGAGAAGCAAACTCGGTCCTTCTAACTCCAGTCTGGGATGGATCAGGCCTAGCCAATCCAGCCACCCAAGGCGATTATTGTGCCATGGAACAACGTAAACACTTAAATAAAGGATTTAAATGTCCATTAGAATAAACATTAGGAAAGTCTTCAGAGAACCCAGACCAAAATGTTGAAAGATGGAACCCATACAAGAAGACTCCTTCCTAGAACAAAGCATTATTTGGAACAATTTGAATGCAATGTATTGATGCAGATGTATAAACCCGCACCCTCCTAATGAAGTACATTTCAGTTCATCTCTTCTTTGATGAGAAATGGCAATAAATCAATTTTTTATACGAATGATGTGCAGCATGTCTACACGTTAATTGTAAGCTATAACTAAGGAGATTCATAAAAAAATGAAGTATAAGTTATGAAATTTCCAGTTTCAGTTCTCTTATTTTCCAGACATTTTGAGATTTTCAATAAATAAATTCTCATATATATCCTTCGTGGACTATCTGTCAGCTTCTGTGCTTAAAGCTTGGTCACGAGCTGTAGGTTGGTTCTTGCCCTACAAATAACTTAGCCTTACAACCATGCGCTTGCTAAAGTTGATAATTAACAGGCTTCGAGGCAAAACCAGCGGACCACATTTGACGAAAACTTTCTGAGTTCATCCCCATTCATTATGTAGTATGAATCACTTTTTCAATGGTTCTAAAAATTATGAGTCGGGCAAGTGGAAAGCAAGAAAGACAAGAAATAATCACAGAGGATGCAGTACCAGGGTATACTTTTCTTGGATTTGCATACGGTTGCAGTGATACCAATGAACCCACAGGACCCCATAATGCTTTGAACTTGAACCTCTGCACAAATATAGGGCGTTCAAAACTATACAATGGACATCAAAGAGGCACCATCTTTAAATACAAGCATTCACAAAACGTTTGTCACAGCATTTTTTACATAGGAGAAATCAGAATTAGAGATTTTGTACATAGAGAAGATACAAATTGAGACAGGAAAATAAAAATACCGGTCCATAGAGGTTATCTACAGGCAGCCTGTAGTATATCAGCTCTCTGCTTGATGAATTGGCAAGGTAGAGATGTACAATCAATGATGCAACAGATAAAATGATTCCAACGAAAGTAGCCAATTTGATTTTCGATGTGTGGAACATTTTCCTTAATAACAGGCATCTCCGAGACTGCAAATAAACCCATGCATGAGTCAAGAAATAATTCATTAATTCTTCACGTGCAATAAGTTGATTCGGAAATAAACATGACAAGAAGCAAGAATCCGGTTATTCAACATCGCAACCAAAAGAATCAATGTTCATTAAACTTTGGGATCCGTTATAATAAAACTAGATAAATATCGAGCTCATCGTGAGAATGCCAGTATCCTTTAAATGAGAATGAGATATAGAACTCTGTTTATCCCTTACATATTCCTAACCAGGTTTGCTTGAAATGATGATGATTCCCGCTGGACAGAGTATTTTCTGCCAGTCTCGCTCAGGAATTTTTAACCACTAAGAAGTTTCGATTGGTAGCCGACCTGATTGATCCAAGTAGGGTTCTAAAGAAATACAACCGTTTATTCAATTAACAGGTAAGATGATAACAGAGGACAGTTACCAACTCAGCCCCGATCTCAGTTGAAACACTATCATGAGAGTAAAAGGTAAGAGTCTTGAAAAAAAAAGGTCAATGCACCAAGTATATATTTCTTCAGGTAAAAAAAAGAGTCACACAGATGTACGAACGATATCTGGATCCCGCCTTGGAATAAACTGGGGGTTGCCGGCTACCCTTTGACGTATGAAACATCTTCCCTATTCTTTTCCATGTGAAGCCATGCCTATTTGGGATCATGCCCGCATAGAAAGGAGACCGTTAACCCGTCATTTCATGAACAGCCGAAAGACTGCTAGACACTATTATTCCTCACTTTAAGAGGAGAATGGCCTCCTGCGAGGATCCTAACCATCAATCCATCAAAGAATATAAAATAATCTATAGGATTCTGGGATAAACAATGGACATTCGAAAAGGGAATACACATAATACTTCTCAGGTTCTCAGAAGCGGGCGTGAGCGAAAGGATACCAATCGTCATTCGGAATGCTAGATCGGCTGGCGGTCGCTGAATGCCATATTTAGCAGCGTAAACGAAAGGCTAGAGCTGGCACGGACGAAAACCCATGGAATAGAAAATCCGGGCCTCGCGATCCGGGATCCATTCATCGGACTGGCGGATCACGGACGCTGAATCCGCAGTGAGAACCAGGAACGAGAAATGAACGAACCTCATCAACCCAGCGCCCTTCGGCGGAACTCTCCCTGATGCCAACCTCCTCATCCAACTCCTGCAGCGACCGTTCTAAGGACACAGAAGAGAGCGAGAGAGGAGATGAAAAAGAAGCAGATGCGGTGACCGAGCTAGAAAAAGGTAGAGCGGAGGAGAAGGAAGAACAAGAAGAAGAGGCGAGACTTGCCGCCGCCGGTGCTGAAGCGGGCGACTGATCGAGAGAGACAGAGGGATAGAGAACTAGAGAGAGAGAGAGGGAGAGAGCACCAGCAGCAGCAGCAACAAATTTAGACGCCAGAACCCGTACATTGTGTAACAATAAATATTTATTGGATCCTGTGATTACCCTCCCCGTTGGGCACCGCAAACCCGAAGCCCGACCCGACAGGATTCTCCAGCCCGATGACTTAAGATCGGGCCCATAAATAAAGAGCGGGCCAAAAGCCCGAAGGCCCATTTCCGAGTCTCACGTGACCGTCGCTCCTCCCCTGTCCATTTCTCGGGGTTCTCTGCCCATTACGTAAAAAAATTATTTTCATTAATTTCATCTTAGATTGCCAAAAATAAACGGATAAACTTGGATAGGCCCTGATTTCGCATGATCGTGGTAATCACCTCCGCGCTTACAATAGCAAGCTTACCCACCTACTCTTATCATTGGACCTATGACTCATTCTTGTTCACAAAATATTTTGTTGTGACCTCATCTTTTCTTGAAATTGTCAGATCCTCGCTACATGGTACCTTGTCCAAAGAAAAAACATGAAAATTTATGCCAAAAAACATAGAAAAAAGCCTCTCCATTATAAGACCATCAGAATCATTCTTGCCCACAAAATATTTTGTTGCCACCTCATCTTTTCAAGAAATTGTTACGAAAATTTTTTAAAAATAAAATATATGAAAATACGAAAATAAGGGGGCCTAACAAAAAAAACCCTCCTATTTAGAAGCAAAGACATCAAAATCTGACAAACCTCAGACAACTAGAATGATGATGATGTGATTATCATCATCATCATTATCATCATCATCATCAGTATGGACGGAACTTCCTGGCAGCCCTCAGTTGCTGCACCCTCTTCTTGTCCTGCTCAAACTTGCTCTGCAGGATCATCAGCTCTGCAAAGGCGCATGGAATGATGATTCACAGTGAGAAAACCAGAAATCTGCCCCTCTCCACATCAAGAGACCTGTCCAAATCTATTTTCGGTTCATGTCTGCTGTAGAAACAAAAAGAATAATTTATGAAAATAAAATGGGCCCTCGGGACCACATCAGAAGACAGACCATGGATGGGAGAGTTGACCTTGACTGACCCACAGAACCAGGCAGGGCCAATCAGGGCCGAGCAATCTTGGCCATGATCTACCCGATTTTAGTAAGAATATACAGACCATAAAGTTCCGTCTCTGGAGTCGCAGGTCAGTCGACTGACCACAGCAGCCAGAGTTGACCATGATGAGCCTGTAAAATGTAGCCTAGCCCGGTCGATTGGACAGGCGATTCAGGTGTCTGGCTTTCCACAGGTGCAGCAGCCATTTGAGACCAGCTGGGTTGACCGACTCTGGCCGAACTCACAATAAAACCGGTCTAAAGTGGGAAGATTTTGACCTGGTCAGATGTCTATTCATGGAGAAAGGTAGGCCCCACTCACCATTCCTACGGGCTTCCCTCCTCTGGAATCTGTAGAAATCCAAAGCGAGCTCCTTCTCCTTCTTCTGGGTCATCTTCTGCTCAACGGCAGCCTGGGAGACGGAGCCCACAGCAACCCCACTCTCAGAGTCGGTCGTCTTCTTCCTTCCCTTGTGGTGAACCACCACCGTCCATCCCTCCCCTGCGGCGCGAGCCTCCCTCTCTCTCTTAGCCTGGTAAAATGAGAAGCAGATGCTAAGTTAGAAACTAATCCGACGATTATACGAGAAAATACCTTATAATTAATAATAATAGTAATAATAATGAGAGAGCCTCTATACCTGTTCCTGTTCGGCTTCGTATGAGGCTATAAACTCGTTGAGTCTCTGTTGTATTACATCCAGCCCGGGTCTTCTCTGCTGGTACTCCATGACCCATTCTGATCACAGGAAGAAAAATATAAATATATATATATATAAATAGTTGACGATTATTTCTTAAAATGCATCATGGGGTGATGGGCATTAGAGAGAGAGAGAAAGAGAGAGAGAGAGAGATTCCTGTGGAACAGCCTCAACACTAACTGGTTGGAGATGGGGGTTTCTTTCAACTTTTAAGATGAAAAATATTATGAAATTCTAAGATGGCATTAGTAGATGCCGGATGACCCAAAACAGTTTACCTTGATCGGCGTTAACCTCTCTGGTAAACTAACTTTTGCCGGCCATCAGCGAAAATTAAAAATTTAATGAATTATATTTTTTTCAAATAAAAAAAATGTACGAAAAGGACAACCAAGTGAATCGGTCTGCTGGGCAGATGTATCTGCAACGATTTTAAAAATTAATAATTCATGGTTTACTCAAGTAAAAAAAATGTGAAAGGGATAATCAAGCGAATCAGTACGAATACAGATCGACAAAAATTCAGCAGCTTAAATCACAATGAAGCCCGGCCTGCTTCACCTTATTATCATAAGGCAAGGCAAATCAAATCAGTTATCAAAAATCTTGGAGGAGGTCAAACCGCACTTTAAAAGAAATTCCTGGACCACAAACTTCAAAATATCACCATCCAGCACGATATAGACGAAAATCAATGCATTTCAAGGAATGAACTGATGAGACAACGTAATTCTAAGGGGCGTTAGAGTTGGAATAAAAAAGGTGGCTCATCTGGAATCGCATGACTAGATAAATCTAATGCGAAGGCAAACAGGAAATGACGAGTACTTTTCATCCCTCTGGAGCAATCTTCATCCACTGAAGAAATTTCCGCAACCGGCCCTTTTTTTGCATCAACTTTATGTTCAGTAGATCTTTTCTCTTTTTTCAATAAGAGGGTCTCCTTGTTTTTCCTTCTTGCAGCATTCTTGGACTCACCTGCACAAAGAAACTGTTAGAAAAGAGCAAGAAATTCACCTCATATCTAGAAAAAGCTACTAATGGCGGTTTCAATTCATTTAAATCAACAACAGGAAAAGGCATCACATTTAGTGCGCCCTTCTCTTAAAATGTATTCATGAGCCCGCAGCCTATTTAAAGCTAGTTACTAAAATCTAATTGGGCGTCCTAAAACTGATCCCATTACTTATAATACAACAGATCGTTATTCCAAGTCAACCTCATATATCGTTATTCCTGTTGCATCAGCTTCATAAGAAGCCAAACCTGAAGAAAGCAACAAGCGGCTTACATTGTGAACTGTCGTCTTGTAGATTTCGTGATACATTTTACATAATATATATGTATATATATATATATATTCTCGGTATATATGTGCAAGAGCGTGCATTGCAAAGAAACTCAAGTGGCGCAGGTTCCAAAAGTGGTGCGCATGAAAAATGCAATTTTAATCCTTGACCTGGTGGGATGACAGAAAAATATTTGAAACTAATGGTTCATGCATTTCAAGGCCGTTCGAATTTTGAATAGGCTCAAGGAATCATCTCACATGGACAAAATCTGGTGCAACTGGGCCCAATGATCTACACCTATCAATTATCACAGGTTGGCAACTACTGCTTTTACTCTGTTTATTTTATTCCTGATCAAAATTCCCACATTATGTGAAAGTTTCAAATTTCTGAAAGGACATTTGACTGGAAAGCTAGAATAATCTTTAAGGAAGTTTTCTAAAAAAAATCGACATTTATGCCTCAACGGATCATCCAATATTGCCATGAATTTTGAGGGTCAATGCAACTACAAGATCCAGATTTCGACCTCCAAAAAGCATCCACAAGTTTTGTGTTAGATATCCGTGTGAATTATAATATCATTAACGTAGAATTTTATCACTTGGGATAGCGTACCACCTGAAAAATAAAAATTGCTACCGAGCCAAGTCTAAATCTCATTCTCTCCTATAAATGGCAGAAAGACACACTAGTACAAAGAACAAGCAGAACAATACAGAATACCAAAAAATATTACTCCTCTTCATGAATACTCAAGGTTGTGTCAAAGAATAAAGATTGAAAAACAATCTTTATTCCTAGTTATCATCAAAACTTGTGGGAATGCCTCAAGAAGACCACAGACAATAGCATACTGAGCAAACACTGAAATTCAGGTAGACTGGCGAAACCTAAGATAGTTTAAAACAATGGCCAGCAATAACACAGTATATGATGCAACCAAAGCAAAAGCAATGATTGCCAGTTCGTGAAATATTTTCTTCCTACATAACAGGGAAATAATATTATACGATCTTTTCAGGTCAGAAATCTCATTAAAATTTAGGCAAGAGAAAACATCGAACAGCTCAATTTGGGTACGTCAAGAAGACCTTAAGGGCTCCCATCGTAGTAAATTCAGATCCCAAGAACATAAACCCATGAGTGTCATTTGAGTCAATGTTTTTTACTCATCAATCCCTTCTGCTGTATAAGTGAGCAATCGATGAGAATGGTATTACTTAGGGTGCCCAGTCGAGCCAAATACTCAAGAAAACCAGACGTAAAATCAGAGAAAACAACTTTCCGTCAGGGATCTTCATTTAACATTAACGTTCAACTAGGACCACAGCATTTTTCAAAGTATACCAAAGATTCTCACTGGCATGGCCTCAATAGCACCGTAATTTGTTCACTGCTTTTCAAAAAGCTGTTTTTATGATATTTCAACTATAGTAAATAAAATTTTATCGTTTTTATTCATTTTCGAACTTGTACACATTGAATAATACCATCAAGCCACTCTGCCAACTTGGTTTCAGGTCTTATTCCATTTCATATTCTACATGTTTAGGGTGCCAACTCTGCCAACTTGGTATTACTTAGGGTGCCCATTTCAACTATACTTCAAACAAACAAACTCTCCAAGATAAGTATTTAGTTCATAATAAGAAGCGGCCCAGGGTATCTATATCAAATAATAAAAGTGATAAGCAAGAATAAGATGACAGATATCCAGAAAAAGCTATCTTAGAAGAACACCAAATAGGTAGTCTATGTTGCTGAATTAAAAGGCATTTTATGGGGGGGAAATAAAAAGTTTATAATGATACTACTCGAAAAGGCATAAATTACATTAACAAAGTCACACAAAAATTGCATTTTTTAGGTTTCCAAGGGTCACACAAATAACCTGAACAAGAAAATTTAGAACCTTTTTAGTTTTATCAATCATCCAAGAGACCAAACTACCTCAAGAAAAGTAACATAGAAAACGATGAAACAGAATTCTAGAACTGAAATGAATAAAAGAAATGATGAATACTTTTGATTCCTCCACACCGATCTTCGTTCACTGAAGAGATTGCCTGGACTGTTTCTTCCTCGACATCAAATTTATTTTCTGTTGATTGTTTTCCTCTTTTCAATAAGGGAGCTTCCTTCCTCGTTCTTCCAGTTTTCCTGGTCTCACCTGCCAGCAGACTAGTCTCAAACTAACAAGAAATTGCACCATATTCATAGCACATCTACTGAGGTATTTTTAGCAACATTCAATGCAAAATAGAAAGAGATGCCATGTATAATATATATATTTTTTCAGGATGTGTTCATGAGCCGCACCCTTATAGGGTTTCTTTACTAAAGCAGCAACAGATAGTGAGGTGAGGATGATATAATCATTTTCTATGTTTTAGCATAAATCCTTAATATGAATGAACTAAAGCTTATTAAGACGAGTGATGCCATTGCACAGCCTGTGGGAGACGATGAAGAAGAGAGAACTGAACAAGCAGATATGAAAACTTTAGAAGCAAACGTAAACCATACCACAGAAATTTTAGCCGGTTCAAATTACACTATATCCACGACTGCACTGAATCCACAATGTAGAAGAAGGATCCTTGTCATACAAGATAGAAGCTGCTCCATTAAATATGAGGCAGCTATGGCAACAGGCTCCTGGTGTAAAGGCTACATACCCCAACAGATTTTCCCTAGTTAATAAATAAACTACATGCCCCAATAGTTGCTTCTCCTAAAAACTAAAACTAAGTAGGCTCCAATCTTGATGCACATAAAAATGCAACATTGATCCTTGAGACTGATAGAATGACGTATCGAAATTCAAGATCATTAATTCATGTTGTAACTTTTAGGGACAATCACCCTGTCAACCAGATGCTGACATCGAGCCTCACAAAGAAACGAAAGTACAACGTAAACTCTATAAATCATCATAATCTAAAGTACCAATGTTAATTTTCCCCTTTCTCAATTATTGAGATCTCAACACTTACGTAAAAGCATGAAAATTAATACATTAGGTACTGCAAATGATAGCTGGAATATTTTTTGCGAAAATCATCGGTATTAATTAATCCACAGATCATCAACGCAATAGAAATTCGTTGCCATCAATGTGGCAGTGGTCTATTCACATGGAAGATAAGGGATTAGGAATTCAAGAAGCAATCAAAGTTATTGACTGCCATCAAGTTTTCCTTAAGGTACATTTATGTCACTGCATACAACGACGGATAGAGTGTCAGCTCGAGCATGGCAAATGCTCCCAACTCAGGTCTAATTCTCATTTCCCACCAAAAATAAAGCGAAGGCAGGAAGAGACTGAGATTAACTTGAAGAAACATGAAATGAGATCTGCATTCTAGTTGAAGTAAAGTCGTGGAACTTTCCTTGTCCATTAAAAAGAACTATTGAAAAAAAGTAATCTAACTTCTATCAGATATATACTGATATGATGCTATTGCTTGTGCCAGGAAAGGACGCAATAGTTTCAACTTCAGTTCAAAATTATTAGTCGGCTATTTTTTTCAATATCAGTCGAATCAACGTCATGATATGATCACTCCAAAAATAAACACCATGGAGCGAAATCAAGCATGCTAAAAGCGTAGAGAAAAATATGTTTTACACGAAATTATCTTGGGGAGTAATTTGAATGGTGCTGTACAATCACCTTCACTCGTTTTCTCCTTTCTCCTCTCCTTCTTGGAGCTGCTAGAGTCGCCCTCAAGTCTTTTCCCCTTTCTCATCTTCTTCTTGGAGCCGTCATGATCGCCATCAACTCTTTTCTCCTTTCTCATCTTCTTCGTGGAGCTGTCAGAATCGCCATCAACTCTTTTCTCCTTTCTCATCTTCTTCTTGGAGCTGTCAGAATCGCCATCAACACTTTTCTCCTTTCTCTTCTTCATCTTTGTCATCAACACCGGTCCGGCTTCTTCTGCTGCTGGTCTCCGTTTCCCACCTGAATGAGTAAAATTGACAAATTAAAGTTGCATATCAAGTCTGTTCACGTTGCCAGTTCTCTATGCCCACTCCAAAATGAGGTTAAATTTTATTTCTGATAATTTAGAATCTATAATCAAGCTCCTCTAGTAACATGCTAGATTTCCAGAAATGTAAGGATGGAAGTGCCAGGTTGTCACCGCACTACACAAAGATTGGACTTGCTGAAAGAAAGGCAAACAATGTTAAAACTCCGAAACGGATGGGCATTTAACATTCCATTTGGTAACGAAGTTCTGATACGATATGCTGAGGCTCTAACTTCAAAAGGGAACTTGACCTTCTACATTTCACTTTATTTTATGAGCGCTTCAATTATCCAATCATGTTATGTAAGCACCTGCAATAAAGCAAAGCCATGTCCCAATTCCTCACAGGTCGGCATTGACATTAAATGCCAGATTTTGCGGATGGACCAAGTTTTCAATTTCCTTGTCCATATATCTCCAATTATTCCTAGGCAGAAACCACTGAAAAACTTGGCTTCTGAGACAACACGCTGCCACCCTCCGGATCATTCTCTGGACAGCTCTTCATAAACACCGTGATTTCACTAAAATCCAACTTTCATGCATCTTGGAAATTATTGGCAATCAAGTCTGAAGTAGAGACAAAGTACGAATTTTAGAATCTTATTCTACTTCCTAGACTAAATGTTGTTCACCCAATTATAACAAGCTCCCCAATAGCAATCCCCATATGGCAAGATCAGCACCCGAGCTGAAATAACATTGTATATCTGTCCTCATCCATCGAAATAATCGCCACTAAACGCTATCTAATTACCACGATAGACCGTTTTCAGAATTATCGGGAGATCTATACCACTGAGATGGCATCACTGCCATAGGGAAGCGAGCAAAAGTTTCAAATGCAACTTAGAAGCTTTAGTCAAGGAAGGTTAGAATACCAGCTCGAAAAAATGAAGTGTAGCCTGATGATTTGTAGCCTCAACCAGAAAAAGTACATTAATATGAAAATAATTCCTCTGAACAAGAATGGTGCAGCAAAATCACCTTCACTTATCTCGTCCTCTCTCCTCTTTTTCTTGGAGCTGTTGGAATCGCCTTGAATCCCCTTCACCTTTCTCTTCTTCATCTTTACCGTTAATCCCCCAGTCCCGATTATAATGATGCCGATCCGGTTTTTCACTTTGAAAGAATCAAATCGACGAAGCAAAATTATCAATCAAACCTATCTGTGATGCTCGTTCTCTCAATACACCCATCGAAAAAGAGGATAAAAACTCTTTCAACTTGATATTCTCTGAGTTATCTTGAGGCATTATCGAGTAAATCAAGCAGTTCATTCGATGAGATGTCAAAGGTGGAGTATCAGCAGTGGGTGGAGACATTCAGCGAGAAGCGCAGACAGAGAGAGGGAGGGAGAGCAGGGATTGTTAGGGGGAGGGGATAGCTGGGGAGAGAGTGATGTTCCAGAGTTGGGGAAAGAGAGAGAGAAACTGACAGACAGACAGAGAGAGACGTAGGGAAGTAGCAACAGGGACAGAGTGTTGCCCGAGGTTGGGGGGGAAGACAGCGAGCATACATGTAGGAGAGGTGAATGAGTGAGCGAGTGTGTGTGTGTGTGTGAGAGAGAGAGAGAGACAGACAGACAGACAGAGAGAAGGGATGTTTACCAGAGTGTGAGAGAGAGAGGGGACGCTTACCAGAGTGTGAAATCGGTGAGAACCCTATGTCTGCAGAGTTCGCCGAGGGAAGGGGGAGGAAGCAGAAACAGAAGGGATGAGGAAGAGGGAACTAAGGAGGCCATTTAGGTCATTTCACATATTACTTAGAATTAACATATAACAATACATATATAGTGCTGAGTTGGGGCTCTCAGTCAGGAGCCCACTCTTCGTAGTTTCTATGGGGCCTGGGCCCGTTCAAGGCCCGGCCCGGAATCCCCCCACTAGTTTATTCCGCATCAAAATCATCACATTTAGCATATAAATAAAATATTTATTATCCAAGACTTGGGAAACGGCATTCCTTCTAAAAATTACATCCCTTTTTTTACGTATTTTATACAGAAGAAGCTATTTATTTCTCCACCTCCACGGGCCCAGAAACCCTACCCGAGCCCGGCCCGTCCTCATCGGCCCAGCTGAATTCCGTCTCTTCTTCTTCTTCTTCCTCCTCTGAAGAGTCGTCGCCGTCGTTCCCTCTGCCGTCGCCGGAGCTCCGCCGGGCGCCTCCGGCGAAGAGGAGGATCTCCGAGTCAGCAATTCGGAATCGGGTCCCCGGGCTGGCCGCCGGCGGGTTTGCCCTCAGCTGGGCGACCAGCGCCGACCGGGTCGACTCGTCTTTCAACCCCGCGATCCCACCGGCGGCGACCAGCCGCCGGAGAACGACCTCAGACGAGCCGGTCCGCGGCCGGCGGCGCAGCAGGTCCAGCGCCGTCATCCCGTTGACATCCCGGGCGTTGACCTCGACCGAGGGGACGGCCATTAGCAGCGCCACCACGTTGGCGTGGATGTTCCTCGCCGCCGCCACGTGCAGCGCCGTCCTCCCTTGCCTATCTCGGGCGTTGACCAGACTCCCCACGTCCACTAGTCTGCCATGGAGGAGGAACCTGACGACCGCCATCTGCCGGTCAAGTCGCCGGAATCCCGAAGCCCGGAAGCCGGCCACCGCCACGTGGAGGACGTTCTCGCCGGCACCATTCGTGGCGTAGGCACACGGCGGCGCCGCCAGGATCAACGCCTCCACGGCGGCGCCCTGCCCCCGGTAGGCCGCCACGTGGACGGCGGCGTTCCCCTGGCCATCCCTCTCGTCGGCGATATCGTACATTCTCAGCAACCCCTCCACCACCTGCATGCACACAAAGAACAACAATCAGTTAATTGACAGATCGAGAGAGAGACAGAGAGAGACAGAGAGGACTACTGATAGATTACATTTTCCACGTCCCAAAGTCGCGGCCTTCTCCGGAGACATAGAGAGATAGAGAGAGAGAGAGGAGATGCTGAAGATGAAGCAGAAGCTGACCTGGACGTGGCCGCGGGCGGCGGCGGCGTGGAGGACGGTAGAGCCGGCGGCGTCTCGGAAGGAGAGGACGTCGCCGCCGTATCGCCGGAGAAGCTCCACCGTGAGCTCCAAGCTCCCCCCTCGGGCGGCGGCGAGCACCGCTCGGTGGGCTATCTCCGCCGCGAAGACTGCACTTCGGCCGGCAGCGGCTGCGCGATCGAGCAGGAGGAAGAACACCTCGGAGCTCCTGCTCCGAGCGGCGGCGTAGAGGAGGTCGGTGACACCATACTCTCCCTCGCCGAAGACGAGAAACGGGTCCCGACGGAGGAGCTCGCCGGAGAAGACGAGGTCGCCGGCGGCGGCGGCTGTGTAGAGGAGCCAGCCGCCGTAGCCGGCGGCGAGGAGGGAATTGCCGCCGGAGGGGGATTCGCAGTCGAGGAGAAGCTTGTGGGCGATGGAGGAGCGGGCGGCCGCGGCGGAGGAGAAGCGGGGGTCGTCGTCCCAGAGGGACTCGAGGCGGCGGAGGCGGCGGAGGGAGGTGAGCTTGATGATGAGGTTGCCGTCGATGTGAAGGAGCTCCCGGAGGAGGTCGTAGTGGCCGTTGGCGGCGGCCCAGTCGATGGGAGCGGCGCACCACCACTGGTCCCCCGTGCTCTCCCACCTCAGCGGGAAGTCAGCGCAGGCCATCACGGAGGAAGAGGAAGATAATGATGATGAAGAAGAAAAAGAGGAAGAATTTCGAGAGAGAGCTTGAGGGTGATAGAGAAACGAAATAGGTCGAACTGGAGAGGTACAACAACCGGGAATCGACGAGAACCCAAGCTCCGAAGGAGAGAATCCCAGGGTAGATCAACTCCGAGGACCTCCGGCGAACCCCCCGACGACCGCCGGAATCCGTGGCCGAGAGAGAGAGAGAGGGCGAGAGGGAGAGAGAGAGAGAGAGAGAGAGAGAGAGAGAGAGAGAGAGAGAGAGAGAGAGAGAGAGAGAGAGAGGAGGGAGAGGATAAGAGGAGAGAGAGAGCTGCCCGCCACGAAAAAGTGGAGAGATATTCCAGGGCGGAGGGCAGTGGGTGATGTCGGAGGGAGCTCCCGGAGGTGACGGCGACTCGCCGGAAAGGGAGAGGGAGCCCAAATGGTCCATCCCTCCCTTAAAAAAAATCAAAAAATAAGGAAAAAAAAGAGTGGCCTCTTTGCGAGAATATTCTTTAATTTTCCATTTTCCTAATAGGAAAGTGGAATTATTAATAGTTTCATAGGGCGATTAAATATGAATTAATTTCAGGTGGGCGTGAGCCCAATTAGCCGTGTCTTCTTTCCATGCGCGAAACTATCTTCCTGCTTTCATAAGGTGGGCATGTAGATAAGACTCCCCGGTCTGTAGCGGCAGCAATAAAGCCCGGCTCTCCTTATGAAGCCTCTCTAGAGAGAGAGAGAGAGAGAGAGAGAGAGAGAGAGAGAGAGAGGGAGAGAGAGGGTGACCTTCACGATAATGCGATGTCTGATGATTTTCCCACGTTGTGTTAATGGGCCATAAAATAAGCCCAGGAAGAAGAAAAGATAAAAGCCCACCTCACTTTGGGCCAGTCCTGACCCACATGTTCCCAGCCTAGAAGCCTAGACCAAGAAAAGGCCCCACTTTCAATAATAATTCTCTCTCTCTCTCTCTCTCTCTCTCTGTCTATCAAGTAGTGAGCTCACTTTTTCGGTCTTTTTTCTGGGACATGGTCGGGCCAGACCTCCCTCTGTAAAAGACGGAGAACTTTATTCAACCCCCTTTGTAAAGGCGGGATTCTCTTATGCTTCGTATCCCATCCTGTCTTCTCGATTTTCACAGTCCAAGATTGTCCCACAGCTTTCTCTCACTAGAGGGGAGAGGGAAGAGGGACGGGGGCTAATGGGCCTGCCTGCCTGAACTCGGCTCATCCATCATCAAACGACCAAGCCATCCCAGAGACTAAAATGAAGAGAGAGAGAGAGAGAGAAGACTGCTAATAAGAGGGTCTGATCCAAAATCTGGAGAGCAACACTTAACACAAGGGGGGGGGGTACGGAGATGGTTCTCTCTCTCTCTCTAGCTCTCGCTGTCTCTTATTCCATGCAGGTGAAGCTGCCAGCGGGGAGGGGGGTGCTCTTAGTGGACAGAGGCGATGTGGAGGATCAGGTCGACCACGCGGGTGCTGCACAGAAAGAAAAGAGGGGAGAAGCATCCAGCGTCAGAGGGAGGGCAGACTGTTTGGATTACCGGAAAACACAGGAAAGCGGAGCTCGAAGAACAAAGGAAGGAGAGAATTCCGGGGTGCGGGGGAGATCTTGGGATTTTTCTCACCATTCTACGGCAGTCCAAACATCCACAGATGTTCGGATTGCTTGAAAACGAGAAATTAGAAAGCATTACTTTTCCACGTGGTTATTTTAAATCCTCGGCAGAGCTCACCGTTTGGATTGCGGTGCATTTCCGGAAAACAAAATCAGAATACGTCGATTTCGGAGCCAACGCCTTTCAGCGGCCTCTGGTTGACCGACGTTTGGATTGCGGTACACTCCAGAAAAAACAAAACCCAGAGATTATAGGATTCCACCATTCTCACGTTTGGACTGTGGTAAAATCGAACCCGTAAAATGAAGCTCAGACACTTTCACCATTCTTTTTCCTCGCGGTTTTAAAATCCTCGACTTTCACCGTTTTCCGGCAGTCCAAACAAAATCCAGAAACATGGTTTTGAAATCCTAGGATTTCAAAATCTGCCGTAGTTTTTGGAGATGTGTAAGCCATTCACGGTTTTCAAAATCTTCGGATTTAACCATTTTCCGGTAATCGAAACGACAAAAGTGCAAGAGAGACAACCTCGGAGGGAATCGAATTACCTGTAGCCCCACTCGTTGTCGTACCAGGCCACGAGCTTTACGAAGTTTTCGTTCAGGGCGATCCCGGCCTTGGCGTCGAAGATGCTCGACCTACAAGTCAACCAAGGTCAACACATTCTTCAAACCCTCCACGTGGCAACTCTACAACGCTCGCCACGCAAGAATCTGTGCGTGTGTGTGTGGACCCATTTCCCGTACCTGCTATCGCCGACGAAGTCCGTGGAGACGAGGTCCTCGTCGGTGTAGCCCAAGATGCCCTTCAGCTTCCCCTCCGACTCCTCCCTGAGGACCACCATCAAAGACGACGATGAAACAGAGAAGCAGCCATTAATGGCGGATGGGAGGTTTCCAAGGTCAGGTCACGAGGAGGAGGAAGAGGAGGGGGGACTCACTTGATGGCAGCCTTGATCTCCTCGTAGGTCGCCTTCTTCTCCAGGCGGACGGTGAGGTCAACGACTGAGACGTCCACCGTGGGGACCCGGAAGGCCATCCCCGTCAGCTTCCCGTTCAGAGACGGCAGCACCTTCCCCACAGCCTGTGGAGAGAGAGAGGAGGATCGGGTGAGCATATGCACAGAGAGCGAGAGAGAGAGAAGAGAGTTCTTCTTCGTCAGATTCTTGAGCAAGGTCTGACTGACCTTGGCGGCACCGGTGCTGCTGGGGATGATGTTGAATGACGCGGCTCTCCCGCCTCTCCAGTCCTTGGCGGATGGTCCGTCAACAGTCTTCTGGGTAGCTGGAGGGCAAGAAGAAGAAGAAGAAGAAGAAGAAGAAGAAGAAGAAGATAAGAGCGACGAGAAGGATTGAGAGAAGGATGCGATGGCTTCGACCCAGTGAATGAAGGACGGGTTTGATTACCGGTGATGGCGTGAACGGTGGTCATCAGACCCTCGACGATGCCGAATCTGTCGTTGATGACCTGCATGTACAGTAAAAGGTGAGGGCAGAAGGCTTATTAGATAAGATAGAACCCACATTCCTGAAGAGGAGATGGGATCCTTCTCTCCTGAGGATTTCTAAAACGGGTGGGGGTACCTTGGCCAGAGGAGCCAGGCAGTTGGTGGTGCAGCTGGCATTGGAAACGATGTCGATGTTGGGCTTGTACTCGTGCTCATTCACGCCGACCACGAACATGGGGGCGTCTTTGCTGGGCGCAGAGATGATGACTTTCTTGGCCCCTCCCTGTCGACACAATCGCCCCATGGTGAATAAACAGGATCAATCGTCTGAGCCGGCAGTAATCACCAAGAAACAGGGATTTAGAAACACGAAGAAACTGGCATCTGTGGTTCCGGAAGCTCTTTTGGTTTACTAGAAATATTAACAACTCTTTTTTAAGAACAATGACTAAAATGTGACCAAAATGTAACTGAAAGACAACCTTCAGGTGAGCAGCAGCTTTATCCTTATCTGTGAACACACCAGTGGATTCAACGACAAATTCCGCACCAGTCTCGCCCCATGGGATCTCTTCGGGGTTCCTGCGTTTCCGTAACAGCGATTAAATAAATAAATAAATAATGTGCAGATATAATGATTTGGAAAATATCTAACAGACGGAAGAAACATGTACCTAATGCCAAATACAGTGACCTCTTTCTCGCCGAAGAGGAGGGTCTTGGAATCCTTTACTTTAAGCTCATGGTGCTTCCATGAGCCATGGACAGTATCATACTTGAACATGTACGTCTGAACAACAAAGGAACGATAAGAAACCATAAAACTAAAGATACGGCATGAAAACAAAGCATGGCATTCCGTAGCATTCAAGCAGAAACCAATTCACAACCATACTAGAATTCTACCCATCCAAATAAAAACTAAAAATTAGATACTTAATTAGGTGAAGATTGCACGAACAGCTTGCGATCCAGGAATAAAAGCGGGGACCACTGAGCATAAAAAATAAAAAACAAAAAATAAAAAAAATCCAACAACGTGATAGTACTCTATGCCGAAAGACCATAAACAATGCAGAACGATTTACGTGCTTCTGAACACACCAACATATTTGGACGTCATATAGGCAGGTTTCTTCACATGACTACATAACATCTCTGGCATAAAGACCAGGGCCCATCGGACGAGAAATCGTAGCAAAGTGATTTACCTATACCCAATCATTACACCGCACGATATACTAAAAAAAACAGCAATATAAACAAGGAGAAATGGCAGCAGAACATTCTTTAATTAGCCTCACACGAGAAATGAGAGAGATCCCTGATCAAAGAGATTAGTAAACAGAGATGACAGTCAACTTTGAGAGAGGCTAAGCGTCAAAAGCACTCACAACCCATATTTTTAAGCACACTAAACCACTTCAAAATGAACGACGTCGTATAAAGCAACAGGTGCCGAAGGGGAAGCATAATCGAGGGAAGGTATTTTCTATGTGGCGAACGCCATGAAAGCACCACATATTCAATTGAAAAAACGCACAAAAAAAGGCAAATTTGATATAACAGAAATTCACAGAAAACTAATATAAACCCTGGCCGGCTAGTCATGCTAACTATCTCAAGTGCCAGCCGTCTGAATGAATACGTCCACCAGACCTCAGATCGGTTCATGCACCAACTGATTCATTTCACAACTCAACACGAAAAGAGAAAGGAACGAGAGATCTCGACATCACAGAGAGAAACGTTCAACTGAAACAGGAAGCTCAATCGAACTAATTCGAAAGAACAAATCTATAGATCAGAACATTGCCGACTCGAGATCGGCGAGGGTTTAGGGTTTGAAGCATGTCTCACCATGTAGTCAGTGGTGATGAAGGGATCATTCACGGCAACCAGCTCCACGTCATCCCTCTGCAACGCAACCCTCGCCACCAGGCGGCCAATCCTGCCAAAACCTACACCGACCACACCGCAGATCGTCACAAAAAAAAACAGGAAAAAAAGGGATAAAAGATGAACCTTCAAAAATACTACGAAATCAGAGTAAGACCGCGAAAGGCGCATCATCGGAGAACCAGAAATAAAAAAAACTAGGAGAGGAGAGCCCATAAACTCACCATTGATGCCGATCTTCACCTTCTTGGATGCTGCAACCACAACCGCATGCGTCAAGCAGAGATCAACGGAATCAGTACGTAACCTGCAGAAAACAAGCAGAATCGAAGCAACGGAAGGACAAAGGCCGGCTTACCCATGACGATCGCAGAAGCGTTGCGAGAGAACTGCGATGTCACTAGAGAGACAGAAAGAGAGAGTACAGCTGAGGAGGGGGGGTGGGGGGTTATATATTGAAGGAGGCGCCGAGAGGAAACAGTACTTACGACCGAGGGGTTTTTCTAAAATTGCCACCAAATTTTCCGCTTGGAAGGGCCTGCGACGAATCCCGTGGGTATATGCGGCTAGCGGGAATGGTTTTCTGTTTAGGTGTCTCTTTAAACTTGTTTTATATTACCGTATTCCCCCTACGTGGGAGAATTTCCACCCTTGCGGTTCGAGATATTTTGGACGGACCCCGCACCAGTCAGCGTACTCGCAGGCACAGCTGACACAAGCGTCACCCTCGGCGTCGAAAAGCATTCCCTTGCCGGAGCCGTCCGATAGGACCCGGATAGTACGTGGCGCAAAAGTCGTCATCCTCACGATCGTCTTGTGATCTTCGAAGAGCGTCCAGACACGTGTCGGAACCGTACTCAGATCACAAACGTTCAAGGCCGCTGGAGTTTTACATAATTACGGAAAAGCCACGATGGACCCGGTTGACCGGGCCTGTCTCTGGACGAAATTAGGTCCGAAACGACGGACCGCGGGATCCCCGGGCCGCCGCCGGGTTCGACTTTTCCCGGGTCGCGCCCATAAGAATAACTTTGAACAAAAAAAAAAAGATATTTCCACAACCCTTTTCTGAGCTATCAAATTTATATAATTTTTTTTTAAATGTGTGTGAATATTAATTATAGGCATTTACTCTTCCCAGTTTCTTGCATCCGCTTTATAAAAAAGAATATGTATTAATTTTCTTATAACTGTTATTGGTTCTAAGTCAACCCCTCAACTTTTGTCAACATAGAGTCAAATTTCATAAATCCAGAGCAAAACCTCCAATAATAATACCACTGTCTAATAATAATAATAATAATAATCAGAGTTTTAATTTTTTTGTTAGTAGTGGGAGGCTTTTGTCGTGTGTTTTTTTTGAAGAATAATTGAAGCCCCTTTCCCCATTAATATATTATAGCTCACATTTTCCACGTACAGAAACACCTTTTTTTCCCCTTTTTTAAATGGTATTATTTCAGACGGTTGATGACGCCCCTGTTGATTGGGTGCTCATCAATCAGCTCCAAAAGTTTACTTGTTTTTTACCAATGAAATCGATCGTACGGAATAGAAATGGATTGAGTTCAGTCTGTACATTTCTCCGCCCATTCTTGAATCCAAATGCTGAAGGGAATGCGTGAGAGATCCGGTCGAGGCGGAGGGGGAGGGACTCATCTCGCCGGAGGACGTCCGAGATCAGGTGAGAGATGACACTTTCGCCGCTTCATCAACAGTGCCGTAGTCTTGAAATCATGCCCTCGTTTATCGCCGAGATCGATTGGAGCTTGGGATCGCGATCTTCCTTGAAATGTTTGTCGATCATTCCCGTGTGGAGCGTGGAGAATTCCCCTTGCTCCGTGAAACAGATGCCGCCTTCTGATGATTTATGGGGTTTTGTGGGTTTCTCCTCTGCTGATTCTCCGCTCGCGGACAGAGCCTCTGATCATGGGAGTTCTGTCAGATCGGCCGCCTGCTTCAGGTAGGGGGCTGATAGTTTGTTCTCGATCTCCTTAGGAACTCCATCACCAGCTTTGAGAAGTCAGATCCTCGATCCTCGAGCAACGCAATGGGGGTGTCGTACTCCATGATTCTACCTGCGCAGCCCCGAGGAACAAAGGTGATGTTTCCGAAACCCTAATCGTCTCCTTGGGGGAGAAGAGGGGGGAAATTAGAGTTTTACCTTCATCGAGGACGAGAACCAGGTCGTTGTCGATGACTGTGGGGATCCGGTGGGCGACGGTGATCACAGTGCAACCGCTAGTCTCCTCCCTGATGGTCTTCTGGATCACGTTGTCCGTCGCCGTGTCCACCGAGGCCGTGGCCTCATCCAGCACCAGAATCCTCCGCTTCTTCAGAAGAGCCCTGGCCAGGCAGACCAGCTGCCTCTGCCCCACGCTCCAGTTCTCCCCATCCTCTGCAACTGAGCCACCACCGCGGCCGAATCGTCAGCTTCCATTCCCCGTTAAAAAGGAAAAAAAAAGCTCAGGGAGAAGAGAGAGATCGTTAAACAGATGCCCGCTTCTTCTCCATCATGAACCATCCTTCAGGCCAGATTCATCACATACCTGGTGCATCCAGAAGCCTTGGATCGCTGTTCACAATCTCCCCCAGATGGCATTTGCGGAGGACCTGAGAAAAACCCACCCATGTTTCATCATCAGGGATGGGGAAGATCGTACCGACTGAGAAAAACCTTTGTTCTATGGGATGGAGATTTTTTGTTTTTGGTTTTTACCTCCCATATGTCGGGGTCTGAATGCTGCTGCAGGGGATCGAGATTAGTCCTCACCGTCCCCTGGAAGAGCAGTGGGTCTTGGGGAATTATGCTCAACCGGGACCTCAGATCATGCAGGCCGATGAGGGAGATGTCCAGGCCGTCGATGGCGATCCTCCCCTCCGACGGCTCCACCACCCTGAAGAGCGCCTGGATTAGGGTTGACTTGCCGCTGCCTGTCCTGCCGACCACCCCGATCTTCTTCTCCCCGGGGAAGGTGCAGCTGATGCCCCTAAGAACCAGAGGTAGCTCCGGGCTGTAGCGGACATGGAGGTTGTCAAACTCGACGGTGCCGGTGGCGGGCCAGCTGGGTTCTGGCCTGCAGCTCTCGTTGACCAGCGGGGCCTCACTGGGGACCCTCGAATACTGGAGAATTCTCTCCACGGAAATCATCTTGTTCTCCACATTGCAGAGATTCCATATCACCCAAGCTTGCAGCACGTTCAGATTCAGCCCGTAGGTCGCCGCCAGCCCCGCAAGACCTGCAGATCACATCCTCTGTGAGTAATTTCCTTCCAGAATGACCCATCCCTGATTTCTGGTTGCAGAGGAGGATTGAGCGGTACTCGGGTCGACGGATGATCTCTTGAGGGTCACCAGGAAGATGAGCATAATCAGGAAGACGAGGTTGAAGAGGAAGTTTATGCGGACGCTGAGCCACTCCATGGTCGCCGAGTTGTGGAAGGTCACCCGGGAGTAGTCATCGACCAGGGAGAGGTTCCTGGCAATGAAGCGCTCCTCCTGGTTGAAGCAGCGGATGGTGGCGGCTCCGGCGACGGACTCGGCAAAGTGGTGCAGTATCGGGGCCTTCCTTATCCCCACCATCCTCCCCAGCTCCCTGGCAGTGCTGATGTAGTAGGTCTGCAAACCCATCTATATATAATTAGCCATGTTCCTGTCACTGACCGACAGTATCTGAGCTAACTTGATCAGGGTGGGGAGGTCGGGTTACCGACCTGGTACCAGTAGGAGATGGCGAGAACGACGAGGAAGAGGAGGAAGATGACCCAGCTGATCAGGGACATGAGGATGATGATGCCCAGCAGCTGGACGAGAGCAAACACCAGCCCGGCCAGCCTGTAAGGAATGTCTGTGTCCACCACATTCTGATCGGTAGATGACTGCAGGAACATGACAGGTACAAATAAATTAAATTAAATTAAAAAGTAAATAATCATCGATGGGAACTCAAAATCTACACAGATTGTTTGCAGATTGGTGTGTCAGGGAATCGATAGGCTGACCCTGTTGAGGATGCGGCTGGAGGGGGTGGAGTCAAAGAAGGCGATGGGGGCCCTGAAGATGCTCGTGATCATGCCGGTGAAGAGCCTCTGCGCCGTCTCGAGGGCGACTGTGGCCAGGAGCACCGCCCTCCCCAGCACAAAGACGGAGCTCCCCATGGACAGCAGGACGAAGACCGAGATTAGCCTCTCCCTGGTTATCCCAGCCTTCTTCTCAATTGCCCACGCGATCCAGTAGTTGCTACCAATCTGCAGGCCCTGGAAGAGCACCTGACACAGCAGGATCACCGGAATTAGCACCCCCCGGTACGCCACCGTCACGAAGGTGGAGTAGACCCCCCACTTCACCCTCCCACCGCCCTCTGTTTCCTCCTGCATGACGATGCCTCCGTTCTTGCTCCATGGCCCTTCCTCCTCCCTGAGCTCGTCCTCTCCGCCGGAGATGACGGCGGCGGCGGCGGTGGCGCAGCCCTTCCTGGCATGCTTCTCCTCCGCCGCGGGCATCTGGCTGAGGGAGCTCTCGTGGGCCGCCATCTGACGGAGGAACTCGCTGCCGTCCGTGTCGGCGACCAGGTCCTCGTACTTCCCCGCCTGAACAATCCTCCCTTCCTTCATCACCTGACGAGAGGTACAGATCATTTCCATTCGATCCAATTAACCAACTTGCAGAATTACCAAGAAGAAGAAGAAGACGAAGCAGCAGCAGCAACTCACTGACCAGGACGATATCGGCGGCATGCAAGAACTCCAGCTGGTGGGTGACGAAGATGACGGTCTTCTGGGCCAGTAGATTCATCAGGCATTCCTGAAAGCACTCCACTACACCAGTAAGTTTCCTTCTTTTAGAGAGGGAGAGAGAGATGGGTCTGTCTGTCTCTGTCTGTATTACCTTGAAGAGATGGGAGGCGGTGTGGGCGTCGACGGCGCTGAAGGGGTCGTCGAGGAAGAAGACGTCGGCGCCGCTGTAGACGGCCCTGGCCAGCTGAATCCTCTGCTTCTGGCCGCCGCTGAGGTTGACCCCCCGCTCCCCCACCGCCGCCTGGTCGCCTCCCTCCCACCCCTGCATGTCCCTGTCCAGTGCGCAAGCCCTCACCACCTCCTCGTACCTCCCCCGATCCATGGCCTTGCCGAACAGTATGTTCTCCCTCACCGTCCCCGTCTGCAACCACGCCCTCTGCGGCACGTACGCCCTCCTTCCGGCAACCTTACTGGCGGCACTGCCGCAACCCACCCGCGTCACCTCCCCGAGAAGGCTACAGAGCAGCGTTGACTTGCCGGAGCCCACCGCCCCACACACCGCCACCCTCTCCCCCTTTTTGAAGCTCATCCTCCTCTCGATCTTCAGCCCTGGTTTCCTCGACCCCGCCCAGCTGTACTCCCCTGGCTCCACCTCCACCGCCGCCGGTGGCGGTGGCGGAGGAAGAAGAGGTCTTTGGTTGTTTTCGTCGTCGTCGTCGATGAAGGTGTGGATGCGGTCGAGGGAGACCTTGGTCTGGGCGACTATGGCGACGAGCTCAGGGAGGTTGTAGATGGGCTCCTGCAGGATCCGGAAGGTGGCCAGCGCGGAGAGCACGTTCCCGGCGGTGAGCTCCTGGCCGGCGGCGGCGGCGACGACGAAGGCGACGACGGAGACCAAAGCTGGCGAGGCCCAGAAGAGGAAGGCCACGGCGGAGCAGGTATACAGGTACCTCCTCAGCCGCCGCCTCTCCACCTCCCTCAGCTTGAGGATCTTCTTCAGGTAGGCGCCCTCCCACGCCTGCAACTTGAGGATTCTCATGGCCTTGAGGGTCTCGCCGGTGGCGGCCATTCGGGCGTCCTTGGACTCCATGATCGAGCAGTGCATCCTCTCCTGCGCGTTGGCCAGTGGGATATTGGACACCATCACCAGCACGGTAGCGAGCAGGGCGGCGGCAGCGGCGGCGCCGCCAAGGTTGGCGCGGAGGACCAGCAGCGCCAGGAAGACCTGCACCGGCAGCAGCCAGATGCTGTGGAGGTACCAGCAGAAGTCGCCGACGCGCTCCACGTCGGTGTCGAGAAGGGTGGTGGCCTTGCCGACGCCGCAACAGGCGCAGCCGCTGCCGGCGCCGCCGCCGCCGAAGAGGGACCGGCGGTAGACGGCGGCCATGAGCGCCGCCCGGAGGCGGAGACCGATGCGGCGGGCGCCGAAGTACCACTGCCGCTGCGAAAGCGACTCCACCGTTTTGGAAGCGAAGAGTAGAAAGGCCAGCGAGCAGCCGGCGGCGGAGGAGGAGGGTTCGCCGGCGCCGGCGCCGGAGAGGAAGATGACGAAGCTGTTGATGAGGTAGGGGCCGAGGTAGGAGGAGAGGGTGTTGACGCCGGCGAAAACGGCGTTGACCGCGAGGGGTCTCCAGACGGCGAGGAAGAGGGCGTGGGAGATAGAGGAGGGCCGGCCCTTGTCCTTCTTTCGGCATTCCTTCAGCTGGGAGAAGCAGCGCTCCGTCGCCTCCTCTGGCGGCGGCGGCGGGAGGTGGCGGAGCTCCAGCTTCTCCGCCCGGCCCCTCTCGAACACCGGGTTCAGCCATCGGAACGTCAGCCAGCTCCACGTCCCCCCGCCGCCACCGGCGGTGGCGGAGGAGATCTTCTGTATCAGAGGTTGCTTCAGCGGCGGGGGCGGAGGCTCGCCGGCACCGGAGAAGAAAGCGGCGAAGAAGAGGAAGGCGACGAGAGGGAAGGAGACGATGCCAGCGGGAGATGGCGGCGGGAGGAACGCCGGGGAGGGAGCTCCAGCGATGTCGACGGAGATGGAGGCGACGCTGAAGAGGCCGTAGAAGGCCCACCAGAGAGAGAGAGGGAGCGGCCACCGGAGGGAATTCCTGCTGCAGATCGCGACGGCGCCGGCCGCCGTCCAGGCCGCCGCCGGCAAGGTGAGTTGCAGAGAGACATCTCGGTGAGTCCGCCATTTGAAGGCGAGGAAGCCTAGATGGGACGCGGCGACGAGGATGTTGGAGACGACGAGGAGCCATGAATACGCCGGTGATCTCCCCCTTCCTCCTTCCTGCTCCCCATCTTCTTCAGAATCTCTCCGTCGCATCTTGATTACTGAAACACTATGAGAAAGAGAGAGAGAGTGAGAAAGCTGCTGTGAGCCTGCCCCTTCTGGAGAGACGAAAAGAAGATCTTACGCAGGGGTTTGCAGCAGAGGAAGGGGATGAGAGAGGAACTCTTAGACGGAGCAATGGGTGGCGGAGAAAGAGAACGAGATGTGTCCACAATGCAGGAGGAAGGAGGGCATCTTCCTCTTCCCTCGGCCTGATAGCCTTCTCATCCCCGCATTGTGTGCAGGCAGGGAGAGAACCTTTGAGAAGCACAGATAGATAGATAGAGAGAGAGAGAGAAAGAGAGAGAAGATGAGACGAGATCAATGGTGGTGGGGTGGTGAAGGAAAGGCGTAGATTGAGGCGATAAATGGGGGAGGGGGAGAGCCTTCTTCTGTTCTTATCTATTCTGTAGGCGACCATGTCCCGTTGAATTTTATTTATCAGAGCCTGAGAATGCAGAAGCAAGAATGTGTACTAGGAGACGACATCTTTCCTCGTCCTCTCTCTCTCTCTCTCTCTCTCTCTCTCTCTCTCTCTCTCTCTTCTCCGACATTAAAATGGGTTCAAGAGGAGAGATGCTGCCCGTGGAGGGAGGCCAGGCCCACGGAGGGATTCTCTCCAGTTCAACGGTGAGAACTGCGACTTGGGCGATTCCCTGCCGCCGACACGTTCTGCAGCTAGGTTAGTTCTACGGGGGTAGGAAGGGAGGAGATCGAAGAGGGAAGAAGAAGGCTTTGTGAAATGACTCTTATAAATTTTCCCTGTCTAAAAAAGTGGAAGATGGCGGATTAAATATACTTGTTTATTATCTAGAGGCTATTTAAGAAAAGTCACGACCGCAGACCTCCAGGCGAATCGCAACAGGGGAGATCTCGAATCTCCTCTCATGTATTGACACCTGGCGGCCGCTTATGCACGAGCCAGGGCCGTACACGTGGGACACGAGCAGAATTGGTGAGCATATGGGCCCCAATGAAACGTATTTGACCCCAAGTGGGTCGTCTGTCGGGAGTATGGGCCGCTTTAATGGGCCCACAATGGGCCGAAAGCGACCCGTTTGGAGTGAATTGGGATTCGGATAACCACTCTCGGATCCACGTGTTTCCCCCCGGACGGCAACTCCACCTCTCTCAGCTCCTCAACTCCCGGGCTTCTAGAGAGAGAGAGAGAGAGAGAGAGAGTGGGGGTGAGATTTACGGATAAGCACATGGGAATCCTTAAATTGTGATGGTACTCTTCTTACGAGCGAGGGAGTGGGGCCCATTGAGACGGATGGGAGAGGAGAGGGGATGAGGATGAGCTCATCCGTATCCAAATGATGTCAACAGATATCCTCATCAAGGGAGGCAGGATATTCTCCGTCATATCTGAATAATTTACCAGATAGACGAATATCCCGGAGAGGTAGCCAGCTACCCAGCGAGAGATAGATAGATGAATAGACAGAGATAGAGATGGATAGATAGATAGGCAGAGATAGAGATAAATGGATAAATAGAGAGAGAGTGAGAGAGAGAGACTCACAAGAGAAGCCAGCGCAGTGGTGCCAGGGTGGACGAAACCTTGGAGATAGCAGTGTTGGGGGAGGGGGGGGGGGACTGTGAAACTCTGTGAGGAAAGCTTTAGAGGAGGGGCGCGAGGGACATATAGCCAGACAGATGGCTTCGGGGGGAGGGGAGAGAGAGAGACGCCGTGTGGGGGAAGGTGAAACCTTGGAGACGGCGATTGGGGAGGGACTGTGAGATCAAGTGCGGAAAGCTTTAAAGGAGACACGGGAGTCTCAGACAGCCAGACACATGGCTTGAGGAAGGAGAGGAGAGTTGGTGTGGAGAAATCTGTCCTTGGTGTGTTGATCATCCGTTCGTCATCCATTACCATTTTGATCCTGTCTACTCTCTCTCTCTACCCCCCCTTCGAAGTCAGACTCGAATGCTAGTCCAAATGTCGTCACCCCTGAGCTCATCAGATGGACATCACGTATATAGATACGACATCCTGTACGGATGATAGAGAGAGAGAGTTTTTTGCAATTTGTTAGTCCAAATGCATGGTGGTTGATGGTGGGTCATCCCCCCAACGAGGGTAAACTACTTAATCAAACAAAGGACTTCATCTTGACCGTCGAAAGAGCGGTTTTCTCTAACAAAGGACAAATACATTAACGTTGAGGAGGACACATCCTCGCAGCTCCACCCAAACTGGTGAAGATTTTCTTCCCGTGCAACATGAAATCGTATAATTAGTCTCAGGTATCTTACATATCATTCATTCAATTTTTTTTAAGATGGTCCATTTTTTTTATGCTTTTAGGTTGACCGAAGCAAGTCACTCATTCTGGAAGTTTCTAGCCCCCTCTCCTGGATTATTGTCCTACATCTCTCTCTCTCTCTCTCTCTCTCTCTCTCTCTCTCTCTCTCTCTCTCTCTCTATTTATCTCTATCTGTCATAGTTGCATGGAGAGGCCCGGATTGAGGATATCATCCCTCAAGTAGTGGAGCCCAGTTCGTAGATTTTCTCAACTAACTTACTTAAGTTGGGTCAAAGGCCAAGTCCAATGTATTTGGAGACATTGTGGGGTGTAGTCTATCTTGAAATATACATTTGACTAACAGAAGCTCACTAATGACATGTCTACCAAGATCTCCATCTTTGAACACTTTTTTCCTTCTTCTTTTAGATAGAGAGGTATACAAAGAAATTGGGGTTTAACTTCCATCTTGATTAAGTGATTCATTTTCCTGTGTGATATAAAGATACCTCAAATGATGGAATTTCCTCACCGATCATCTTTTTTTTTTGTATTGATGTACCTGTTCTAAAAAACATTATTTATTTCGATCGGGTATTAATTATTTTCCAAGAAAATTCGCGCCCACCCCGGATGAAGAGAGAGAAAGAGAGAGAGAGAGAGAGAGAGAGTCAGCTGGTTCTGGTAGTCAATCCGTACGCGGCCTCCGAGGAGGACTATGTTGCCATCGCTTGTTGCAGCTATGTTAAGGCAGATGGGGGGATCCGGTCACCAAATCCCGGATGTTCGCTGGTCACGGGTGCTGACGGACAACTGTCGTCCAAGAACGAGACACGTGTGTCGACAGACCATCCACATCATCACGTGCACACTGCCCCCACCATGAGAGGGGGCCACGGAGACATAGCGGGAAGATTTCTCACTTTGCCTATTGGACTGGGGATCTCACCTAAAGACCGACTAGAAAAAAAAATATTTTTTCGGCTGGGACTTCGAGACTGAACTCCAAGAAGGGACGAACTTTGGCTCATTCTCACTTTGCCTATTGGTCGGTACCCACATAAAATCACGAGGACAATTCATCAGATTTTATTTTTTAAGGCCTTTTTTCTGTAAGATTATGATAGAAGACAATATTTGGAAGATTTCTCAACGTCTTCAATGGTTTGATCCATATTAAGTGAATGTTATGAACTAAGCATGACATCTTGACAAGCCAAGGATGTAGGAAGCAGCTATGGTTAATTTATTCAAAAGTCCTATTTTTTTCACTTAGAATTGAATTTATCGTTGGATAGTTCAGATGTATTTCTTTTTGGATGGGCTATAATGTTTAATCGGCTATTGCCTATCGACATGAAGGCCTTTTCAACAAGATTGACATCCCATAAACTATGGTCGTTAGGAAAATATATATTATTTTATCTTAATACTAACATTTAATTATTTAATATAAATACATTCATATTAATTCTATATCTTAATGACATGTGGTACAATGATTAAATAACTCAAGATACTCTTACTTTTGTTACAAATGTATCAAGTTTTTTCTTAAAAGGGCAGTCTTTTATTGGATGCGCAACTTTTTTATTCAGATTTTTATAGTAAAAAAATATTTACTTTTGGAAAAAATAATTAATGTGGTAAATAATAATTTAAAAAATGACTTAATCCCGCTAATAGAGAAGCCTAACTCATTCTTAGCCAACCATGGACCTAGTGTGAAAGCTTGAATCTAACCCATCTTTGTGCCCCTCTTCTCAAGGGACCTTGATCCCATGGTCCTCACCACTTCTCTCTATTAGAATCATCATCATTAGTGGCCACGAAGCTGCCATCTTGTTGTTCTCCACCATCTCCATCACAAGTTCACGCCCCTACTCAGATGGATATTTGAATGTTGTTTGAAAGTAATTATGCAATAGAGAATGGTAGTGGTCTAGGGAGAGGATCGACATGGAAGAGGCTTGTGTGCTGGCACTCTATTGACACTATATTCTTAGCCATCTATCTCACCCTCAACTTATCATATCAAGTTTTAGAGTATATTTGAACAATCAACATAATGTTGTGTGGCATTTTGTGCAGAGAAAACTGGTGTATGTGAATTTGGCATGATGTGACATGGTGTACACACAAAAAAAAACATCTTGTGCACAGTGAACCCCATGTGACTTCTGAAAGCTGTTAAGATATGGCTTCATACTTCAATAATATGGGCCTAAAATAGGCCCAAAACTTATAGGAGTGAGACATTATATATTGGCACTTTCTTTTGGCCCATATAGAAAGGCAAAAGGGTAACTCTTTCAAGGGATGTGAGAGGGTTAAAACCTTGTTACATGCTCTATTGTCAAGGGGCACGAACTATGTAAGAAAACACTTGGGATTTAAGGTTCTTTCCCTTTTTCTTCCATATCTTCTTTGTTTAGATATCTCTCCCCACCTCTCTTCTTTTGGTTTGTTGTCTTCCTTGATCATTTCAGGTTTAGCTGTCCTTGTGAAGCAAGACTGCAACTCGAAGGCTGTAATAGAAGTTGTTCACAATAGAGATAGAGGAAAGAAAGAAAGACCAAGGTGACTATTCTTGGAGGGTACAAAACAGCAGAATACATGTATATTCGAGGTGAATATATAGCGTATGGAAGGTTGTCTACATGCTGTATTTGCCACATCTCAGATACTTAAAGAAGTGCGCTCCTGATTTCTACCTCAAATATTTATTATATCTTCAATTACTTTCCAGCTGCAATCCATTTGAGAATATCATTTTATATTCCTTGATGATTTGGCAATTTTTATAATAGAAGAAGTTATGGAGACTTAGCATGTTGTCGGCTCTATGATGCATAATGGTTGCATGTTTGTTGTGTAATGTAGTGCATGCGGGCTCAAGTATGTATGGGAGTACAACATGAGACAACATTACACAACACAATAATAATGTGTGCATACACTCTATGTTGACACAACCCAAGCATGCACTTGCATAATGTGGCATGATGGTCACATGCTAGTAGTGCAATGGGCACAAGAGGGCTTCAGTGCACTCAAGTAGGCACATCACAACACAACAACAATGTACACCTCTGCACACATATCTTACACAATGCGACTTATGAGAGCTACAAACACTCAACACTAATGATTCAGAGCATGGTGCACAACAATTGTAACATAGTGGTGTGGAGCAATACAAGTGTGTCACATAACAACATAATGTATACACAGAGATGTAACTTGGCACAACATGACATATGAGAGTAATAGAGGCTCAACACAGACATACACTAGTTTTTTGAAACATAACAACCACACTAGAATAACACCTTAAAATAAAATGATCATGTGTTTGGTGACATGTGATGTGGTGAAACATATCATGAAGTGCAGCACAAAGTTGTGCTACACTAATTTTAATATGTGGCATGATGTTAATGCATGTGAGAAATTTTAGCATGAAGTGGTGTTGTATAGACAACATGTCATACATGTATGTGAGCACACAACTAGGTAGAAGCATGTAGTGACATACAACATTTTGAGGTAGCATGATGATAGTGTTGAGATATGAGATATTTTAAATTGGACTCAAATGAAGTAAATTATTTAAGATCTTTAAGCTACATAAAGGCTCAATAATAGAGGAGAAAAAGCTCCAAAAAATATTTATTTTAATAATTTTATGGTGAGATAAGAGGGATATAAAAATAGTACTTAGAGCCTAGTTTAAGACATTTGAGCTAAACCTAGCTTTTTAATTTTTTTCCTCTTTTGTGTGTGGTCTATTTCTTGTGGGTCACCACTCATCTTCCTATTTTTTTAAGTTAAGATTTTGTTACTTTCTCTTATAGGTATTAGTTAGGAGATTAGTTGCAGAGATACTATTCTTGATGACACTTGAACCAAGAACTTGGCTACTCCTCAAAGAACAATGAAGAAAATTAGAGTTAGTTTAGTTTTAGAAGAATAAATAGGGAGATTGATGATTGTTTAGATCATTGAAATTGAATATAAGAGGTAAAGAGGTAATAACCTAAAAATCATTTTAGTATATATTAATAAATCAATTGAATCATTTTTTCACTATAAAATCAAATTTTCAACTTTGAATCAATTTGTTCTTGTTGAATTTTTTTATTTATGTTGATTGTATTTTTTAAAATCTTTAGGGTAGCATGATATGTAATAGTAGTGGAGTGTGTCATAATACATAACAGTGTAGGTACGTACCATGGACATCTATCACATAGAAAGTGCACATTGTCAATCTACATGGACATGTGAAGTGTGGATCAATTTAATAGTGTAGAATGTCAATTGATACATATGTATATGGTGTCAATGGGTATGGCTAATTTACAATCACATATATGTACCCAGGAGACAAATTCTATATGAATATCTAAAGGTAAAGTGTCATGAAGTTGACAAAGGTATTTTGATATGTTAGATTTTTTTTAATGTGAAATAAGAGAACAATCTTCCTTTGAGTTTTTTTCTGATTTTATGAGGTCCTCAGCAAGGATAAAGGCTGCTTAGCGTCAAAGAGATGTATAAGATTGCACATGGTTAAGCACTTTTGAATTTGTTCATATCATGGTATCAAAATGTTTGTTTTGGTCTGAAAAAAGAATGGTAACTGATGAATATTTTTCATTGAGACTAAATATCTAATAAATTTTATAAATGAAACTTTAATTGAATTTTAATATAATGGTGATTCCAATTCAACATAAGGAGGAGGAATAATTTGTCATTATAATTATTTAGCTTTTAATGTAAAATAATCTTAGTGCTTTATCACAAATTTTAAGAAAATATATTACAAGAGATTAAGAAGATGAGAGATTTAAGAGGAAGGAATAGGAAGAATATCATGTGAGATAGAGAGAGAATGTAGGTGGATTTAGAAGGAATTCCAAATAGAAAACAATGGGAAAAAGATAAATATATATATAGTGAGAGAGAATTTAGAAGAATAATGAGGAGAGAGAAACATCAGTCAACCCATTTACAATGATTTAGTTTACTCTTAACTCAGTTTGACAACATTTCTCAGACAAACATGTGATGCAAAAGTACACACAAAAGATGTGAGATCATGCGTGAATATCTCTTAACTATTTTTGAAATATTAAGTGTTAAATAATCAGCTCTTAATCTTACTATTATATATTAAAATCATAGAAATATCTTGGTTATTTTGACTAAGTTCACGGAGCACCAATAATATAATTTTTCTAAAATCAATTACAAAAACTAATGGAGAAATGTTGAAAATGTCCTACAATGATCTTAGAAAAGTTAAAAAAAATTAGGAGAGAAAAAAACCTTGTTCATTCATTTTTGTATTAGTTCTTCAAATTTTTATTAGAAGGCATATAGTTCAAGTAAAAATAAAAATAAATTGTTGAAAAAGAGAAAAAAATGTTGCTCATTTGATGGGTCACCTCCCAAGCAACTAAAGATGCTAGTGTGGCAACTTTGAATCATCCAAACACGTCACACCATGCTTGTAGTCATAGAGGTTTCCTATAGAAGTACTAGGTCACTCACTAAAGAGATCTTCCAAGAAGAAGATTTATGACACTATCGTCATTGTGTGAGATGAAATAAGATGAGCTGACCACTTGCCAAAGGCCTTGAGTGTGTTGAATGGAGGAACGAATAAACTTGTCAATTGTTGAAGGCTTTAATTGCACAAAGGGAGGAAAGAATGAATGTTTCTATGATTGTCTTTGAGTTTTTATGTCAGCTGTGATGATAATCGATAATGTATGTTTCGTTAGAAAATAATCGTGAGCTCACTTAACCTCCAAGTAATTTGGCACTTTGAGCATCCTTGGGTTGAACCATTGCGTGTTGGTTCACTCATGTTCTCAGTCACATATTTAGTCTCATATCAAAAGATGTCACAAAGAAAATAGGTATATTAATTAAACATGAATAAGCCATCAGACAAGTCCCCAATTTAGGCATTGTCATAGGCTACAGTCTATATAATAAATAAAAAATATAAATACTATATAATATTTATTTATTAAATAATTTATTTTTAAAAAAATTGAAAACATGTTAACTTCTAACTTCCTAATTTAGCAATATATTTTTACATTCTTCTAAAAAAATTAACACGAACATATACAAATAAATAAAATTAAATATAGAAAAATTTAAAGTTAATAGCAACAATCAATGATAGTAAGCTGCAAGGTCAAAGTCTCTTTTGAATAGAAGAGTGAGTGATTGTATCAACTTGAATGATGGAAGCTAACAAAAGTTAAATCCACACATTGGAAGAGCACTTGGACTATGTCTAGGTAGCTGTGGAGATGGCAACAACTCGTTCGAACATTATGGATGGCTGATGTCAAGGTAAAAAGAGTTGTGGGAGGTAGTATTTTAAAACATGGATGTCAATGTAATGTTGTTGAATTACTTGATAGTGAGCAAGTAGTAAATGGGTGATATTTAGAGATATTAAGTTTCATGACCTACAACATTTTTAGGTGTTGAATTATGGATTCACTCAATATTATTTTGATGACCAATATATAATAATTTTATGAAATAATATTTCTAATATAAAATTATGAAATTGATGATGATATTAGATTAGAAATTGATTCAAATGACACATTATTGCTATTATTTGTATTGAACGGTATTGATATAAACACTAAAATTATTTTAAAATAAATAAATATAATAATAAGTTTATATAATATAAAATTCTCATTATCTTATAGGTAAGTCTTAATATTCTGATTTTCTATATCCAATGACTTCACTGATACAAGGTTGAGACTCATGCAAGTGATGTTATTGCACAAGAGTGGTAGAGCAAGGCTTCTTTTTATATGTTGGCCCCTAACTCTATTGATAGTGAGCATCATTATCTTATCTCTCTTTTGCTCAATTATTTTCTAGTTGACTATCTCTCTCTCTCTCTCTCTCCCTCTCTCTCCCCTTTGAGGCTTGTGCTTTAAAAAAAAGCATTGGATATTTATTAACATGTTAAAAAAGACATTGGATATCACATAGCACATCTTGTTTCCCTTGATCCGATATCTTGTTGACATCATTTGTTTCCCTTCATTTTCCCTCCTCTATTTTTCATTCATCTCATTAAGCCCCACTTGTTGCCACATAGGAAGGAAGACAATTACAATTGAAGGATTCCAATCAGTGTATCCAAAATCCTCACACCACGTCATTCTCTCCCTCTCTCCCTCCCTCCCTCTCTCTCTCTCTCTCTCTCGATAAGTTTGTGTGTGAGCCTCTATCTCTATCTACAAGCTTAACAATTGAGGAGCTGAGGGCCATACTTTGAGGGAGGTGGAGTCGCTATCTCAATCAAACATGTGGATCCAATAAATGGTTATCCAAAACTAAATTTTATCCAAAATGGGTCATTTTCGGCTTACTACGGGCCCATAAAGAAGGTCCACACTCCCATTTGACTTAGTGAAATTGTTCCACTTGGGGCCCACAAGATGACTCATGTACTTTTTAACCCATGGCTGGGTTGCTACATATCTCCTAGAACACATCCTTGTTTTTTGCATTCTCAATCTCTAAAGATATTCAATATAACATCCAAAATCAATAAAATTCAACCCAAAAAACCTGCCTAGAAATAAGAAATAGAAGAAGAAAATGCTCTCTCTCTCTCTCTCTCTCTCTCTCTCTCTCTCTCTCTCTCTCTCTCTCGCTTTCTCTTTGTGCATCTTACTATGATATGTATGCTCTCTCCTTTCTCAACCAAGGGCAGAGTAGATTTTGAGATGGCTGGCCATTGCTCCATTTTGAGAACTTAGATCGATTTCGATTACCTTGGGTGTAAATGAGGAGATCTAAACCCATGGAAGAATGGATATATATACAAACTCACTTTAGTCATCGTGAAAGTAGATTTAAAGGTCAAATTATTGACCTCCATATTTGAATTAATAGACTAGAGTATGTATGGAAGATAATTCAATCTAAAAAAAGTTGACTGAAAGTGTATGATTTTGATTCCCCCTCAAGAAATTAGAGCTAGATAATCTTGAGCTAGTCCAGCCATTGCAAGAGGGCCTCCTCACTTTTGTTTTGGTTCATGTCCCTAACTCTCATCAAGGCTTGCAGGTGGCCGCGCACTTGGCACATGGGCGGCAGTAGAGCTATGGGCAGCCACAAAGTTACTGTAGTTTGTGGCTGACTGATGTGTGGGTGGTGTTGTTGCTATAGAAATATGAGTAATGTAATCAGAATAGGCTGATGAAACAAAATAACTTTGGCTGATCTAATCTTTGAAAAGCATACTCATGAATCACATAAAAAAAGAAAAGAAAATAGAAGGATGGCAATAGACAAAAAGATTAAACGAATATGCATGCATGTGGTACTCATTTTTATAGTTGGTGTTAGTAGTGTCAACCCATCCCCACTATCTCATTCAGGGGACATGCATGGAGTGGTTGATGGTGAGAGCCCATCCCTATTGACTTGTTTGAGGGTTGTGTAGGAAATGAGCAAGGAAAATGAGAATGGTTAAAATCATCAACTCCTAAATATGTAGGCATGCCCACATAGTTTGTGAATGACTCTTTTTTTGGGGGGGGTAGTTATCATGTCCTTTTTTTTCTATAAATAGTACATTTATTTTCTTTTTTGTGGTATAATGAATGAAATTTTTTTCTTCTTCTTGGGATCTCTCCTTTCTTTTGATTCTTGTCTCTTCATCAAATCTCCTCTTTTTTTTAGTCTTTTTTCTTTCTTCTATCATAGGTGAAATCATTATAAATGTAGAGAAGAGTCAATTGTTAGCCCAACAATGTGTTGGTCATCTCATGGGCATTGAGACATAAATTTGAGGTATTATGATAGAAGGTTTGTTCTCATTAAGATTTCTCATAGTTTGGTGATTTATCTTATAATATTTGCTCTCATTGATATTCAAAAATTGAGTTTTCATTATTATTATGATTATGCTTGTATATTTTCCTTACAAGTAGTGTTAGAATGAGATTTTTCTAATTATTTATAGACTTATTATGTCTTCTAAGGTGCACATTGATATTCAGAAGTTAGATTAGTCATCTAATTTCAATATTTGAAAGCATCGGGTGTATGATGTATTGTTACAAATGTATTTATATAAGACTTTAAATGGACTAAAACTAAACAAGATTAATGTTGATGATTGAGAGATAATAGGAAAGAAGATTGCAACTTTTATTAGTACATGTTTGCCTATTGTTGTTCTTTGAGAGGTCATAAACAAATATAATTCTAATGAACTCTAGAAGAAGTTAGAGAAACTATGTGCACTAAAGTCAATGATGAATAAATTAACATTAAAGAGAAAGTTATTTGAGTTATGCATGTTAGAAAGAGATGATTTAGCATTTCATATTTGATTATTTCAATCAATTGCTAAATGACTTGCTTCATGTGGAATCAATTTTTTTAATAATAATAAAGTTATTATTATGCTTGTTTATCTTCTTTATCATATGATCATTTTATTATAATTTTATTGTATAGCAATATAGTATATATTCTTAAAAATATTATTGATTTATTAATAAAATATCACTATTAAAAGAAGGATGTTAGTAAGGTCTTTGGTGAAGGTTTTTATGTGAAGGATGAAAGAGAATGTGAGAGGTTGAAGAAGAATGGATTGTTGGGAGAGAAAGAACCAATCTAAATTATGAACAAATTAATTAAAAAATTAAACTTTACACAAATGTCATAAGAAGTACTATTTGCGAAGAAATTGTTTAAAGAACTGAAATGATAAAATAACAAAAATGTAAATCTAGTTTTGTTAATGTTACGAAGGTTGATAAGACTAAAGACAATGAATGTTATATTATCCTCTTATCGTAGTTGAGAAGTTGTTGAACACATAAATCTTTTATTTTTGTTTCTCTTATCATATGTGTCATAATACTAACTAATTTGACTCATACAAGAATACAACATGAATTGTTTTTATAAGAAATAGTTCGACTTGTAAAGTGGTTAGTATTTGTTCAATGAGAGTTTAAATATTTAATAGGGTAGTAAAAGAGCTTGTAATTGTTCGTCATGTTTCAACATTACACTAGAATTTGATTTCACTTAAAGTTTTGGAGGCAAATAAATATTATTTCAAAAGTGAGAGTGAGATTCTCAAGATAAGTAAAAGATCATTCATTGTGATGAAGGTAAGTCATCAATGAGTAAATATTTACAAACTTGAGAGAAATACTATTGTAAGTAGAACTTATGTTGCGAAAATGAATGATTTCATAATTGATGACACTCTTTTATAATACTTGTGATTAAATTATAATACTAAGACAAGTGCGTACAATTACATGCACGAAGATTGCAACATGATATAAAAACTTACAAATTAGATTTTTTATAAGTACTGTGTCATAAAAAATAGTGCAGGGTGACATTTAAGGTAGTGAAGTATAAGGTGGGTGATGTGTCTAATAATATTTATTCAAATGTGTGTGGTTTAGTTGACGCATCAATGAGTAGAGTTTGTTATTTTTTAACTTTTGTTGATGATTTTTTTATGAAAGTATGAGTATTTTTCTTGAAGCACATGTGAGAAGCTTTTACGAAGTTCATAATTTTATGTGCAAAGGTGGAGAATTAGATAGGAAAAATATTAAAGTCTTGCAGACTGATAATAGTTCATAATTTAAGAATACTAAATTTGATCAATTTTGTAATGAGTATAACATTTAATGTCACTATATAGTAAGGAAAAATTCACAATGTTAAAACATTATTTTATCATTTTTAGTTAGTTTAACCTCCACCATCATTTTTTGGACTTTAAAAAGAGATCTAACGAATGCCTATGTCATTAATGTGTAAAAAGAGCCTTTGAGGCCATAGATGTTGTTCAATAATCCTCATGAATGCACATAATTCTAGTGGTTATTATTGCAAGACCATGTGCTCATGAAGCACATGTGAAAACTCTGTCTTTCATGCTTTAAAATTAATTTTCACTTAATTTAATAATATTGTGTATGATTTTAAATTTTAAAAATATTCTTCATTCAATTATGATTTTTTTAGTTTTTTATAAATCTTAATTTGATTAATTAAGTCATCTATAATCAATTACATAAGAATTAGCAAGTAGAATTATTTCCATTCGATTCGTATTCATTAGACGTCAGTGTCATCTTGACGCCCACACCCTTATTTTCCTTTTTTGTAAATTTTTAAGTATATTTTATATTTATTATTTAATCTAAAAGTTATAAAAAAATATATTCTTTTAAAAATATGAAATATTACTTAATATTATATTACATCTCTAAGATTGACTTGAAAAAACTTTACTATTTTTAGAAATTTTATTGAATTATAATTGATATATTATTTTAATATATTTTAATATATATATGTTTTAGTTTTATAAATATTTAAATTTACATGATTTTATATAATGACTAAGTCACGTCAAAGAGCATATGTTGAAGCTCTTCTCTCATAACACATGATTCAGAAATTTGATAAGACTCGTGTTGAGGATAAAACAAAGTTAGAGGTAGAGACTATATAGAGTCTTCTTTACTTTGTTGCGAGTAGAGATCATTGCAGAATTATTAAATGTTCTTGATTCCATTACTACTAGACAAGGTAGGTGTGAAATAAAACATCTTACTCATCTTGATAGTTATATTGACTTTGTTTTATTTTTAGTAAATGACAAGTTAATAATTTTTTGAGATGTAATTAATTACTTTGAAAATAAAAAGTAGTTGCAAGTGATGTCTACTAGACAAACATCTTTAGACAAGAATCACATGTAGTAATTGATGAATTTTTTTGTAAAGAAGATAGTTATTAAGTGTAAATGAGTGTACAAGAAGAAGACATAAATAGTTAATGATGACTAATCACAATACAAAGTAAGACTTATTATAAAAGATTTCATATAGAAGTGGAGAATTGATTATACATAGATCCTTTCAGCTATTGTGAAGTACATATTTATTCACTTGATGTTAGCCATTATAACACATAAAAAAACATAAGGTTTGAGTAATTAGATGTAAAGATGTCATTTCTTTATGGAGATTTTAAAGAGGCAATTTACAAACAGCAATAGGATAATTTTACTATGCAAGGGTCAGAACATCTTGTTTGCCGACTTAAGAAGTCTTTTTATGAGTTAAAGTAGATATCAAAGTAGTGATACAAGAAATTTGACTCTTACATGATGTAAATTGAGTACACAAAATACAACTTTGATTGTTGATGATTCTCGAATTATTTTGATTCTCTATGTTAATGATATACTCATTACTTCAACGAATGTACATGAAATTTCTTAGTTAAAGTTATTATTGAGTAGTGAATTTATCATAAAGAATCTTAATGTGACAAAGAAGATCTTTAGTATAGGGATCCTTAAATACCAAGAGTGAGGTCAACTTTGATTGACTTGAAAGAGTTATCTTTTAAAGAAATATAAATTTATTTGGTATTAGTGATCCTAAAATAGTGGGCACTCTTTTGATTAATCATTTCAAATTATCTATTATTGAATGTCTTATATTTGAGGAATATATTATTGAGATGAGGTAAATTCTTTATATTAGTGTGATTGACTCTCTTATGCATGTTATGATCTATAAAAATTATATATTAGTTATGTCGTTAGACTTGTAAGTAGATTTATAAGTAATCTATTGAAGGAATATTGGAGCATTGTGAAGTAGATTCTTCGATATCTAAAAGATTTGTTAGATTTTAAAATCCATATTTGGTTAGTAAAATTTTCATATGGACGAGAATGTTGTGAATATATTGATGAAGTCATTATGATGGAAAAGTTCAAATAGTTTTAAAATTTGATTCATGTTGTAAGTACTTTGGAGAAGGTGGAGAATGTACAACATGGATAGGTGTTTGATAAGTCTTCATTATTGTAAGTTAATAATTATTAAATAATATAATGTTAACCTTAACTCATGATAAATAGACTTATATTTGTGTTAAAGTGTGAAAAATGGTTTTCAGTTGATTAATGTGAATTTTTGGGTAATTATGTGATTTTATATGATTTTTATAGTCTTACTTTTGAGATAAATAAAGAACAAGTAATAAAAATAAAAATATTACAAAATGAGGTGACTCGCCGGCCAATCGGGCCCACAAACGGGTTGGAAGCACAATTGGGGAGTAGTCGTAAGTAAGGACTCGAGCAGCTTGGCTTGGACCGATAGGGGCTCGTGTGCGCCACTCCCCTTCTACGTCACCGGTGGCCAGTCGGTTGTGGGGCAAGGAGTGGCCATACATGTGAGAGAAGAACTTTGCTTAGAAAGTTAATATTACTATATATTCACCTAAAAAATTGGCACACAATCGATGTGGGACTAAATTTGCATCACACCTTCTTTAGAAGTGGGCGACTGACACAGGTTCAAATCCTCTCAGAGTCAAAATTCATATCTTTTTATCTGATTATTGCGACTTTCCTATAGATCGCCGGTGAAGGATTAAGTAATGAGAATCATTGGATCATCAACGAAAATATCGTCAACGCGATTTGCAGAGCATTGCTACTAAAATTGCTAAACAATTCGTGATAAAAGGATCGTAAATCCATCAAGTAAATCATCTCTAATTGATCAACGAATAAGCCGTCATCAGAAAGAGGACAATCCTCCGGGAGATGAGTTGCCACCTCCTGAGAGCGTATCGGATGCGATGAAGAGCCTCATCTTGCTGTGCGGACCTGAGGATGAAGCTCCTTGACACACCCCACCTCCATCTAGTTCCTCTTCGTCAGGTGACAACCACCGGAGAGCCGCAAAGTTGTCATTTTTTCGCTCCGCTGGGTGACAGCCGCCAGAGATGACTCGACGACCCATTTCATTAATCTCTAAACTTTGCAAGAAGATCTAGAGATTGTCCACGTCATCTTTATCTAAGGATAGCCTTCGAGGCCATGGACACTACATAATAATCCTCCCGAATGCTCAAGATTCTGGTGCATCACCAACGCATCGCTGTCGCGACGTCGGAACTCTGTTTTCCTACTTTCAACTTAATTTTCATTTCATTTAGTGATAATTTATTGATTTTAAATTTACCAACATATACTTCATTTCATTACGATTCTTCCGTCTTTTACAAATCTTAATCTGATCAATTAAATCATCTGTAATTGCTTACGTAAGAATCACTGAGCGGAACTCTATTTCTGCCCGATTTGCATTTGTCAAATGATGATGTCATCTTGACATCCGCACCCTTATTTATCTTTTTTGTGAATTTTAAATATATATTTTTTATTTCTTAGTATAAAATTTATAGAAACTCATATTCAATGAGAAAGTTTTTAAATAATTACCATATATTATATTACATCCCTGTTATTGACTTGGAAAATTACCATTATTTTTGAAATTTTTATTGAATTATAATTAATATATTTATTTAGAAATACTTCTAAATATTAAAAAATTCATATTTTCTAGTTTTATAAATTTTATATTTATGTGATTTAATATACAACGATTGAGTCATGTCAGTGTCTACTTGTGCTTATTAAGATTCCTCATAACTTGATGATTTTTAGTAGAAGACTTGTGCTTATTAAGATTCCTCATAACTTGATGATTTTTATTCTAATATGTGTTCTCAATGATATTTAAAAATTAAGTTTTCACTATTATTATGGTCGTATGCTTACATATTTTTCTTACAATTAAATACATAATTTTTTTCTAAAAATAACAAGTGTCAAAATGATAACAATAAGATTTTATATGACTTAAAAGATTAAGTACATACATGTATCTGAGAAGCAGCATATTTAAAGATTTTGAGGGAAAAAGTATGAGCATATGTTGCATTATCCCTGGCCTTAGGCCTCAACTCCCGCAGGATTTGGCCTTTGTCAGTCCAGTCATTAACATCGACTAAAACAGGCCCCTGTAAACATGGGCGCGTGAGAAAAGAAACCGTAAAAAATATGAGAGGGATATTCCTGTGGACAAAATATCAAACTGTTTACATTCGCACCAGGATGGTAGGGGAACATAAACAGCAGCGATTTCACTCTGTTGTACATTGGCAACCATCAAGAACGAGACGTGAATCATCGAACAGTGTGCAGGTCTCATCCCTTGTGCCCAAAAGAGACGGCCAAAAGATGAAGGAAGGAAGAGGAAAGGAGGGTGCTGCTTGCCAGGAAAGAGAAGCGTCCGCAACTCTCTCAAAGATGAACAGAACTATGACCAAAAACCTGACAAAATAGCAAGAAATGAGCGTTGAAATGCGTCAACATCTGCCGAGAGCTGCAACACAGCTTACGCACAGAGAAGACAAGGACAAATGTGAACGGAATTCAAGCTCACCAAATTTCACACCACAATAGAAGCTCGCGAGTGTCGGATACAGTCTTTTCGACGGCCATAAGACATTGATAAGCACGATATGCACAATCAAGAGCCACACTGTCGACGAGGAAGACATAGCAAGTTTCACCATCTATAGACAGAAACTACCCGACGGATTAAAACGTCTGGGGAGGAGGGAGTCCATACATCAGCGCACCTATACGGAATGAGGCAGAAAATGGTAAGAAACAAACACCGATGATGAGACTCCACTCCTGCGAGTTTAGCTGACCTGAAACGAGACGAGGGAAAATCAATCGTAAACAGGAGACCGAATCGGAATCAAGCTTCGGGCCTCATCACGTTGAACAAAGCCCTAACGTTCGTTGCCCGCCGATTCAAGCCGCAAAACAGCTCTGCTAGCAATCCACAAAGAGCACCCGCGGGCGCGAGGAGCCCGCGAAGCAGATCCCAACGAGATCGGCCGCGCAAAGGAAAATGGTTCTCACCTTCCTGCAACTAGCAAGTATCAATACCCAGTTGAGATTTCCTCCGAGAATCCTGCGCCGCCAGATGACTTCTGGGCCCTTGTGCCGATTCAGAGGAGAGGGGCATGATTTAAGGTTTGAATCACCTTCTGGATCCTTCTATCGGGGCGTTGGCCTTATCAATAAAATGTTCATCTGGGGTGCCCCGTACCCGTCGGAAGTGAGTCGAATGAAAAGTCGCGGGCTAGTCGAAAGCGCGAGGCCTAGACTCGGCGGTAGCTGCTCCATCTAGATGGGCATTTGACTCGATGCAATCCTGGACACCATAGTTGGTTAGCTGGCACGTGTCCTAGAAACAGGATATGCTTTGGATACGCGTACATCCCCGCCCTTCTGTTTTTCATCCGCCCATCTTCTTGTCCACTACCCTTTGGAGCCCTCACCTGTCTGTCCTGTTGAGTTATCTTAACGAGGATGGAGAGACATTTTACAGGCCCTTAACCTGTCTGCGTTTCCCCAGCTGCAACAACGACACCCACACGACCATCAGCCGCAAACCACGGTAACTTCTCAGCCGCCCAAGGTGCCGAGGGTGCCGGCCCTGATGAGACTCGGGCACACGAACCTGAACAGCGGCAAGGATGCCCTTCTGCGGTGGTTGGCTGGACCAATGAAGATCCAAGGGGATTCCGCCGGCAAAGCTCCCTTCGTGAAGAGAAGAAGGATCTTGATTTCTTGCCGAGGGAGGAGAGAAGGGCGGGTTTCTTTCTCTAACGTAATATGCTCGTAAAACCATCATTGATGGCACTCCTATCATATCCTTAAATGACATCAATCAAACCAACGAATCACAACACAAAACTGTCGGTCGATCTCATTTTCAGGTATGACCCCTCATCAGCTCCCAACCTCTCACCTATATTGGATCGCACCTCGTCAAAGACCCTTCTCTCTCTCTCTCTCTCTGCGTACATGGGCTTTACATGATCAAAACGAGTGATATTTCCTGTACAGATGAAGGATGAGAATCGAAGCGTATCCAGCTAGCTAATCTATTTACTGTCACATCTCCTCAACCACCAAGCAGCCGCAGGCCTTCGTAGACAGCACCATGCTGGAGCTCGTCGAGGTTGTCGATGGTTCGGAATCCACCGAGCTCCCGGAGACCTGCCCAACCCCGGCGGCCCAGCAGGTCCCGGAGATCATCATCCGTGTACAGCGTCTTCTCCACTGTCGACACCTGCAGCTGCTCTGCCTCCTCATAGAGACAGATCTTTATGGTCAGCCCTGTGAGGGTCAACCATGTCAGGGGCAGGTCAAAAGGGTTGACCACCAGAGTCTGCGGGTGGGAAGGAGATGAAGACCCCAACCTTGGTCAAGGTGGAGGGTGTAGGTCCCAAGCGGCATTTCTCGGTCAAAGCTGTGGACGACTGCGTCCCCGTCTTCAAGCCAGAAGGCTCGGCGTGTTCTCAGCCCAAATGCTGACTTGATGGCGTCCTTGATTGCCTCGGCTGAGCCATTGATGCCAATCTTCCTGGTGAAATTCCCACACTTCACCATGATCACCCTCCCGCAGTGCCCCTCCCCACCTGATGAGCAATGCAAGATAATACCATCAGTATGAGTGTACGCTCCTAAAAAAATGGAGTATGCGGGTGGGTTTTGGAGCTGATGGGTCAAGTGAAGAGATCTTGAGGACTGAAAAGATGGGCAGGGCACTGATAATCGTCCTGGTGAAGGAAAGGCATATAAATCTTTGCGGGGAAGGACGAGGACGAATGGGTACCATTTCCTCCGGTATCTTCCCAGTTCCAGGGGGGAATGCCGCTGGCTGCAACGGTGCCGGCGTCTGTTATGGTGAGGGGGAGCCCTTCGTGGTCCAGACTGAGTGCTGCTGACCTGGCTGCATGAGAGAGAGAGGAAAAGTCAGTGGATTATGCTGTTTTAATTCGTGTTGGAGAGAGATTGATGAGCATAGATAAGTAAGCTTATAAAAGGGGATGCTTTACAGAGACATTTTGGGTATTTCTCTTGATGCATACCTTCCCCAACTAAAATAAGGTGCACTCCCACTGTCTGCGAGGCCTCCCTCCCATTCTCCCATTGGCAGCTACAAGGGACTCCCATCTCTCTCTCTCTCTCTCTCCCTCCCTCCCTCCCTTCCTCTCTCCCTCCCTCCCATGTTACCAATGGTGGCATCCACTGGGCACCCCCCATCTAACTAGGAAACCCTTCCTCGAGAATAAGAGGGAGATCTTGTGGCCTGGGGGTGTGTGCGCGTCAGCGAGAGAGAGAGAGAGAGAGAGCGACAGGAAGAGAGAGAGTTTGCTGACCATACATAATAATTAACTATTGATAATGGGGTAAAATTGAACACATTAATCAATCAAACGTATGGCAGTTCGCGGAGATATTAATTGAGGAAGCCCCCCTTCACAAGAACATTAAAATTGATGAAATATTTCATAACTACAATGACTATTGAAAAAATATGTAGAAATTCATCATTTATTAATAATATGAAAAAAAATCATCACATTAGTCAAATAAAATATGGAGAAATTCATCAAGAAATGAAAGTTCACATTAAAACAAAGAACATCAGTTACCTTCCACAGACCCATACGGTACACCGGCGTCTTCAAGAACTGTGGCAGAAGAAAAACAATGAGAGTTGGCGGCAGGATAGATCAAGCGTGATAAATATTGATGACGACTCAAGAATATAGCTAATTTTAACGTCATCAATCTCCATCCCTGGCGTGATGATCGGATGACTAGGCAGCCGAGTCAAGGGTCGTTGGCCCATTATTCCACGCGTCATATGCTGATATGAAAATCTTTTTGAGATGCAGAATCGTCGGGCCCAGAAACCACAGTTTTAATTCTATGATCAAGCCAGACGCTGGAGGAGGTTTCACAGAGCTTCTAAATTGAGAAATGAACAAGAGAGAAGAAGATGATCTTCCTAGGAAACATCATGGCGGAGCTCAAACCGAAGAAGGCGAAGTTTCTCAAACAGAATCAAGGAGGATCCAGCGAGCCCAAGAATCAAGAAGCATGAACAGGAAAAGGCCAGAAACCACGGAGTTTTTTCCTCTTTTGTGTGTACCTTTGTCGGAGAACTGGAGGTAGGAGTCGACCTTGGCGTCTTCGGCGGGGCACCTGTTCCTCTCCTTCAGGAGCTCCTCCATCTCCCTGTAGCAGGACATCTTTGGTGGCCCTCCGCCGCCGGCTCTGCACTGTTGCTTCGACTTCTTGAACTCCTTGAGCAGGTTCCTCCACTTGTCTGTGCACATTGTGGGGGACCGATCGAAGCCCCGGTCCTTCATGTTCGCCGAGATCTGCTCCCACAGTCGCTTGTTGGACTTTGAGGTGTTGAAAAGCCCGTCCATCTCCCGGCGGAGGATGATGAGGCTGCGGGTCTCCTCCTGGGCCCAGGTCTCCGCCCTCTTCTTGGGGGCCTTGATCTCGTGGTCCTCCCCGCTGCTCTCCCCGAGAATCATCATCATCGTCGCTGCCGCCGCCGGCGCGGCCAGCTCACCGTTCCCCACCATCTCCATCACGAGATCCCTCCCCTCCTCGTTGTAGTAGTCGACTGGCGGTGGCGGCGTTGGCGGTGGCCCTTTCTCCGACGGGTACATGATATTCGTCCTTTGGGAGAACGGAGGTTGTATATAGAGAGTGTCAGCATGGGAGAGACTCGCCGGCGGAGGGGCGGCGAGTCCCTCGGAGACCTGGGAGGGAGATGCCTCCGTACGGGAGCAACGGCGCAGCAAAAAGACGGTACCTTTTCGGCTTGTAGGCCCCCCCAACACCCCCACTGCCTTTACTGAGCAACATTCTCCTCTCTATCTCGATCTATATATTCATATGTACAAGGGAGTAATGGGCTTGGCCCATTCCTCCTCGGGCTTAGCCCTCTCCTCTCTCTCTCTCTCACACACACACAGACACTCTAGAAAAGGAGAATATGGCGCGGTGATCTGGGTAAAAATTTTAATAGCTTCGCTGGGCTGGGGACGGGCCGTTTCGGAGAGAGAGAGAGAGAGAGGAGGCCCAGCCCAGCCAGAATCTATTGATACCCTAAAAAATGCAGGCATTTTAGAGTGCCCAGTACAACTTACACATCACCATCTCACGCATTTTCCATATTCTTGGCCACTGAAAATGATTTTAAATAAATAAATAAATTATCTGGACGGACCACGGTGGGGCCCACTTCGGTTCTATTTTTAAATGAAAATCCGCATGACGCATATTTACTGATGGTCGAAAATCGTATTTTAACAAGATATTGGAGCAATTTGGTAGGCTTCAAACTGACTAAATAATTGTATTTAAAAAAAATGGAGGATAAGATAAAAATAATTAGAGTCCATAACAATGTCTTAATTATTTTATGGGGAATGAGATGAAAATTAATTAGAGTGAATTCTTATAATGAAAAATATACGGATGGCCAAATATCATATTTTAAATAGGATATATCCGGATAGTTTTTTGGTGGACTTAGATAGACTAAATAATATTATTTTTTAAAAACTATGGAGTATGAGATACAAAATAATTAGAGGACATAATACCATTTTAAACCTTTTTTTAGTGGGGAATGAGATAAAAAAATAAATATAGAACATAATAGTATTTAAAACCGTTTTTAATGGGGAATCGAGATAAAAATAATTAGAGTTCATAATATTCTTTTAAATCTCTTTTAATGGGGAATGATATGAATAACATATTTTAATGAGATATATCTTGAGATAAAAAATAATCATAGTACATAATAGTGTTTTACCAATTTTTCATGGGGTAGGAGATAAAAAATAATGAGATTGCTTTTTGGTAGTGAAAAATGAATGGATGGTATTGTATCAAGATTTTAGAGCATTTTGGTTGGCCTAGAGAAACTTAATAATAGTATTTTAAGAAATTTAGGGAGTATTAAATAAAACATAGTTAGACTACGTAACAGTGTTTAATATATTTTTTATGGGGGTTGAGATAAAAAAAATATTGGGCGGCTTAGCTCAGATCTTGCAAACGCAGGGAGATGCCTCTCTGTACTGTGTTGGGTGGTGGGCTCCACTTCTGAGGTGGACAACTTCCTGGGCCGGGTCCGGGGAAGCCCATTTGGCGGCGGACCGCAGGCGCCTGCGTGGGTTCTTCTTTGCGTCCTCCCTCATTCGACACGAAGTCGCCCAAATCCGAGGTTCTTCCTCTTCCTCTTCCTCTCTCTGGGTCGGCCGGCCGATCCCCCTCATACCCCGTCGCCGGAGAAGCTTCCTTCTTCCTCCTCCTCCTCCTCCTCCTCCTCCTTCTCCTCGTCTTCCTCCTCTTCCTTATCGTCGATCTCCAGGCAGATCCGTGTCGAATCCGGGAAGAGGCAGGGTGAACGGCAATCCAAGTGGAGAGCGCATCGTATGGATTTGTGCTTCCAGGGTTTTTTTTCTCTTTTCTTTTTAGCTCCCCTTGAGCTGTAGGCCTATCACCCTCGGCCCCTAGATCCTGAGAGCACTTTGACGGTGTTGTCTCCTTATTCGGGGAATTCTTTCTTGTTTGGTCTCTTTTTATTTGTCTCCAATTTAGTCCCACCTGCCGCTGGCTTTTTTTGATCCGGGATCGGCGCAATGGGGGATTTGCTCTTCTTATTCTTCATCCTGTTAGAGGGATCGGTGTTTACTTTTGGTTGATGGTGTTCTTCATCCTTTAGGGGAGAGCGTAGTTGTAAGTATGATTTTAGGAAGGGTAGAGGATTCTATCTATTCTTTTGTGTCCAGGGTTTTCATAGATTGATTTCGTCCACGGGGATTCGGGATCTGCCTTTGTATTGATTCTCCACCTCTCTTCTCATTGGAAGAGGGTTTTGGGGCTCCGTACTTTGTCAATACAATGACGCTCAATTATTCACCCCATCCGTTCTTCCCCTCCGCGTCTGCCTCAGCCGGATCGCTGCCTTGGTCGTTCTTCCTTGATAAGGGGCTCGAGAGGGAACCATGTAGGCCTCAGGATTGCTTCTATTGCTGGACGGCCGAGAGAGGGGGCGCAGGAGTTGCTGGTATTTGTGCAGGGTTCTTCCATGATCCATCACCACCACCACCGCCACCAACACCACCACCAACTCCGAGCACACCAATCTACGAGGATGTGGCAGATCTTCTCCCGGCTGATCCGTTTGGGATGGGTATGACTGCTGACCCAACAACCTGGACGGTCGCCATTGCTGGCTGGATCGAGGAGCTTGCTACCACCATGGCGGATCATGTCGGTTATGGTGAATCTGGCGACGTCCATTGCAGTGTTATTGACAATTGTGATTACTACATGTGCAACCAAGCTGTGGCTGCATCAGCTGCATGGTTATGTCCAGTGCCAGGCTGCGAGCTAGGTGCTAGGTCGGGTTGCACTGAATCAGGGGTTATGAGACAGCCTCTGGTAAACTCATACTGTGGGGAGGAGTGTGTGCAAGGGATAATCCATGATGGAGAGATGGAGGGCCTGAAGTTCAGCAGGGAAGAGGAGGAGCCAACTGTTGGTTGTGGCTCTGGGAAGTGTCGCTCCAGTGGGTGGGGTGATGTTCATAGTGGCACAGGTGCTCCCCATGATGGTCTTACCTTTGCACTTGCTTATTTGGATATCCCAGACCTTCTATCAGTGGAGAGGGTCTGCAAGACATTGCACTATACAGTTCGGGAAGACCCACTTTTGTGGAGGTGCATACACATAGGTCCTCCCTTGAATAATATGATCACAGATGACAGTCTCTTACGATTGACTTGGAGAGCTAAAGGCAGTCTGGAGTGCTTGAGCCTCACAGAGTGTTCACAAATAACTGACAGTTGTCTGAGCCGCATACTGAAGGACAACCTGAAACTCAGAAAGGTTGGTCTTGTTTTGCCATTAGCAATTTTGTGTGGAGGTTTTGTTCCCTTTTTTCGTCTGTGTTGTATGATCTTTTGCTTTGAGCATCTTTTGACTACTATTTTCGCTGGCCGTATACTAATATGCTCTGAGGTTTGACTACTTGTTCATTATTTTTCATCCGCCTATTTATGGTTAGAAAGTTTCGGCTATTTTGACTGGCTGGTTATCATTTATATTTATCGTTAGAAAGTTCCAAATATTTATATCGTGTCAGTGTATGGCCATTTTATTGGTGCCAGTGGTAGTCATAATAGTTTGATAAACCTATTTCTACTGCTCTTGATTGCCATTTTTTTCTTTTCAGTTGGTTGGACTGTACTTATTGTACACAATATTTTTTGGCCTTAAAATACACCATTAATTTTTATTTGAACTATGCATTGTTTCGCTGCAAGTTCAATATCTTGAAATGTGAATTTTTTTAATGCAGGCATATAAGCAAAATCTATGCCCCTATTTTTTACGCAATCTGAAGAGAAACCAGAACATAAAGAAGTTCATAGTTATTTAAAAACTTTTATGGTGATCTCATTTGGAGTCAGAGAACCATTGGTTCTCGTGTAATTTTTTTTTAGGTGTGGATATTATTTTTTCCACCATTTTTTGCTTTCCATATGTCATGCTGATGTTTATAATATTTCCCTCGTTCTAATTTGGTTGTACGATGTGGTATCGCAACCCCACCTGTATGCCTTACCTGTAAAACACATCCTTGCGCTCATGGAACCTAGTTTCGGTCCTCATTCTCTTTTCAAAATTTTGTTTTTTGGTCCTTCATCTTGCAAAAGAGATCTTCTTGCCTAATGGTTTTCTTGCCAAATATTTCCCTTGCCTTCATTCTTCTGAAGAACTGAATAATATACTATCAGCCAAACTAATCCCAGCAAACATTGTGGGATTCAGTGTCAAGTTCAGGGCCATTTCACATCTACTCTGTCATCCAATCAGGTAATCAAGGTCATCTAATCATCAATCATGTCTGATGATTGGCGGGTCCTCAACGGTTTCATATTCCTATAATCTTTAAGCATTCATTTTAATGGTTGGGTCTTATATTTAAACATGATGTCCGCTTTGTTGCATTATAATCTTTCCCATTTGAGGATTTTTAAGCAAAAAAATGCTCGGACTTTTCTTGATTGATCTGGAATCATCGTTTGTGCTGCATCCTTTGTTTGGTGGCTCCTATTTTATATTTTTCTGAGGGATTATATTCTATTGATTATTTGGAAAATTCACTCCCGGAAGGATGGATGTACACTTATCCCTTTGCTGGCTTGGAAAATGACATCAAATTGTGTAGGCTTTGCCTCTTATCAATCCCAATGCCTCAGACTGTGTGCTTCTCAAATGCTGCTTGAACCATTGTCATATGCGGTCTTAAAGGAGCATTTTGAATGTCTGTTCAGTGAGGTCTGCCACTCGTCTTTTAATGAGCGTCCTCTTTCCTCTGTCAAACTTACCCTATCTGGCCGCCATCACCATTCTGGGTATCATCCACTCGAAAGCACTCCGCACGATTTGTGATACCATTTCTTGAAGCCAAACCCTGGAGTCTTGTGATGCCTTTTGGATTCCCTTAGGAGACATTTAGGCTGCCTTCTTCCATTTCTGTCATGGTTTTGGGTAGTATTTTCCTCTTGTGCCCAAGGAATAATGTTCGTGGATATATTTATACATAATTCCTTGCGAAGCTACTTTGTATCAAATCCGATGCCCACGGCTTTATTTGAAGTGTGCCAAGATCAAAATCAGCAAACGTAATGGAAATTATTAGAAGCCCCTATCATCTTTGAACGGCAATTTGATTCTACTTTCCCCTGGATAGAAATTATCTGCATATTAATCTCGTTCAGATGCTATTCTCACTCCCTGTAAGGTTATTAAGTTCTATGCTTAACCCCCTGGATTCTCTTTCTTTCTTCGTGTAGCTAAGTGTCCCGGGCTGCACAAAACTCAGTATCAAGGGCGTTATGAATAATCTAAGGATCCTCAAGCCCCTGGCGGTCCCCGGGATAAGGCACCTCGCTGTGGGCGGTCTCTACAACATAAAGAGGGAGCACTACGACGAGTTGAAGACCCTACTGTGTCTGGACGGCCGCCCACAGCTTGGAGCTCGGAAGCCAAGATTCTATCATCTCCGCCGCTCGGCCACCTGCAGTGGTGCCGATGGCCCCACCATAGACATCGAAGCCTGCCCGGTGTGTGAGAACATCCGAGTCATCTACGATTGCCCACTGGCCGACTGTCGGAGGGGGCCCTCTGGGCGATGCCGAGCCTGCTCGATATGCATCTCCAGGTGCAATCAGTGCGGGCGGTGCATCCACGGTCACGAGTATGAGGAGACCTTCTTCCTCGAGTGGATTTGCTTCCCCTGCATGAACTACTTGCCTTCTTCCTCTCCTGCTAGTGAAGGCTGAGTGGGCAGCAGAAGATTCCTTGAGGTCAACTTCTCGGAGGAGGTTGAGGCGGGCGGTAGGTGTGTTCTTGCCCAAGGTCAACTGCTCGGAGGGGTTGCCCATAAGTCAACCCTCGGCCTGGATCTGTGTGAGGTTGTGGGTAATGAGTAATGCGGCCCTGCATTTTCCGGCGGAGGAGCGCTTGTGACTAGTCAGCCCTCTTCGAATCTTATACTGCTCATGAATATCTTCTTCGTTATTTTTTACGATTTTTTTGGTTTTTTTTGTGGCTTTTCATATGAATTTTTTTGGGAAATAATAATTATGGGGGGATTCTCGTGGGCAGGATTCGGATTCTGTTGGTTTATCAGAAAAGAAGAAAGCATATTCTTACTCTAGAATTCATTTCGATTCTTTTGAATGGGCATAGAATCATTCTGGGTTTCTTGTACGCCAAGGGATGCCATGCCCTCTTCTCTCCACGTTTCTTGTACGTTTCTTGAATGGCCCGCAGCGGGGAAGACCCGTGGGAATTGAATTGTTCGTCGGGCAGAGAGGGAAAGATTCTAAACCCTCTTAATATTCCGGACACTCTGATGACGTTTATATCTACAATCGCATGAATTTTTACAGTTCTTGGCAAGTATCTGAAGAAACCCAGTGAAGTCCTCTGATTCCGCTCCCACATCGAAGACTTTAGGAAGAAGTTATTGATCCTCTGCATGCTTGTTCTTTTTTTCTTTTTTGGGCTCATGAATTAGATTAGTGGCACCATACCCGGAAAAGTCGGAGGGATCTGAATGCCTGCTCGAGCACAGAGTGGAGTTTCGTATGAACAGCAGGACGACTTTGGTGAGATGTCGCTGGCAGCACTCTCTCTCTCTCTCTTTCTCTCTCTCTTTCTCTCTCTCTTTCTCTCTCTCTATCCCACCAAACCAAAAAGGAGTGAGAATGAATCATCCGAAGAACTCGACGTGGCCAGCTACCTCCTTGCAGAGAAGCCTGGCGGCAGCGGCGAGCTTCTGGCTCCTGGCGACTACAAGCCCGGTGAGCTCGTGGCCGGGCTCTGGCTCGAGTGCACGGGCGGCGGCCTCTCTGCCGGCGGCAAGGGCTTCCCTTGCCGGGAGCACATTCTCCCACCAGAATTCCCTCAGTACGGCGTGCATAAGCTCCCAGTACTCCTTCTCCCTGAACACCCTGAAAAGGCTGCTCCCATTGGGCGTCCAGCAGTAGAGATCCACCCAGTCTCTGTCCATGATCTCCATCTGGCCCTGAACCTGTGGCATGTAGTAGTACGGTACCGCGCGCCATGGCAGCCCCAGCTCCGGGCGCCCCTTGTTGAATGGGCACTTCACCTCCAAGATCCCTCCTTCCGGCTGCCTGCCGAGGACTCCGTCCGGAGAGGCGCCCATCCAGGCGAAGCTCGCATCGGCGTGCATGGCAAAGCCGAGGGTGCCCACCTCACGTCCGGTGATGCTGCGGTAGCGCTCAATTGCAGCCGCCTCATTGTCGACACCCCACTCCATGGCCGCCCGCCCGGTGCTGGAGATGGTGTCAGCGTCGGGGGAGAAGACCTTCTGGTGCCACAGCTCCGACCGGCGGTTCCCCTTCCAGAAGCCCAGGGCGGTGCTGAAGGTGCTTGTTGTCAGCTTGTCCCGGCGGAGGGCGAACCACTCCGACGATCGCTGCGGCCCGTCGAAGGGAGGGTTGACAACTGGCGGTGATGAGCACCGGAGAAGCAGCTGCTGTGGCAATGAAGAGGATGATGATGAAGAGGTGACGATCAGCGTGGTCGTCACACGGGTTTGGAGAAGGCGAGTAGGGTAGTAGCCTGTCTTTAAGGGGAGGGCCCGAGAAGATGGGAAGCATGCGTGTGTCATGGTAGCGTTGACCAGAGAAGCGTGAGCAACTACCAATGTCAGCAGCCGGACCTTGGCCAAGGTCAGCGCCACGGTGATCCAAAGCCTGCAAAATTTATGGGTTGCCAAATTTAGGAAGCATAAGATTAGATCCTTGTCTCAATTCCATAGAACCAGAATGAAGTCAGTGCAGAGAGAGCTCTACCAATAATAACCTGATCTTCATATCAGGATCGATAAGAACTAGTCCTAACCCAAGATTATTAAGTTCTGAATTAAATTAATCTAGGAAAACTAAAATGCGAACCAAACAAGAATTTGCATTTTACTGGCATCCCTAACCAAAATCCTTATAATTGTATTGAGGATTTGAGAATTGTACATTGTTCTGACTGAAGAATGCCGAATTGCAAGCTGAAAAAAATCATGAGGAATAAATGAATTCGCTATGATCGGATCGAGCAAGAACGAATGCAATACAGGAACCCAAACCGAAAATAATCCAGTATTTGTGTCATGATTTGAGAGTAACTAGTTCTGACCCAAGAACTTTGAATCGTTCGCTACTAAATTTAGGAACAATAAAATGAGGCCCACCCTTGGTTGCAAACTGGAAGGAATCCGACACAGGAACCCTAGCCAAGAACCTAATATTTGCGTCATGATTCAGAGTGAGTACTTCAGACCAAATAATTGAGAGAAAATTATTAAGCAGCATAGACAGCTAGCCAGACCCATCTTCGTCTTCAACTTGGAAGAAGAATTGCGGTCAGATCCCAAATCGACTAGAATTAGGCGCAAAATTTGGGATAGTCAGCAAAGAACGAGTGAAATTTGATTAGATTAGGCTGGCTCCGCCCTGACCGAGCTCAGCCCACCGAGCCAATTTGGTGATAATGGAGTTTCATACCGAATTAATGAGTTGACCCCACACGCCAGGAAGGAACTTGGGCTCTGACTTTTGACTTTGAATTCGGCCCCTTACTATCCTACCATGGTCAAATGAATACTATTCCTCTTTTCTTCAGGAACATAAATGGAAAGCCCGTGTGTATCATTAGCCTTACGATGCTCTCCCTTTTTCTAATATTTGTAGATTGATCATACCGCATAATCATAACATACACATTTACACAAACTGAAGGTCATTTTCTGAATTGAAGGCGCAGTGCTTGCCCAAAAGTGACGCATTTTTGGCTGAAGATCAGTCAAGAACCTAAAGCTCACGTACTGCCAGCTCCAATTCCATTCTCGGAAATTCTCACTTGCAAGAGAACAACGATCACAAGGCTTCTTATCGCAGGGTCCCTTCTTTATTTTACTTCAACAAGTTTTGAGGGCAAAATTTTCCTAATGACTTGGGCCTTCTTTATTTTCTTATGCCATATGAGCATGAGAAGCCGTCTCCTCCGAAGTCCACCAGGTGTTTGAGAGATAGGACCCTTTTACGGGTTTTCATTCAAGAAAAATTGAGAGCAAGTGGATGCAAAAACATGATTATATATATAGTACCCATCAGATGTTTGTGAAAATGCTGCATCGAAGCGTCCCCACGGGGGCCACTGAAAAATCCGGTTGAACATCATCAACTCAATGCTCAAACCCAGAGCTTCTCCTATCAAATGAAAAAACGAAGAAAGAAAAGAGACCTGAAAACAGAAAACTCTATCGGATGGGGGACAGCAGCAACTACTACTCTAAACGGCAAGCTCTAATCCATCAACCCCTCAGGAAACAAGCAGCTGTGGGGATAAGGAAGCAAGAAAAGGAGGAGGAGGGAAGATATCGAAGAAGGATTTAGGGTAGGGGAGGATGGGGCACCTTGCTCGCTCCTGAAGGAGGCCCGGCTCTTCGCTGCGCCCAGCACCAGCATTCCACAGTTCCACCGCCACCTACTCCCCCGCTGCAGCCGTGTGGGTGGAGTGAGGGATGGCCAGCAGCAGCCAGGGAGCTGATTATCAGCCCCGGTTTGGCGGGTCGTCTGATATGAGACCCTTTGCGGGTCACCGAAGATTTCCCTGGTCTGCTGGAGTCGCGTGTTGGTAGGGGAAGGTAATACTAACCCACGCTAGCTCTCTCTCTCTCTCTCTGTCAACTTTAGGTGATTCGAGCTCTTGGGCTTGAGTTTTAAGAATATTAAGTCAGTTTAAATCTATTTAATATCGATTTTTCTTCTGATTGATGGGGTTGGTGGTACTATTACCAGGCACAAAATCTGATTTATTTAATCAGTTTTATTTTATTTTATGTTGATTTTTCTTCTAATTGATGGCCTTGATGATACTTTTTATCAGGGACAAAAATCAGATTTAATCAGTTTTAGTCTATTTATTATTGAATTTTCTTCTAATTGATGTGCTTGATGATTCTTTTTATAAGCCAAAAAAATTCAGATTTTAATAATACTTAGCCAGTTTTAATAGATTTAATATCGCATTTCCTTCTAGTTATGGGTGGGCTTGATGATACTTTTTACCAAGCGCAAAAATCATATTTACTTAATAACTAAAATACGTAAAATAAACACATAAATGGGGGAAGAAGTCCACGGGACCAAGCAAACCGCTTGCCTCGATTTGGGCTTCAGAACTCCGGCCAAGCCCATTAAGAAAGCTGTTGGCCCACAAAATGCCTGGTTTTAACTTGGCCCGAGATGAATCAAAGTACAGTAAAGATGAATCAAAGTTGACAAACCATCGGGGTGGTGGATGATTTCATCTGTGGACTGGATCAATCCGTAGGCTTTTGTGTTCCCACCCAATTTGACTCTGTTTTAGTTGGTTGACTTTGAATGGACAGGTGGACTGCCCGACATTGAAGTTGACCACTCTTCTCCCTCTGATCTAGATGACCACCAAAGTTGACCCAATCCTCTGTGGAGTCGGTAGAGAGAGTAGAGAGAGAGAGAGAGAGGATGCCGGCCTTCCTCTGGGGGCGGCTAGACTGGTCTTCTCTCCTTCTCTCTCTCCCTCTCTCTTTCTCTCTCTTCTGTCCGTGTCAAATGGGCATCATTGCTGGGGAAGCCTCAAAATCGAAGCTTTTGCAGGAGAGAGGATAGAGGGTTTCGTGAAGAGAGAGAACGAGGGAGAAGGGGGGGTTGGGTTTTTTCCTCTCTTCTCTCACTAGATTCTTATCTTCTCTGCCTGATTGTTGTGGGGTTGAGGTGGATTTTTATTGTTGGCTTCGGATTTTCGCCCCCTTTCAGGATCTGTTCTTCCGGTGATTCCTTTCTGATCTTCCACCCGCAGGGAGCTCTCTCTCTCTCTCTCTTGCTCTACCCTGGTTCTCGATTTTCAGGCGCTTCTTCTCCTGCGGATCTCTTTCTGCTGTGTGAAGGAATGAGATGAAGATTTTAGGAGGGCTCGCCTGCTCTAGAACGGATTTCTTCCCTCGGATTCTTATTTCCTGTTGATCAGATTGGGGCCGCCTCCCTCCCCTTCTATCATCATCATCATCACCATCATCGTCGTCGTCGTCATCATCATCATCATCATCATCATCATCATCATCATCTCTGCGTTTGGATCGGAAGGAGTTTCTCTCCAGTTTATTGGTTAGAATTTGGGTGAAAAGGGCGTCGTTCTCGATCGAATTGGAGCTTGATTTCCCCCTGGAGGAGTCTGAAACTGGCAACGGGAGGGAATCGAGAGGTGTTCGTATCATCTTCTAGGGATCGGCTTCCCCGCAGCTCTCATGATTAAGCAGATTCTCGGGCGGCTTCCGAGGAAGTCTTCAAGATCCGGAGAGCATGGCAAGGATTCGGGCGGTAGAGCGAACGCCTCCGCCGGCGCAAGAACCCGAGATTCCAAGCTTGTGGACAATCTCCAGCCGATCTCTAATCCAGTGGCCGACGACCAGGCGGATGGAAACCCTGGATTTCCTTCCACAGATGTGCTGACAAGATTCGGAGATGTTTCAGCCCCCGAGAAACACAGCCTGTTTGTCAGAAAGCTCAATCTCTGCTGCGTGGTCTTCGACTTCACCGATCCGACGAAGGATCTCCAGGAGAAGGAAACCAAGCGAGGTGTTCTTCGTGAGCTTGTCGACTACGTCGCTTCCGCCGGCGGGAAGTTCCCCGAGGTGGTCGTGCAGGAGGTCATGAAGATGGTCTCCTGCAACCTTTTTAGGGCAACCGCCTCTCCGCCCCGTGAAATCAAGGTCCCGGAGACCTTCGACCTCGAAGATGAGGAGCCCGCGATGGACCCGGGATGGCCCCATCTGCAGCTGGTATACGAATTCTTCCTGCTGTTTGTCGCATCACCTGAAACTGACACAAAAATGGCGAAGAGATTCATAGATCAGTCCTTCGTCCTCAGACTGCTCGATCTCTTCGACTCTGAGGATCCCAGAGAGAGGGATTGCCTGAAGATGGTGCTCCACCGCATCTACGGCAAGTTCATGGCCCATCGCCCGTTCATCAGGAAGGCCATCAACAACATCTTCTACCAGTTCATCTTTGAAACCGAGAGGCACAACGGGATTGCAGAGATCCTGGAGATTCTCGGAAGCATCATCAACGGTTTCGCCCTGCCGCTCAAAGACGAGCACAAGCTGTTCCTCGTCAGGGCTCTTATCCCTCTCCACAAGCCCAAGTCCATGGGGGCCTACCACCAGCAGCTGTCCTATTGCATCACCCAGTTCATGGAGAAGGACAGCAACCTTGCTGTGGCCATCATCAGGGGCTTGCTGAAGTATTGGCCCGTGACGAACAGCTCCAAGGAGGTGATGTTCTTGGGGGAGATGGAGGAAATCCTGGAGATGACCCAGCCGGCAGAGTTTGAGAGCTGCATGGTGCCACTGTTCTGCCAGATTGCTCGCTGCTTGAACAGTCTCCATTCCCAGGTACTGGAAACTTCACGAATTCTCTCTGGTTATTCAAGTTATTCTCCTTCACAGTCCCAATCATCATGCATATACATCTCTGTGTGTGTGTGTGTATTTTCTATTTTTCTACATCTATTTTCCTATTTTTTATTCAGCGATAAGTCAACGCAGTGTCAGGATTCTGGGAGAATTGGGTAAATAGCAGAGACATCTGTACATTCATCATCTATTCACTCCTGATCGGAGAAGAATCTATGAGCCTGTCCCAGAAGGGTTTTGCTCGTAATATTTTCTTATAATCTCTCACAAAATTTAGTTCCCAAGGTATTAGCCCCGTTTTGGTTCAATGGGGTTCATTTCCTTCATGCTGAATGATGCGGAAAAATGTGAATTTGCATCATCTTCTTCGTCAAAATGTTTCTCTTCAGAATTTAGTTCTGTCGTCAATGTGGGTTCCTGTTGGAATAGGAGAAGTATGCTCGTTCTTGGTCCTTGTGGCTTCTTGAGCTGTGGCCTGTTCCACTGGGCCATAACCAGGGCGCTTTGTGTACTAGTTATTGATTTGATATCTCCAAGGTTGGGATCAATTTATTCCTGAAATGTGAGCTATCATAGAATGCCTAATTATTCAAAATAAAAAATAAATAAAACGGTGTGCCTTTAAGCCTAGGTCAGCAAGAGGATCAAGAGGGGAATGTGCTTAGTGAGGATCAAGAGGATCAACAGTCTATAAATCCATCTCATGCTTGATCGGAAGGCCCACTGTATTAAGTCCCGGTGATTCAGTCTAAAGTAGAACAAAATGATATTTTTTTAGAATCTAGATAAAAGAAATGCGATCATGGACCTACATTTAGTTAGATATTAAATTAGAAAAACACTGGACTGTCGAATGAAAACATGATTTTTCATGCCATGTAAAAATTATTTTCTTTACCATCTAAAAATTATTTACAATCCGCTAAGACTGAACATGCCATCGAATCTCTGCATATTAGGAAGGTTCATTCATCTTTTCTTCTCGAGTGCTTCCTCCTGAGACTACCCGTTCCTGGATGAACAGGTGGCCGAGAGGGCCCTACTGCTGTGGAACAACGACCACATCAGCGGCCTGATAAAGCAAAACCACGAGGTGGTGTTGCCCATCGTCTTCCCCGCGCTGGAGAGGAACAAGACCCACTGGAACCTGGTAGTGCGGAATCTCTCTCTAACTACCCGCAGGTTCTTCTCAAACCAGGATTCCAGCCTATTTGACGAGTGCTTGGAGAAGTTTCAGCGGGATCAGGCTGACGACGAGGGGATGAAGTCAAAGCGTGATGCCGCATGGAGACATCTGGAAGAGATGGCGGCCTCGAGGGACTCAAACAGGAGTCTCGTGGCTGTCTCCTGAGCATGATCCAGACACTCTGCTGCCAATCCCCCTCCTTCCTCTTGGAATTTCATGGGGTTTCTGGGGTTGGTGGATTTAATCTGTGTATATGATGAGAGGGATAAGCTTTTTTTACCGAAAGATGGTGCAAATATCTGCTGGGCTTCATGGTTTTTACCAGATTTTATCTTATCCGAGATGCCCGGATTCCGGTGATCTGGGAATCCTGTGTATATCTGAATGTGGTTCTGATTAGGGTAGATGTCTGTTAGTGATTCCCATTCTCCTTCTGCTGAAGCATTTTCCTCCTCTCGCTTTCCTTCTCCATGAATCTGAGAGACGTCGAGGAATTGGTCGGCTCGTCTAGACCGTTGACCGGATACCACGGTGTCGCCGCCGCCAGACTGGAAAGAAAAAAACCTCTGGCCGTTGACCGGAGACGATAAGTGTAAGTCGGGACTTTGAGAGGAAGGGAGAGAACTCCACGGGCTGGCCTCCCTCGAAGCCCCCGAAACTACAGAACGGGCGCCCGGATAGGTCTAAATTGTTTCTATTTGACCGGATGCTGGAGAGGAGCAGCCTGAGGTCAACGCCCCCGTCTTCGGAGATGGACAGAGGGAGAACTTAGTGTTTATGCCGCAGAGCTACCTCCTTCATCTCCCATCTGCATCCTGCCGGATGGAACTCTGAGATCGATGCTCGTTCAGCAGTCTCCTGCGGCGTTGCCGGGGGGAGACGCGCTGTGATCGATGTTCTTTTCTTATCCACAGGCGGGTCGCCGGATGAGACGTCGGAGGGCGACCGAAGGAGACCCGCGATCGTCTTCGTAGTTGACGGCGGGAAGGGGAGTCGCCGCCGCTCACTGTTCATCGCCAGGTGTTGTCCATGAGACCGCTCCTGCAGGCTGCATTCGCCGTCTGGTCGCAGTCCACCGGATCTCGCGCCTGAAAGGTCGTAGCTGAAGGTTTCAAGATACTCTGGAGTAGGTCCAGACGGGTATCAGAGTACCAAAACAGACCCCATCTAATTTTTTTCATTAGAAAAACTAGCAATCAAGGAGAGTCAGAGAGCCTTGGGTAATAAGGGTTTGAGAAAGATGAAGAGAGATGCAGCGCTGAGCTTCTCAAAGATCACCGTCAGCGTCATCTCGCCTCTTCTTATTCTTCATCATTGTAGTCATCATGATAGCCATCAAAAAGAAATCCTCCATGAATCCCAGACAAGATGATTAAAGCCCATTATCTTAAGGATTAACAGAAGGAACCATCCTCTTGAATGATGGAGTTTGTTAATATAGGGCTTGACCCTCAACTTTCCCAGGATTTTAGCTTAAAATCTCAGCCTTATTTCTCTTACTTTACATCCCCAGGGCTTACGGTCTAAGATCTTCGTGTTCACGGGATTTCCCACTAAGAGCAAATACCCCTGGAAAGTGCGCCTTATGAAGGATTCAATCGAAGAATCTGTACATATTTTCCTAGATCAGACCCACTTAAACACTAGTACGAATGTCAACCACGAACAACCCTTGGAAAGTACAGCTGCCCACAAGGCTCTTGTGATATTCAAGGAAACCTTCATACGGTCGGCCACGAACAAACAACACAGTCCATCTCTTAGACTTGGTCAGCTGCCCATGTCACAGCCATGCAAAGAAACCCAAAGGCTGATAACTAATCGATCCACGATACAGGTGACGAGCTAAATGCATGTGTAGATTGCAATGCATTCCACAGACAAGTATGCTGCGAGATCACGGAAAATCGGCACATTATTGTAATGTAAAACCGTAACAACAGCGAATAACAGCAGCGGCTCTCTAAATCCAGACGCCTTTGTGGGAGTTACCTGGGGTGGACCGTGAAAGAAGTTGTCATAATCCACTGCCACTCAGAATTTAGATTATTGATGACATTGCATTGTATTGAAATTTATATATGCTTCTTAAATCTACTTATTACAAAAACGAGTTCGAGATCTCTGGCTCAGGCCCTTTTTCCTCTGTGAAGGATGTTTCATACCTTAATCAGGGTTACACGACTCATATTTATACTCTTACACACAGAAAGAGGGGTATAGAGAGAAGGAAGTGGTGGACGGAGAGAGGAGAGGAGGTGGAATAAGTCGGGCTATTGGGCTTCAGGCCTGGGCCTAGCCCGAAAATTGGGGGCGGGCCTAAGAACATATCCGGGCCTGATTCAAAGGAGAAGTCGGACGGGCCGGGGAGAGCTCTGGCTTAACTAGCCATGGGCACAAAGGCCAAAATCTGATATAAAATATGAGGATAAGGATTTTTATGATCTTCCGCGCCTCAGTAACGGGATAAGTTAATATGCCCACCAACAGTGACAGCCGAACGGCCGGAGATTGAGTCGTCTGAGGCCACCGACCGGTCGAGCCGTCTGCGATGTGACCAGTCGAAGCTTCTTCCAGGGGCATCCGGGAGTTAGGGAGAGAGAGAGAGAGTGTGCAGACAGAGGGAGTCAAGCATTCTACATTGGGACCAGTCGAGCCTTCTGCCATGGCTTCAAGAGTTTGGGGGGGAGAGAGCTGTTTACAGACATGGCGAGTAACGCAGGATGTAGATAGATCAGCGTCGAGCGTTCTTCGATGGGCCTCGTGGAGTAAGAGAAGAGAGGGTCGTTTGCAGAGATAGCAAGAGTAGAGGTTTGGGACATCGCGAGTACAAGAGGCGGGGAGAGATAGATGGATAGGTGGAGCAACAGAGAGAGAGAGAGAGAGACAGAGAGAGAGAGAGAGAGAGGGAGAGAGGGAGAGACGACCCCTTGCGACGGCTGTCGCCCACTGCCGCCGCCATGAGAACAGGGAAACAATGCCGGCACCACTTACGGCACCGTGAGCCCACACCGCCGCTCCTGCAACATGTCTGCCGGTATCTGTTCAAGCGATGCCCCTCCTGCTCCCCCCCCTCCGACCTGCACAGCGGCCGCCGCCCATCCCACCGATGCACGGCACCGCCGCCCAGTCAAATCAGGCCCCGCCGCACGTGCATGGCACCAGCGTAGGGTCTTAGCAGCTTCAGCTGTCGGTGGCTAGAGGTGGGAAGGAGGAGATAGCAGGAGTGAACACATTAATTGAGAAGATGAGTCTTGCAGAAAACTCCACCAACTCAGGCAGAGGACTATCCTCTAAGATACTGGGATACATTTCCATGTCAAATATTTTGTCTCCCCGACGTATCACATACATTTTATTAGACGGCAGTAATCTTTTGACCAGTCAGAAGAGTGACGACCGCTTCCCAGGCAGCCCAAATGACTGAAGTTTCAAGTAGCCTAAGTTTAGTTACCATCAAATAATGACTTCAAAGATGAGAGAGTAAATAGTATAATAGATGCTAGGATGGAGTTGCAGTGAAATTTCGTGAAAACTAGTTTAAACTATTACAACTTCGTGACTATACGAGGACAAATCATGTGCTGGTCGACGTGTATATGTCAATAGAACCTTATAAAATTTGATAATGTATTATGTTAATTAGAAAGAGGTTAATTGTACCCTCGTACTACCTGAGGATACCTTAGAAATCATGTTTCAAGGGTTTGGACAAAACGTTATTTCCATATTCAGGTCTAACTTTAATTTACGTGTGAAAGATTCATTTTTTAATTTCACTTTCTTAAAGTTTGACATTCTTGTGGACTGTTTACGTAAGTCGTTTCTTTGCTTGACCATCTTTGACGTGCTAAAAGTGACATTTATAGTCGATGCCTACACTAGAATTTCTGGAAAAAAAAAGTACGGTACTTTGGGAAATATGGCATAATTTGTCTAATTTATATATAACGTCATAAATTTCTAACATGTAGATTTTTGAAAAAGTAAATTAGTCAATAAAATATAATTTTAGTGAAATATCAAAACTATTAAAAAATATATATCTGCAGAAACGTAGATCTGTTGAATACTTGATGATATAGGTCATATTTTCATGAAATTTGTTAAATGACTTATGTATGGAATCAAAATAAGAACATAGAAAAATATGCCTAAAAATATGTTAACTCAATCTAATATGGCTAAGTTCATTAAGTTCACACAAATCTTCTAAGTTTTGTTAAAAAGCGTTCACACCTAGAAGACAAATTTCTCAATTTATCATAGTTTTTGCTTCACAAAAATGGTAAATGATATTAATTGAGATGTGAAGATGTACCCTATGTTGTCGTATTCATTAGCCATATAGTCTAGAAATCTGTGAAGATGTACCCTATGTTGTCGTATTCATTAGCCATATAGTATTAGAAGCCTTCATGAGTGGACTAATTTTTAGGCTTAACATTTATACCATCACAATGTTGGAATTATTTTCACATATTGGTGCCAATTATAATTGCCCATAGCTTTTAACTTCATGATTTCACACATTTGATATAGGAAATGATCACACACTCCAATTTTTCATGGGATTTCAGAAACCCATTTGAAGTGTCAATTTCAAAATTCTACAATTGTAATAATTCTCTACCTATATATATTTTTTTTACAAGACCATTAGCCTAGACTAGACATTTTAAAAAGTCAATGCCCATTTTCGCTATTAAAATTCAATGTATGTTTTTATTAAGGGGATAATCTCAATAATTGAGATGGCTCTCAAAGAATGCTTGGCATGTTACAAATAGAACTTTTCAGAGTAGTAAAAACTAAATAGAATCAAGATTAAAGAACAACTCGTACAAAAGGGCACCATTTAGCTTTAAATAGAAATCCCAATCTAGGTCAAAACTTATGGACAACTGACTGATTTATGTTTAAGAAATCAGACCTACAAAATCATGGCTATAATAAAAAATACTGATAACTTTATTCCATTCTTATTTATGGTAATCAAATGAATATTGGTGAAGAACGGCCAATGACTTCCACTATTTCCATGGAGAATATTCACAGGTCGTTGTCCAACTTTACTTGCTTACTCAATTGGATACAATCGGCCACGTGCTAGGAAGAACTAATTCATGAGCATACGCAACGAGTACAAGACGTCCGCTATGTCG